TGTGGCAAAGCGGCGTTGAGCGCACCCTTCTGCGTCTCGATGGGCGCCAAGTTTTTTTTTTTTGTAGAAACCGTTCATCATATTGCCCCCAATTCCTGTTCCCCCTGATTGGCCTACGGAAAAACTAGATGAAAGTCGACGATGATAACACAAACCGCCCGCAAGATGCGAGAAACGGGCCAAGTCCACCAATCCGATACTTCGGATTCAAGTGCCCCAGCCAAGCGGTTGCTCCCCCCCAGGAGACGAATGAGAGAGAGAAGGAGAGAGAGAGAAAATGAAAAAGAACTGGCGTACTAACGACAAGAGGCCCACCCCGCACCCACTTCCCAACTCGGTCGAGACAAAGACAGGAGAGCGACTGCGCAGCTACCCTGACCCGCGAAATCCCAAGTCTATGCTCGGTCACAACAAGACGCGGTGGAGGCCCCTCAAAACCTCCACCTCAGCAGTCCCTGGCCCCTCAAAGCCGACTTTCTGCCTGTGTCTGCTGATCCCTCCCTTACACTCAGAACCCCGAAGCCAGAGAGCGCGAGCCACCGTCGAGTCAATCCCAAATCGCGAGCCGGTCCATGAGCAACGGAGGCAGACCTGTAATAAAAGAAAGAAAGATGAAGAAAATATATTTAGTATACAGTTTTTGTAAGAGGATGTGTGATGTGGGGTGTGTGAGTGTGGGATGGGGTGGGGGGAAATCGAACCTAGCCTCTACTGCACTCGCCTGCCTCTTGCTCCTCCCGCCCTCAACTTCATCCTCTCCTCCAGTACCACCCTCCTCCTCTCCACGCTTTCCATCCTCGTCCCGTGCTTCTGCATCCTCCATCTCCCACTGCTGATCATCTCCAAAACCATCCCCGTGAAGATCTCGATCGTCCTGCCCGCGCCTTCCTGTGCGCTGAGCTTGGCCTTGAGCTTGGGGAGGCCAAAGAGTCGTTGAAGCGTCGTGTACTCGGCGTCCTCGATCGTGTCGCATCCGAGCGCGTCGCAGAGCACGCCCCTCGCCGCGATCCAGACGTTTCGCGAGTCGAAGCAGCCGAAGAAGTAGTGATCGGTGTCGTCCACCGGCGCTTCGCAGACGAGGCACGCGGGAGAAGTGTCGTGCTTTTGCTCGTGCTGGAGCTTGCGCGTCGGGGTGAAGCGGAGGATCAGCTTGAACCAAACTTCCCTCTCCCTCGCTGTCAGTGCCTTCGAGTTGACTGCCTTCCAGAAGCTCCTGAGGTCGTCCGGCTGCGGTGGTCCCTTGAGCCCGAGCATGTTGGTAAATGCCTTCGCGTTCAGGACCCGGCGGATGCGACGGACTGTGTAGGGGCGAGCCATGTTCAGCAGCGTATACTGGCTCGCCTGTTGTGGAAGCACCGGGTCCGGAAGGCGCTGCTCCATTGCGAAGCGGGCCACGGGCTTGGGGATGATCGCCTCGAGCGGTGCGCTGGTGCCGATCCGGGGAGGCACGTTGAGTCGTCCCGCCGCCACCGCCGCCGCCAAGGGGGTGTTCTTGTGTCGATCGACAGTGAACCGGTACCAGGCCGCGATTGCCAGTCGCTGCGGGAGCCCGCGTCGATCGTACTCGCTGTTGTTTTTTTTTTTTTGTAGAAACCGTTCATCATATTGCCCCCAATTCCTGTTCCCCCTGATTGGCCTACGGAAAAACTAGATGGAAGTCGACGATGATAACACAAACCGCCCGCAAGATGCGAGAAACGGGCCAAGTCCACCAATCCGATACTTCGGATTCAACGTACTAACGACAAGATCCCTAATTATATAAGCAACGCTGCACCCTGGCACCAAGGCAATGACTCGTGCGAAAGCCGCCGTCATAGCACAGTGGTAGTTGCGCCTGCCTAGTAATTCGAGTTTCCTAATTTCATTAGGGATTCTGTAATTAGTTGTTAGCAGGAGGGCGAGAGTTCAAGCCTCTCTGATGGCACTCTTTTTGTCTTTTTTTTTGTTCGCGAAATACGACTATTCACTCAGTCCTCCCCTCAACTAGAAATCCAAAACCCGTGCGGCGTAAGCTCAACTAAGCCCTCCCACTGGGAGGCGCGAGGCGCTTAGGACATCGGCGCGCCTGGCCCCGTTGCCCTCCGAAACTTGGGGCGGTACCGGTGCTGGGGGGTGCGCTTGCGCTAACTCGCGCGCGCCAAATTGAGTTGGCGCAGTCGAGCGCCCGAGTTAGCGCACTTGAGTTAGCGCACCGCGCGCGTGAGTTGGCGCACCGAGTTGGCGCAATCAGGCGCGCCGCACGCGGCCATCCCCTTGTCTTCATGCTGCAACGTGCCATATCCTACGGTGCAACTGCTGTCACGCTTCTTTCGGAAACGAAGCGCCGATAACACGGACGACAAAATCGTCGGCACCTCGGCTACGACAGCATCGACAGCGTGCCAGAACGAGATCGGCCCCTGTGTCGACACTCTACACAGCGCGAACACCGCGAACACCGCGAACACCGCGAACACCGCGAGCCAAGTCCAGGCCGCGAAGCGCCGCTTCGATGAGCTTTCAATACATAATGATGGACAGAATACAGGATCGACTGCAATTGATCAGTCGACCAAGAAGCCATCGTGTTGCGAGGTCGACCCCGTAGCTTAGTCCCGGCGCCCGCGGCGACCAGGCCTCAGGGTCGTCCGAGGAAGACGGAGGAGGTGGCCATAGCCAAGTCCGAGAGAGCAGCACAGCAAGCTGCCGAAAGAGAACTTGATGATGAACGTGCAAGACAACTCAAGGAAGCGGAGCGAGCTAGGCTAGATGCCGAGCGAGCGCCTCAACGCCAACTCATCTTAGACGAGCAGAGTCAGCGGATGCAGGTCAGTTGTGAAAGCCCGATTTGCGATAGATCAGTGGGATCATGAGTGTCAAAACCTGTTAGGCATGTGGCATTGATGTCAGAAATGAAACGTGCCGCATCCTTCCATACAGTTTCCCCCTGCAAAAGTGTACACTGTGAGCCGGGCTACATTCCCGTCGCCCGTATTCCTTCTGACTAATGCATGTCCGTGGCTCCTAATCTTAGACTCAAACAACTCTCAACTTTGCACCGGCAACAACTTCACCCCAAACTCCGTTTCCAGACCGCTCGTCTGCCATACCTTCCGCATCCGATGCCTCAGTCTCGACCAACTCCACGTCGCGCTCGATTCCGACGTCGGTCGGATCGGCATTGCCCGACAATTCAGACTCTTTCAACAGTCTCGAAGGAGGCATCCACCGGAACCTTCGCCAACGGTTTCCAAAGTCTGGTGTTTCTCCGTGCCATGCCAATGCGTGCTTGGCTGACTACGTGCTAGTGCACAATCTCACGGTCAGTCCAACTCCACCATCGCGATTCGAAGAAGCGGCAACCGTTCTCACCCATTATCCCTTGTGTTCGCAGGTTGGGACGTTCAATCGTACCGGAAAACCATTCGTGGGGCACTACGACCTCTGGCCCACTGTGGAATTACATCGTCTGAGGCGCAAGACCTCGGCATTTCTCCCACGGCACTCAACCACTGTGTCAGATATAGTCAACCCGCTGCTCTACACCACCGAAACATTCGGCATCGTACCTGTTGTTCAGTCGCCAACAGCGCAAATGCGCTTTTTGATCGAGCCCTATCATATCGAGCGCGGGACTCTGCGTTTGGAGCCCGTCAAGTGGTCGCCATGGAACTTGCTGCAAAACAATACGCCGGCGATACAGCATATGCAAAGCCGGCTGCCAACCGATCGCAAGCTTCGCCACGACTGGCTAGCGGAACGTCAGGGTACTCGATTCGCTGTATTGCATGTCCATACACCCAGCGAACGAGCGCTATACAGATATCTCTCGAGCAAGGTACGACTGGGAGCTCCTCAATCTTCGGATACTCGAGATTACCGAGCTTTGGAACAAGTATGCCAACGGAATAGACATTTTTTACAAAGTATGTCGCGTCTGTGTCACACTGAATGGTGATGTTGAGCTGAAGCGCAATTCTCACACAGATGCCAGAGCACATCAATACATGGGCATCGAGATGGTCGTCGCTGGCAAATGTTCAAGCCACAATGAACATGGGTGGGAACGACGTCAGAGTGATTCAAGCTTTGCTTACCGACCCCTCCCGCGGTCGTGATGTCAGCGTGCTAGCGGCTGAGCCATTACTCGGTCACAAACCGCCAGTCTTGGGGAGGCTTACGGAGGTAGAAGTCGATGCCTCGGATCCTCCAACGTCATCCATCCACCCCTTATTGCAACTGCCTCGAGCGACGCTGGTTCGAGCGCGGGCTTGGGCACGAGCAGCGCTTTGACGCGCGCGGGTACCACAAAAGGGGCAAGGCACTGTCGATTATGTGGCCAAACTACTTGTCGACGCAAGGGGTCAAAACTCAGCGATGACGGATCGATGACTGGGTGTGACGGGGCGTGCTTGGACTGCGGGAAGCCTTTCGGGCTGACAGACGAGATGGATTCGAACGACCCACAACCACGAAGGTTCTGTAGAGGACTGAGAAGGGCTGAGATGAATGGCCGAGCTCGGCATCAAAAGGCACAACTTTGTAGCTGCATAACACCTGGGTAATATGATGTATGCTGTCAAAATGACATGTTCCGTACCACTTTCTCTCTTTCTCCTTTTCACCTCCCCCTCCCTCTTCTTCTTCTTTCTCCTTCTTTCTCTTCCCCTCCCTCTTCCTTTCCCCCCCCCCCCCCCCTTTTTTCCTTCCTTTTCTTTTCCTCTCCTCCCACCCACCCCCCGACATGGGTACGGGCCCGAAATTTCAGGGCCATTTTGCGGTGGTTCTCTGTAGCGTGGCAAGTACTTACAATTATCCAAAACGCAGAGATGTTATTGATCTTCTACTAGAAAAAATGGCCTGTGCCGATACCCCATCTGTAGGCGAAGCTATAATGATCTGAAGTGTGTAAATTTGGTCAATTTGGTCCCGAGTGGTCCGAGCGGCAGCACGCTGCTGCAGCCGCGCGCATCGGTTTCTCTCCCGTCCCATTCCGCATCACTCGTCTTCTCGGTACTATGCTCTTCGCTTGTGCTCGGTGCAACACCGCGCTTATCTCAGAATGACGCGCAACCGCAGACGCTATAGGACCCCCGAAAGCCCAGCCTGAGGCGCGTAGGTAAAATCCGCTAAAATCCCGGATTTTGGACCTCTTTTGTCCACCAATTTTTGGATTTTTCGCCCAAAAAAGTCCCCAAAATGTCCAGTCCATCTACGCGCATCCAAAAATAGCTCTAGAATTGCTTCAAATGCTCCAAAACATCTTCAAAAATCGCGAAAACGCCGTCCGGACATCTTTCGCCCGGACCGAATCGGCGGAGCCCCCGCGCGCGTCAGCCGTTTTGGATCTGCTTCGCCGAGGGCTCCTCACCTGCACTTGCTGCCTGCCTTTTTGACTAGCTTTGACGTGGCCTTGGTATACATGTAACGTACTACGAGAGGTAAGATCGATTGCAGTCACTCTGGGAAACAGTAAGCTAGCTACCGTGAGATCCACGAACCCCAAGGATCATTGAGGGGGTAATTGCTCCTCAACGAGCAGTGAAGGCATCACCTCCGGAGCTCTAATGATGAGACGTTGATCTTCGATGTCGACACGCAGATAACTTCACCAGCTCTTGGCTACTGATAACAACCGAACGCATGCGCTCGGCGTGATCTATATGCCGCCAGATTCGACACCGAAAGGCAGCCGATAGTGATAGATTGGTGGCCTTGCCTACGTGTCGCAACGATTGCTCCACGGACCACGATCCTTCAACTTGTCCCTCCAAGCATCGAGCGGCCTAGCAAGAGTATCACTTGTCTGTCGAGACTCGACCATGAAAGCTGTATCCGGGTGTCTGGTTTGTCAAGCTGGAGGCGAGAGGCTCAGACACCCTCACGTCCATGAGGGGTGCCATTTGCTCAAGAATATCGTCAAGGAGATCGATATCCGGATCTCAAGATACGTTTCATCGAAGCAAGTCGTGCCGAAAATGTAGGATATTGGCGATGATGGCACAGACGACGTCGACGCGACGCGGCGAGGAAGGCAAGAGACGCGCGCACTCAAATGCTTCGTTCAACCGGCCAAGAGGTTATAAGTGCAAAAATACATCAATTAGAGCCGTTGTTGTGCATTCGGTACAGCCCAGAATGATTCGCGCGCGCTCCCGCACGTTCTTGAGGGTCGGCAAACTTTGGCCTTCCAAGCCGAAAGTGGCCGAAATGGGTCACGATTTGTCCACTGACACCTACGGGCCTAGCACCCCACCCACACCGGCGCACCTGATTTGTCCACCCCTGACTACGCGCCTTGGCGATTTTGGCCCATCTGAGGCCCAAAATTTGTCCAGTCGGGCCCTACGCGCCTCAGGCCGGGCTTTCGGGGGTCCTGACGCTATGACTCGACGACTCGCCAGGATCGCCGCCGTCAGGCGGATCTATTCGCTCGGTTTCGGGCCAACTTTCGGCTCCACAAGCTCTCACTATGTCAATACCTCTCGTGGTATTTCAGCCCATCAACACAACACGATGGTGTTCACAAAGCTCTTCAACAGTAATTGGACCCAGCTCAAGCATGTACTTGATCTCATCAAACACCTCGCCCGCGAAGATGGCCCAGACGCACGAGGCCGAATCAATGATTGGATTGCCAACCAGGTGGGTAACACTCCAGCATATCAGATCAGTATACAAGAACGCGGCAAGGCCTCTTAAACACTTGCAACCTACCTGTGCAGTCTGACTCAATCATTGTGAAGGAGATGAAACGAACCAAATCCGCCTTCGTCTCCAGCCACGACATGGCTCCCGAAGTCTTGGCATCTGATCAGATTGACGCGCAACACCACCAGTCGAAGAATCAAACTGCGACAAACTCATCTCGGATTCTACGGACGTTGACATGGAGGACGCTCAAGAGGATAGCTCTGGGTCGGATGCAGAACGGGGGTGTTTCAAGGAGCAACATGTATCATTTGTGCGTAATTATTGCCTGAGCTCAGCCCCTTGGTCAAAGTCAGATTGATGATGGTGTTTGTTGACTTGCCGCAGCTTTGTCGCTCGATAATGGGTCAGATCGCCTTCGCCGTGTAACCGAAGAAGCAATGCTATGCAGCATCGTAACGGTCTCATGGCTCTCGCATGTGGAGCGAACGATTGGTTGACGACGTACCTGTACGACTGTGGCCTCACGACCTCTCGCCGTACGACTCGACGAGCAGCTTTGAGCCTGACAATGGCCAATCTGACGTTGCTTAAGAAGATCGGGTCAACCCGCTACTTCCATGTCACTCTTGACAACATCAAAGTTGCACATCACGTCAATGACGAACAACTCGATCGACGTTCCGAGCTGCTTCATGGGATTTTCGGGTATGCGCACGTTCAGAATGGAGACGTGGCCAACGTGTACGACCTTCAAGCATACATTGCGCATCAAGCACTGTTACCTCCGGTCGATGTAAACATCTTCTTGCCCGCTGAAGCGTCTGAGGAGGCCTTCGCCACAGGTTTTTCCGCCCAGATGTATCGAGCGCTTGCTTGACTGGTTCCTCATCTCGGCCTCACGCTTCACGATAGAGTCGCCCTTACGATCAGCTTCGAGGGCAAAGCCAACGACATCAATGGACCATCACTCAACCAACACAACCCCCGAACTGCCTATCCGTCGCTCTCGGGCTGCTCACTGGAGATCACAATTAACTCAAGAAGATCGAGTTGACCCGATTGAGTTACGCAAGAAGCTCAGACTCCTCTTGGTCGACAAATTTGGCGAGGACTTCGTCCCCCGGCCGGTGCAAATCGAAGCTCTCGCGGGACTTTTTCAGCTCGAGCGGTTCAAGACTCGAAATCAGTATGACGCTGTGTTCGTCATTGCTCCAACGGGTTCAGGGAAGAGCTTGATATTTCAAGCCATGTATTTGGTTTACGGACGCCGGGCTGTGACCATAGTTGTCAGTCCTCTGACTGCGGTGAGCCAACATCAGATAGGCTTTATTCGGTTGGCCGCTGAGGCGACGCCGGTGCTGAGTCCTACGGTCTTGATACCTTTACAGGCCGACAATCTCAATCAAGAGCGAAAGAAAGCGGTTGTCATATGCAAGGAAACATGGGGTGACGCAGAGCTGTACCAGCAGTTGAGCGATCCCTCCCATACTGTCTCATTCATCTTCATCGTACGCGTCCATTCAATCCGTCACAGGTTTTTGCATGCTCACAACCCCCGTACTGATATCTTGCTACTAAAAATCTCCGACAGTCTCCAGAGATGCACAATGGAGACAAGCGCTGGGCTGAGCTGATATCGAAGGACTCGTTCCGAGAACGAGTCCAGCTGCTTGCCTATGACGAGGTAATCAAGATCGCCGAGCGGGGATTCAGCGAAAGGGAGCGCGCCGGAGCTATGAGCCACACAATGGAAGGCTCGACTGCATTTCGCCCCGTGTATGGGCAAGTTGCGGAGCGGCGTCTCATACTTGGCTGTCAAACACTCTTCCTCACCGCCGGCGCTCCACCCTACAAAATCAACAAGATCCTAAAGGTATCCAGTCTCTCCGAATCGCGGACATTCTTCGCCAAAGCCGACCTTTTCCGACCAAACCTACGCAATAATGTTGTCGAGATGACACCAAGAACAAACGGTACGACGGGAAGTATCAGGGATCTCCTTAACCAGCGGTCAGATCCCAGCACCTTTCCCCAGTCCATCATGTACTTCAACAGCCGGGAAGCCACGTCAAACGCGCTCCTCGCGGTCCACGAACAATACGGGATTCCAATTTCAGTCCACTCTCCCCTAGCGCGCAATCGACAAGATCGAGGATGGCAAGGACTTTCTGCGAGGTAAATTCCCTTTCTGGATGACAGCATCAGCCTTGGGTCTCGGCATTCACTACCCGGGCATACGGCACGGTGACTCAGTACGGCGGCACTACCATTGAGGATGACGGCCGGCGCAAAGGATAAGGCGAACGTAGTGGGCAGCAATCGATCGGAATCACCTTCTTGGAGCCTCGCAAGGATACGCAGAAGAGCCGCGCGAGCAGCGATCAGGAGCAAACCGACGCCGTTCCTGACGATAATTCAGCTTTCACTTCGCCCGAAGATCCTTCGCGGGCGAGGTGTATGATGAGATCAAGTACATGCTTGAGCTGGGTCCAATTACTGTTGAAGAGCTTTGGCCTATGCTTGTGAACACTATCGTGTTGTGTTGACGGGCTGAAATACCACGAGAGGTATTGACATAGTGAGAGCTTGTGAAGCCGAAACCGAGCGAATAGATCCGCCTGACGGCGGCGATCCTGGCGAGTCGTCGAGTCATAGCGTCTGCGGTTGCGCGTCATTCTGAGATAAGCGCGGTGTTGCACCGAGCACAAGCGAAGAGCATAGTACCGAGAAGACGAGTGATGCGGAATGGGACGGGAGAGAAACCGATGCGCGCGGCTGCAGCAGCGTGCTGCCGCTCGGACCACTCGGGACCAAATTGACCAAATTTACACACTTCAGATCATTATAGCTTCGCCTACAGATGGGGTATCGGCACAGGCCATTTTTTCTAGTAGAAGATCAATAACATCTCTGCGTTTTGGATAATTGTAAGTACTTGCCACGCTACAGAGAACCACCGCAAAATGGCCCTGAAATTTCGGGCCCGTACCCATGTCGGGGGGTGGGTGGGAGGAGAGGAAAAGAAAAGGAAGGAAAAAAGGGGGGGGGGGGGGGGGAAAGGAAGAGGGAGGGGAAGAGAAAGAAGGAGAAAGAAGAAGAAGAGGGAGGGGGAGGTGAAAAGGAGAAAGAGAGAAAGTGGTACGGAACATGTCATTTTGACAGCATACATCATATTACCCAGGTGTTATGCAGCTACAAAGTTGTGCCTTTTGATGCCGAGCTCGGCCATTCATCTCAGCCCTTCTCAGTCCTCTACAGAACCTTCGTGGTTGTGGGTCGTTCGAATCCATCTCGTCTGTCAGCCCGAAAGGCTTCCCGCAGTCCAAGCACGCCCCGTCACACCCAGTCATCGATCCGTCATCGCTGAGTTTTGACCCCTTGCGTCGACAAGTAGTTTGGCCACATAATCGACAGTGCCTTGCCCCTTTTGTGGTACCCGCGCGCGTCAAAGCGCTGCTCGTGCCCAAGCCCGCGCTCGAACCAGCGTCGCTCGAGGCAGTTGCAATAAGGGGTGGATGGATGACGTTGGAGGATCCGAGGCATCGACTTCTACCTCCGTAAGCCTCCCCAAGACTGGCGGTTTGTGACCGAGTAATGGCTCAGCCGCTAGCACGCTGACATCACGACCGCGGGAGGGGTCGGTAAGCAAAGCTTGAATCACTCTGACGTCGTTCCCACCCATGTTCATTGTGGCTTGAACATTTGCCAGCGACGACCATCTCGATGCCCATGTATTGATGTGCTCTGGCATCTGTGTGAGAATTGCGCTTCAGCTCAACATCACCATTCAGTGTGACACAGACGCGACATACTTTGTAAAAAATGTCTATTCCGTTGGCATACTTGTTCCAAAGCTCGGTAATCTCGAGTATCCGAAGATTGAGGAGCTCCCAGTCGTACCTTGCTCGAGAGATATCTGTATAGCGCTCGTTCGCTGGGTGTATGGACATGCAATACAGCGAATCGAGTACCCTGACGTTCCGCTAGCCAGTCGTGGCGAAGCTTGCGATCGGTTGGCAGCCGGCTTTGCATATGCTGTATCGCCGGCGTATTGTTTTGCAGCAAGTTCCATGGCGACCACTTGACGGGCTCCAAACGCAGAGTCCCGCGCTCGATATGATAGGGCTCGATCAAAAAGCGCATTTGCGCTGTTGGCGACTGAACAACAGGTACGATGCCGAATGTTTCGGTGGTGTAGAGCAGCGGGTTGACTATATCTGACACAGTGGTTGAGTGCCGTGGGAGAAATGCCGAGGTCTTGCGCCTCAGACGATGTAATTCCACAGTGGGCCAGAGGTCGTAGTGCCCCACGAATGGTTTTCCGGTACGATTGAACGTCCCAACCTGCGAACACAAGGGATAATGGGTGAGAACGGTTGCCGCTTCTTCGAATCGCGATGGTGGAGTTGGACTGACCGTGAGATTGTGCACTAGCACGTAGTCAGCCAAGCACGCATTGGCATGGCACGGAGAAACACCAGACTTTGGAAACCGTTGGCGAAGGTTCCGGTGGATGCCTCCTTCGAGACTGTTGAAAGAGTCTGAATTGTCGGGCAATGCCGATCCGACCGACGTCGGAATCGAGCGCGACGTGGAGTTGGTCGAGACTGAGGCATCGGATGCGGAAGGTATGGCAGACGAGCGGTCTGGAAACGGAGTTTGGGGTGAAGTTGTTGCCGGTGCAAAGTTGAGAGTTGTTTGAGTCTAAGATTAGGAGCCACGGACATGCATTAGTCAGAAGGAATACGGGCGACGGGAATGTAGCCCGGCTCACAGTGTACACTTTTGCAGGGGGAAACTGTATGGAAGGATGCGGCACGTTTCATTTCTGACATCAATGCCACATGCCTAACAGGTTTTGACACTCATGATCCCACTGATCTATCGCAAATCGGGCTTTCACAACTGACCTGCATCCGCTGACTCTGCTCGTCTAAGATGAGTTGGCGTTGAGGCGCTCGCTCGGCATCTAGCCTAGCTCGCTCCGCTTCCTTGAGTTGTCTTGCACGTTCATCATCAAGTTCTCTTTCGGCAGCTTGCTGTGCTGCTCTCTCGGACTTGGCTATGGCCACCTCCTCCGTCTTCCTCGGACGACCCTGAGGCCTGGTCGCCGCGGGCGCCGGGACTAAGCTACGGGGTCGACCTCGCAACACGATGGCTTCTTGGTCGACTGATCAATTGCAGTCGATCCTGTATTCTGTCCATCATTATGTATTGAAAGCTCATCGAAGCGGCGCTTCGCGGCCTGGACTTGGCTCGCGGTGTTCGCGGTGTTCGCGGTGTTCGCGGTGTTCGCGCTGTGTAGAGTGTCGACACAGGGGCCGATCTCGTTCTGGCACGCTGTCGATGCTGTCGTAGCCGAGGTGCCGACGATTTTGTCGTCCGTGTTATCGGCGCTTCGTTTCCGAAAGAAGCGTGACAGCAGTTGCACCGTAGGATATGGCACGTTGCAGCATGAAGACAAGGGGATGGCCGCGTGCGGCGCGCCTGATTGCGCCAACTCGGTGCGCCAACTCACGCGCGCGGTGCGCTAACTCAAGTGCGCTAACTCGGGCGCTCGACTGCGCCAACTCAATTTGGCGCGCGCGAGTTAGCGCAAGCGCACCCCCCAGCACCGGTACCGCCCCAAGTTTCGGAGGGCAACGGGGCCAGGCGCGCCGATGTCCTAAGCGCCTCGCGCCTCCCAGTGGGAGGGCTTAGTTGAGCTTACGCCGCACGGGTTTTGGATTTCTAGTTGAGGGGAGGACTGAGTGAATAGTCGTATTTCGCGAACAAAAAAAAAGACAAAAAGAGTGCCATCAGAGAGGCTTGAACTCTCGCCCTCCTGCTAACAACTAATTACAGAATCCCTAATGAAATTAGGAAACTCGAATTACTAGGCAGGCGCAACTACCACTGTGCTATGACGGCGGCTTTCGCACGAGTCATTGCCTTGGTGCCAGGGTGCAGCGTTGCTTATATAATTAGGGATCTTGTCGTTAGTACGTTGAATCCGAAGTATCGGATTGGTGGACTTGGCCCGTTTCTCGCATCTTGCGGGCGGTTTGTGTTATCATCGTCGACTTCCATCTAGTTTTTCCGTAGGCCAATCAGGGGGAACAGGAATTGGGGGCAATATGATGAACGGTTTCTACAAAAAAAAAAAAACAACAGCGAGTACGATCGACGCGGGCTCCCGCAGCGACTGGCAATCGCGGCCTGGTACCGGTTCACTGTCGATCGACACAAGAACACCCCCTTGGCGGCGGCGGTGGCGGCGGGACGACTCAACGTGCCTCCCCGGATCGGCACCAGCGCACCGCTCGAGGCGATCATCCCCAAGCCCGTGGCCCGCTTCGCAATGGAGCAGCGCCTTCCGGACCCGGTGCTTCCACAACAGGCGAGCCAGTATACGCTGCTGAACATGGCTCGCCCCTACACAGTCCGTCGCATCCGCCGGGTCCTGAACGCGAAGGCATTTACCAACATGCTCGGGCTCAAGGGACCACCGCAGCCGGACGACCTCAGGAGCTTCTGGAAGGCAGTCAACTCGAAGGCACTGACAGCGAGGGAGAGGGAAGTTTGGTTCAAGCTGATCCTCCGCTTCACCCCGACGCGCAAGCTCCAGCACGAGCAAAAGCACGACACTTCTCCCGCGTGCCTCGTCTGCGAAGCGCCGGTGGACGACACCGATCACTACTTCTTCGGCTGCTTCGACTCGCGAAACGTCTGGATCGCGGCGAGGGGCGTGCTCTGCGACGCGCTCGGATGCGACACGATCGAGGACGCCGAGTACACGACGCTTCAACGACTCTTTGGCCTCCCCAAGCTCAAGGCCAAGCTCAGCGCACAGGAAGGCGCGGGCAGGACGATCGAGATCTTCACGGGGATGGTTTTGGAGATGATCAGCAGTGGGAGATGGAGGATGCAGAAGCACGGGACGAGGATGGAAAGCGTGGAGAGGAGGAGGGTGGTACTGGAGGAGAGGATGAAGTTGAGGGCGGGAGGAGCAAGAGGCAGGCGAGTGCAGTAGAGGCTAGGTTCGATTTCCCCCCACCCCATCCCACACTCACACACCCCACATCACACATCCTCTTACAAAAACTGTATACTAAATATATTTTCTTCATCTTTCTTTCTTTTATTACAGGTCTGCCTCCGTTGCTCATGGACCGGCTCGCGATTTGGGATTGACTCGACGGTGGCTCGCGCTCTCTGGCTTCGGGGTTCTGAGTGTAAGGGAGGGATCAGCAGACACAGGCAGAAAGTCGGCTTTGAGGGGCCAGGGACTGCTGAGGTGGAGGTTTTGAGGGGCCTCCACCGCGTCTTGTTGTGACCGAGCATAGACTTGGGATTTCGCGGGTCAGGGTAGCTGCGCAGTCGCTCTCCTGTCTTTGTCTCGACCGAGTTGGGAAGTGGGTGCGGGGTGGGCCTCTTGTCGTTAGTACGCCAGTTCTTTTTCATTTTCTCTCTCTCTCCTTCTCTCTCTCATTCGTCTCCTGGGGGGGAGCAACCGCTTGGCTGGGGCACTTGAATCCGAAGTATCGGATTGGTGGACTTGGCCCGTTTCTCGCATCTTGCGGGCGGTTTGTGTTATCATCGTCGACTTTCATCTAGTTTTTCCGTAGGCCAATCAGGGGGAACAGGAATTGGGGGCAATATGATGAACGGTTTCTACAAAAAAAAAAAACTTGGCGCCCATCGAGACGCAGAAGGGTGCGCTCAACGCCGCTTTGCCACAAGAGATCGAGATCCTGGGCGCCAAGTACGGCTTGCGACACGAATTCGAGACGCACTACTGCGCGGTGTGCGATCGCGCCGGACACCAGTGGGGCGCTTGCAGGAAGCCGGTTTCGACTCCGGCCACCGCCGCCCCTGTTCCGGGGGCCTCGACCTCGACTTCGACTTCGACCACCGGCTTCCGAGTTGCTGGAAAGAATGGGAAGCACGGTGGGCCTGCCGCATTGAACTCTCGTGTCTCTGGCGCGAACATGATCCAGCTGGGACCTCGTGCTAACCCCGCAGGTGCAGTAACCGCCAACAAGGACGACGCGAACGACGGCGACGACGAGTCGATCGTTTCGACCGAACCGGAGGGCGGCGACACTGGGGAAGAGACGTCGACGCGTGCGACCCTGGGCTCAACAAAGGAGACGCAGACGACGACGGCGGCGCCCGTTTCGACCCCGACCTCTCCTTCGCCTTTGTCCGGTGGCACGTCGGGATCATCGGCAACCTCGACAACCTCGATAGCCTCGACGAGTCCTCGACGCCTTCGTTCGAGCTCGGCACCCGGCAACCGACGTGTCACCCGGGCGGGATCCGCCATGATCCTCGGTGCATCAGGGGGTGATGGCTCAGGGGGCAACAGTTCAGGGGGTCACAGGTCCGAGGTGACCGAATTCGAGGGGGGCGGCGCTGAACTGATTTAATCATGATTGAGTCACTCACCGTGTTGACGTTCAACGTCCGATCGATGAAGAACGCAGTCAACCAAGTCAAAATCATCCGTTATCTCAAAACCCTTCGGCCGGCCCCTGCGGCCATCCTCCTGCAAGAGCACCACCTCAGCTACAACGCGTCGCGCGAAGGCTTCGAGAGTGCTTGGCCGGGGGCTTGTATTCGTTTCACTCCTCATGTCCTTACCCTCATACCCGATGGCTCACCTTTGGCGGGCCATCTCCTTTCCTCTACCCCGGTCGTCTTTGCAGGAGCTCCTCGTTTCGACGGTCGGATTCTGCGCTCGGTGTTTCGTCTTGAGGAGCTCGATGTCGAGATCATCAACATGTACGCGCCGGTGCAGGAGGACGATCGTCGCGACTTTTTCGGGCTTCTGCACTTCAACGCCCCGAGACCCAAGATTCTTCGGATCTTGGCCGGCGATCTCAACGATTGTCCGGATGTATCGGTCGACCGAGTGTCCATCACCGATCGCGCTTGGACTCCTGTATCGCACTGGCAGACCTTGCTGTCAAAGATCGCGTTCAAGGCACTCGACACGGTCCGACATGTCCATCCTTGCACCCCTGCATTCACTCGTCCTCACTACCGTGGTAGAGGGGAAGAGCGAAATATTTGCTCGTGGTCGCGGATCGACTATATTCTTGTCCAATGCAGTTGGGCGAACCGGTTGTTGAGCGCTTCTACGCTCTTCGATGCGCCCTGTTCGGACCACAGACCTGTAGTTGCGACTTTCGCTTTGCCTACATCGAACGCTGATGCCGAACCCCCCCTTTCTCTTCCCTCCACGAGCGATTTCATTTCGAGGCTCAACCCAATGGTCTTTGACGATCAAGACTTTGTCGCATCGATTCCCGGGGTCGTCGACGAGGTCTATCGAAGGCTCGAGGGGACCGCTCCGCTCGGCGACGTCCATGACGCCGCTCTGCGGGCGGTTGCAGTCGCTGGCCATGCACGATACCGCTCGACTCGTGCCGACATGCGCCGACTGCGGGCCGAGAGCCAATCCGTCATGGAGGCTTTGGAGGCACGCGGTGAGCACATGAATGAGGCCGAGCGCGATGCGTATGCTCTTGCCAAGTCGCGGTTGGACCAGTTGGCGGTAAAGGAGGCTCAGTGGCTGCGCATTCGTGCGCATGTGCCGTCAGTCGACTCGAGGGAAGGTCAATCGGCAAGCATTCGCACGCGCCTCAACCGCCGGAGTCGCCAGACGAGCATCGTCTCGCTGGAGGATGTGGATGGCACCGAGACCGTTGACATGCAGGAGGCGCTGGGTATTGCTTCACGGCACGCGCAGTCGCTCTTCACGCCGGACCCAGCTCGTGGCGACCCGACGAACGCACGCCGGTCCCTGCTCGACCCTATTCGCGCAGCGAAATGCTACGATGACGACCGCTCGGACCCTACGTTCGGTCGTCGGCTGCCTCGTCAAGCGAGAGTGGCGCTTGACGAGCCCTTCACCCTCCTCGAGGTTGAAGCGGCGTTGAAGAAGACGGATTCGGGGCGATCACCGGGGCCCTCGGGCATTCCGTACGAGCTCTTCAAGGCGCTGCCAACCTACTTTGCTCCCAAGCTGTTGGACTTGTTCAACTCGATTTGGGAGGGCGGCAAAATGACGGCGTCCTTGGCAGAGGGGCTGGTGCGGCTCTTGCCCAAGAATAAACCGGGGGCCAATCTGAAATCACTGGGGGCATACCGACCGATCACATTGCGCGAGACGACCTACAAGGTCCTCAGCAAGGTCTTGGTGGCGCGACTCAATGGGGTGCTCGGCGAGCTTTTACCGCCGGCGCAACACGGTTTCATGCCATCAAGACGTTCAGCGGACGCGGGAAGTCATCTCACTCTCCTTCTCGAAAAACTCAAGTCGCTAGGCACTGATGTTTTCCCCGAGGGCGCCCTCTTGTCTTTGGATCAGCAGAGCGCGTACGATCGGGTCGATCACGCCTGGATCTTCGAGGTCTTTGAGGCCTTTGGGTTCGGTGAGCGTTTCATCTCGCTGCTGCGCGCTCTCTACGATCCCGAGACTCTGGGGGTGCGCTACCTTGTCAATGGGTTCCCCACGGACTTGGTGCGGTTGCTGTGTGGTCTCGGTCAGGGGGATCCCCTCTCGTGCCCGGTTTGGAACATCACGTTCCAGCCCTTCCTCGACGCCCTCGTTCGGCGCGGGATCGCGCTCGACCTGCAGAAGGTGTGGCCAGGGGGGCCGCGTGCGCAGCTTACGCATCTGGCGTTTGCCGACGATGCTGTGGTGGTGGTGGAGTCACCGGCGGCATTGTCGAAGCTGAAAACGCTGTCGCAGACGTGGTACGAGGCTACCAACGGGAAGACCAACACGGACAAGACGCTGGTGCTACCACTCGGACCGAACTGGCTTCGGGACGAGACTGCGCAGGCGCTGCCAACGGTGCAGGAGGGGGAGAGCTTCAAGTGGTGCGGCTATGCCTTCTTTCGCCACGGTGACTCGAAACTGTTTTGGACCCATGTTCTTGACAGGATCAAGGCCAAGGCCCGCGCCGCTCGAGACCGGACACTTTCGCCGAGTGGGAAGGTTTTCTATGCCAACGCTCACATCATCTCGACGGTCCTCCACGTGCTGTCCTTCGACATACCGCCTCAATGGTTCATTAAGGCGGCGGAGACGGCACTTACGGACTTTGTCTGGGGAGGAGCAGGGCGAAATACCGTCGCTCGCGATTTCGTGTTCCAGGCTCGGGAGGACGGTGGCTTGGGTTTGATTTCGATTGGCGACATCGTTCATTCGGTGGCGCTTCGATTTTGGGATGCTGTGGCGGGCTCGGGCGAGGCGATCTGGGCGCCCCTAGCTCGCGAGAGCTGGAGGTCCCTCGTCGCTGCGACCCGCGATTTCAGTCCGTGGGGGTTCTTCAGCAGCACGGCTCGGGTCGAGAAGCTGTATCGCGACTCGACGCGCTGGGGGGCAGTCGTTGCAGCGGCCAGGGTCACAGTTCCAACCATCAAGTCCGAACTCCTTACGCTTCCCGAATTGCTCTCGCTTCCGCCTCGCCTCCCTTCACTCTATGCTGAAGGTGCCCAGCACGCATATGACGATGCGGACGCGGTGGCGAAGTTTGCGCAGATCGCGGACCTGTACTGGAGGGACGAAGGGAAGGGATGGGCTCTGGTTGGTCATCGACGCGGGTTCTGGCAGCACTCTAAGGAACCCGCCCTACAGCACGAGCACGTGTGGTCGCGCGTGGGTCAGTTGCTCAAGGCGAAAGCGTTGCTGCCCAAGACCGCGTTGCGACCTGCTCGGATACCTCTCAAGGAGGCTCCCCGTCCTCGGTGCTTCAACTTCTTTGGGCTCTCCCGACCTTTTACGATTCGCAAGCTTCGTCGGCTTGTGAACAAGGTGCGGTTCCCAGGGAGGGAGGACCGTGTCAAGCGTCTCCCTGATGGGACTTCTCAGAGCGATAGGAAGCGCTTCTGGAGATGGCTTCATGACCGGTTCGCGTCTGCTGTCGAGCAGGACACCCACTGGCGGCTCATGTACGACGTGACGCCGACGCGCAAGAGGCAGCATACTCAGGGTCATGCCTCTTCGCCGACGTGTCTGTTCTGTGGCAACGATGCAGCGGTCATCGAGACGGTGTCCCACTACTTTTTCGAGTGCGCGTACTCGACCAGCTTCTGGGGTGGGGTGCTACGCATTCTGCTTGACAAGCTCGGCATCGAGGATACCGACGTCGATCCGTCGACGTTCACTCCGGAGCAGCTGACTATGGGGCTCCCCCTTTTGCGGGGTCGTGGGAGAACGACCTCGAAATGGATGTGGGTTCGGCTGGCCTGCGCGATCGGCTTCCAGCGGCTGCACCTGCTCCGCTGGCGCGTTCATCAGCGGTTCGAGCTGGACAACGTCGTGGCTCCTCCCTCGCTTCCCAGTGCGCTCAGAGCGTTCGAGCGAGATTTTCTCTCTCGAGCGGGTTTTGTGCCTGGGGTTCGAGATTGGGAGGTGTGATGACCGAGTTAAGTCCTTCCTTCCCATTTTCCTCCCCTCCTTTCCTCCCTTCCTTTTCGGTCAGAAGCTGACTGTCTTGAAACTTGTTGCGCAGTGGAAGGCTGCGCACCTCTCCCTCTCTCTCTACTTTGTGCAGTAGCGGTTTTCGTTCTTGGATGGATCGGCAAGCCGGGTCGATCGTCGTTGCGTTGGAGGCTTTGTGAAGTTCTCCCCTCTCATTCCCCCCCTTTTTTCCTTCCCTTCCTCTTCTCGTTCCTGTTGCTCGGTTGTTGACTACGCTTCAGCCACTTCTCCTTTTATTCCTAAGCCGTGTGTTGGATTCCGTCGAATAGATCGTTCGTTCGCGTTGGTCAAGATCTACGGCATGGATCGGGAAGAAAGGTCGCTCGTTTTTTTGGTCAATATCCTCGCGTCAAGGCGAGGCTTGTTTCGTTGTATTGGATCGTTTTCGCTCGGCCCCGACGGCTCAACAGCCAGCACTCGAGACTCAGCCAAGGGAGGACACATCAGGCGCTGTCGGGGTGACGAGTAGCTGGGGCTTGGCTGCGGCCTGTCAGTCCCTGGGGACCTCTAGCTCTGGCTTCGACCCCCTCCCTTGGCCCCTCGGGTGTGTTCCCCTCCTCCTCCCCTCCTCTCTGTTTTAGTATTCCTGGTTCTCCGTGTTTCCAGTCGTGACTTTTTGAATATTCTCCCCCTTTCTTTCTCTAGGCGCTCTTGCCTGGTTTTCGAGTATCTTCGCTCTCGCTCTTGGGACGTGAAGCGGCAGCAGTACTCACCGCCCGTTGGAGTCCGCGTTAGGTGCTCGGCGGGTTTTGATCCGCGCAGCGCTCTTTGCGCGCAGGGGTTTGATTTTCACCCAACTGCTTGCCGTCGTTGCTTTATAACGTCTTTTAGCTCTTTTTCTAGCGGTCCCAGCCAACCCGAAGGATTGCAATTTATGAGCCCCAGTAAAAATTAAAGATAAATGTTCGAAAAAAATATAAAAATTGTACAGTTGAAGTTGAACCTTCTTCGATCTTTTGACTTGAGACCGAGACCGCCATACTCCTTGAGGCCCCTTAACTCTTTGACACGCGTCGAACAAGGCCTCCGATGGCACAAACATCCCGCTCAATCCGAATGATTCACGTGGTCCAAAGGGGGGGATGTAACCCCCTGCGACCGCAGCAATCACATACCCCTTGTACCCAACTGCGCTGGATCTGCACCGCGGATTCCAAACCCCTTTTCAGTTACCAAAGTCGGCCCCCCCTCGCGACCGCACGACCCCAGATCACCCCCATTTCAATGACTGCAACTGCGAAACAGGCCTACTTCGCACAAAAACACACAATCCAGAGATTTCCGGGGAAAGTCACGGAGCATGTGACAGTCCATTGGACACGCCTCGGTCTGCAGCGCGGGCGGGTGGCCGACAACACCGGCGCGCGGCTGGAGACAAGAGGCGGGGTATACCTTCCGCAGGGGCCTCGCTTCCCTGCGGCGTACTCCCAATCTCGGAACGCACACTCGAGTCCCGTTGTACGTGCAGGTGGTTCCCAATCACCGCAGATACTGGGGAAAGAAGGAGCATGAGGCCCACGACGGTGATGTCATTGGGTGGGACCTCGCTCGAGTGTGGATGTGTATGTCTGTTCTGCTAGTTACAACGCATCGAGCGGCGGTTGTGGTCATCATCGTGATCGTGCATACTGGGCAGCATCTCCTTTAGTTCCGTAGGGGGTTTTCTCGTCTTGCAAATTAGCGATGAGTTTCATACAAAAAAAAAAAACTTCTACAAAAAAAAAAAAAAAAAAAAATCCATCTAGTTTTTCCGTAGGCCAATCAGGGGGAACAGGAATTGGGGGCAATATGATGAACAGTTTCTGCTATATAATATATATTATATGAATCTCAGTAATAATAATACAAAAGAATAAAATAAATAAATAAAAAACAGAAGAAGAAGAAACAGGGGAAGAAGGAAAGGGTGAACGGGGCTAAGCAACTTGAATTCCAAGTTTCGAATCGGTCGACCTGGCCAGTCAACGCAAAATATGCGCATAGTTTGTTATTAGCCTGGCGCAACCCTCATGAGTTTTAATACTTGGTTTGGTAGGTTGGTTGACAGTTGAGTGCTGCAACGCGAGGCATGATTCTACAATACAAAAGAGGGAAAAAGTCTACCAAAAAAAAAAAAGGAAGAACATGACCATGGCCGCTCTGATCGTAAGGGGAAGCAATGGGACGAGGGAGAAGAGGACGAAGAGCAACCGTTGGAGAAGGCTACTTTGATTGGTAAGTTTTCGTGTTCTACCTGTACCAGGTCCTTCACTTACCCGCGATTTCGCGGCTCCATTTTGCCCGCCATCGCCGAACTGTGCCTGAAGTTCAAACCTCGCTGCGTACGGATCCGACCGCGTCTCGTTTTTGGTCGCGCTCCACGAGCCTGGTGGCGACCTTACAGTTGACATGATCCCCAGGTACAACGTCTTCATAACGAGCTACGCCGCACTCCTCGACGCAAAGAATGCGTCTTCCGTACATCGCCCCGCCGTCCGCGTGGAATCCAGGGGCAACCAAGGCGAGCGATCTGGGGAGCAACTCGGAGATGGTCCAGCCCTTGTCGAGCCGCCATCCCAGCCACGTTTGGCGGATCTGCTTCACGCGAGGTGGATCGAGTTGCTCTGGACCGAGATCACGTGTTTAGGTAAGAAAACACTGCGATCCATACGGTCAACAAGTCGCTGGTCGCACAAAGCCGTTGGGTCGTGATGCACCGTCGCCCGGAGAACGACGAGCTGTGTTCGATGCTGCAGTTTCTGCGCATTTGTCTGCCTCTGGATGATCCAAGCGAAGGCACCCGGAGCAGGGAAACACTCTTCATCAAATCACCATCGCGGAGATCTCCCGCGTCGTCGCCAGCTCAACAACGCTACACTGCGCTCTTGATCCCCAAGCTCGACAGCTTTACGGACAAGCTCTGGTACTGGTGTAACGAGTTGCAGCTACATTTGTCACCGCTAGCGACGACGGCAGGTCCGTTCGTCCAGGTAGCTGTAACTCGTTGCACAAGTTCCAGAGCTTGTGCGTAGAGTTGTCGAGCTTGGGGATCAAGAACAACCTTCACAGCGCGGAAGTCGCTGGGGCCCAACGGAGTCGCGATCGATCCGCTAAGCGATGCCGGCTGCCATGGCGAACCCCTCACGCAGTGTAGCGTCGTCGAGTTGACGACGACGCGGGAGATCTCCGCGATGGTGATTTGATGAAGAGTGTTTCCCTGCTCCGGGTGCCTTCGCTTGGATCATCCAGAGGCAGACAAATGCGCAGAAACTGCAGCATCGAACACAGCTCGTCGTTCTCCGGGCGACGGTGCATCACGACCCAACGGCTTTGTGCGACCAGCGACTTGTTGACCGTATGGATCGCAGTGTTTTCTTACCTAAACACGTGATCTCGGTCCAGAGCAACTCGATCCACCTCGCGTGAAGCAGATCCGCCAAACGTGGCTGGGATGGCGGCTCGACAAGGGCTGGACCATCTCCGAGTTGCTCCCCAGATCGCTCGCCTTGGTTGCCCCTGGATTCCACGCGGACGGCGGGGCGATGTACGGAAGACGCATTCTTTGCGTCGAGGAGTGCGGCGTAGCTCGTTATGAAGACGTTGTACCTGGGGATCATGTCAACTGTAAGGTCGCCACCAGGCTCGTGGAGCGCGACCAAAAACGAGACGCGGTCGGATCCGTACGCAGCGAGGTTTGAACTTCAGGCACAGTTCGGCGATGGCGGGCAAAATGGAGCCGCGAAATCGCGGGTAAGTGAAGGACCTGGTACAGGTAGAACACGAAAACTTACCAATCAAAGTAGCCTTCTCCAACGGTTGCTCTTCGTCCTCTTCTCCCTCGTCCCATTGCTTCCCCTTACGATCAGAGCGGCCGTGGTCATTTTCTTCCCCAGCCTGCGGAGATCAGACTCGCTGACCAACATCCCTCCTCTCCCAAGCGTTGGGTCATCAGTCTGAGTACGACCGGTGGCGCACTGCGCTGAAGTTGGGGCAGGACGTACAAGTCATCAGATCAGGTGCATGTTTAAACGTCACATCATGAAGCTATGCTCGACTCACACGCATAGATTCGGCTTTCGTCCCACGGAAAACTATGCGGCGAATCACCGAGGCGGAGGTCAGCTCCTTTTCTGATGTTCGCAAGCGCGCCAACCGCCGCTGCCGCCGCTTGGGGTCAATGAAACAGGATGGGATGTAGACAAGCACGTACCAAATCACCTATCTTCCAGGTATGCTCGGTATCGATGCCGTGAAGAGCTCGACCTCGGTATCCCGCGGGAGCCAGTAGTCGTCGAAAGTGAGGGCGTAGTAACTGGCGTTGGGGTCGTAGGGACCGCGGAGGAGCGGATCGTGCGGGCAAGGAGGGAATGGCTTGAGTTGCATTCAAAAGAGCAGATATAGGAACATCCTGCCATCAGGACTGAGCGTTGAAGGGGGGTTGATCAAGCACGTTCAACGTGAATTCAAAGACACTGACGGTGGCTGATGGGGCTGAAGGGGGGGGGGGGGGATTCGGGTCGGGCGTGGGAGGAGCGCCGTCTGGAAAAGGGGCCGAGGCTGGACGGGAGAAAACGGAGACGACTAGTCAGCACGTAAGGTCGCGAAAGTCGATCGAGTGAGGGAATGTAACACTGACATACAAAGGCGTCTGTTCAAGAGACGAGCAGTTTTGGGAGTTGGGAGTGTTTGGGGATGTGGATGCGGAGGCGAGGAGGGAAGAGCTCCTCCTCGTTCAGCTTTCACAAGCGCGAACATCACCGAGCGCGACAGCTTGGAAAGGGGACCCCACGCGGACCGCCTAGTGCCTCCACAGCCAGCGAAACAAGCCGTGTATCGGTATCCCGGATCGTTCACTTTCCCTCGATCGCGTAAACTACCTCATCGGTGTGCTGGTAGGAGGTTTCAAATTGAGGGGCCGAAAGTCATCCCTGCCCGGGCTGATCAAGCTTTTGAAGCGGGGTCTGGTTGCAAGTGCCCGCCGGCTTCACGGTGTGGGCAATTACTCGGGCTACATCAAGTATAGAGCAAACTTTTATGGCAGCCAACAAACTTGAGGTGACTACGATGCCCAAAGCAAGCAAGGCTTCCAACACCTCATTCTATGCCTCTGATACGTCACTTCCTTCAGCTTGCCAAACCTCTCGAGTTTCTCTATGTTTCAGGAATCGTGTCGACGCACCAGATCTGTACCTTGGCATCAATTGCAACACAATTCTTCGGCAAAGAACTTGAATTTTTGGAAGCACATGAATCTAATTCACCGAGGGTGATCCTCAAGCTGGCACGAGACCTTACAATCTATCGTTGAGCTCACAAAGAATGATGCTCGCTTCGACGGCACCGATGTCGAGCGCGTTCCGGCCGATCCTCTTGCGCACCTCGATCATCCCCGCCGAAGTCGCGACACTCGCGTTCCAGCTTTTGACGCAAAAGTCGAGCACATCGCTTCGGACGGCGGGGAATTCGCTGCACAACGAGGAAAAGAGCACGATCGCCGCGTTGCGCTCGTTGAGTTGAGAGACGATGGTCTTCCGGACGAATTCGCACAATTTGGGGATTCGGAGGCGGTCCGCGAGGCGATACAAGACTTCGGGAGCGACGGGCCGAGTAGGGCACGGATGCTCGCAGTCACCGCTGGTATAGGCTCGACGGTTCGTTGCCTCCCCTTGGTCCTCTTCATGTTGGTCCTCGGCAGCCTCATCTTGGTCCTCGGCAGCTTCTTCCTCGGCAGCTTCTTCCTCGGCAGCTTCTTCCTCGGCAGTTTCGCCCTCCAAATCCTCGACTTCTGAAACTTCGTCGGAATCGACGGCCATACCTTCTGCAGCCACCGAAGAATCTGACAACATGGCTCGAACGTCGTCCTCGAGCACGGGGCCGAATGTGATATCGCATCCCCGAAGCCACTGCAGCATACCATAATAGGCGTCAAAGAGGCCGAAATCGTCTTCTTCAACCTCGATCGTGTGGATTGGCTCGTTGCATCCCCGCGACGCTTCGAGGTTCGGCGTTACGGTGTCGCCTCGGGTGCCCATGCCCTCGGTGGTGAGGCGTCGAACCGGAGCGCCGGGTGGATCGGGGGCGCGTTTTTCCGCCTCCAGAAAGCCACTCCCCAAGAGGTCCTCCCAGTAACCTGAAGCGTTTTTCAGAAAAGTGGACGACTCGTAAAGGATGCGTCCGGTCTTGGTAAAGAGGAAGCGGAGGTCGTAGGGGTGCCTGCGCAGATGAAATTCTGCGGTCGAGGCCGGCGCACGATGTCAGTCGCTGTGGCAGATCCGCCCAGATGCCGGTACTTACCCTTGTATTGTACATTAAAGGCCCGAAGCTTTTCCTCACTTTCCTCCTTGATTTGCGCGACTTCCGTGGCCAGCCTGATCGCATCGCCGATTCGTACCGTAATCCTAAAGAAGCAGCTGCCAGTGTCGGAGTCGTCGACGCATTCGAAGATCTGACGTGCGCGCACGGTCCAGCTGCGGCCGTGCGTACTATCGATGGAGCGTTCTTTGGATTTGAGAGGTTTTTCGCAGAGTACTTGAGATTTCTCAGGCGATGTCAACGGAAGCGTTACGAGGGCTAACTCGAACGTGAAGTAGGAAGTGGCGCCAACATTGATGAACTGGCAAGCCGAGCACCCGTCCCGCTCGTGCGTGCTCGCCCGAGGTTCTTCAAGGATCACGAACAACGCCTCGTCGCCCTTCCATCTGACACGCCACGAGGAGGTACGTCCCGTGGGTGCTATCGTATCGGCGAAGTAAAACCTGGGCGAGGCCTCGGGCGTCGTACGCACCGTCGTCTTGTCGAGCTTCAGCAGGAACGTATGGGACGCCCCAGCGTGCGACCACATTCCGGACGTGATTCGAGTCGAGTTCGATCAAGTGAACGTGCAGTGGGATCTTGAACTTCCGAATGAAACTAGTTCACGTGAGGTTGTTGCGGCGGAGGCGATCGGAGGACTGCACGTCGACGTGACACCTTGCAAAGGCCAAAGCGGAGAGGAGACACTCTCTGGCTCGATGACACCCGATCCGACCGCCCCCGAGCTCTCCCGAGCTTGACTGGCGTGACTGCAAAATTGACAGGGCGGATCGGCTTCAGCGCTCAAGCTCAAGCATGACGATCCTCAAAGCAATGAAAGAGACCTCAATTAAAGGACAAATCTTATCATGGGACTGGGCTATCCCGACGAGAGTTCTCCTCACCAAGCCACCTGATCGATGGCCCCTGGTGGAAATCTAGCGGCATGCCACTGTAAGTGCCCGGCGCAAACGGGCAAATGCGCGCTGCGCTACTCGGAAATGCTGTCCTTTTCACTCAAATTCCCTCGTGAATCTCGATTGCTCAGGCGCATTGCATCTCCGTCCTTTCGTGGTGATTCACCTCGTCGTACTGGGGTACGTTGATACTGCGTGAGCGTTTCGAACGTGCCCGACTATTGTTGACTGACGCCCCCGACTGTTGTTGACTGACGCCCGCATTCTACAAGTTCGTCATTGGCAGCAACTTTGGGCTCGAACTCGAATCGGGAGCTTGATCTCTGCACCAGGGGCTGGACGCGTGCTTTCTTCGTCCTCCTTGTGTACGTTCTCATCGACCACGGACACAATTCCGGCGATGGATGACCTCGAATTCCCAGCCGGTATGATGGTGCACCCCGAAGCGTCCGAGGAGGCGCAAATCGTCTTTCTCCAGCTCGAAGCAGGTCAAGCTGCGCTCTGTCGACGTTGTTGGGACAAGACGGCTCTCTCCCAGCTCGTGCACTGCTCCAATGCCTGCCACTTTTGTCGAACGTGCGTTCGTCAACATGCACGACTCCGCTACAGCGCTTCGAGGTATTGGCTCGGTTGCATTTGCGCCGAGGGCACGTGTCAGGGACGCTTGTCGCAAAGTGATTTGGGCAAGTTCTTACCCAGATACCAAGCACTCGATGATCAGATGATGCTGGTACACGTCGCGCAAATGAAAGACGTCATCGCAGCCGAGATAAAGGGGCTCGAGTGGTGCCCCCTTTGCCCCTTCGCCACCGTCGTCGAGTATGGGCTGCGAGGATCTCTGGTTTGTTCAATGGGGTGTGGTACCTGGGAGCAAGGTCAGGTAATGCTTTTTCCTGTCCTTCAAGAGTGGCACACAAAGGACACAACACATTGATGGCTGATCCCGATCGCGCCACACTTTGCGTAGTCGAGAGCACCCATTTTCATCGCAGAGGAGATCGTTCCAGAGCCATCGAAGCCATCGCCCGTGATCGCCCAGGAGTCCGAGTGCGCATTCGTTGTACCAGACATCCAAGAGGGGTCCAGCAAGGCGCAAGGGAGCTCTAGCGTCCTCTCGATCTCACCGTCGGTTACTACCAGCACGTCCACCTTAACGGCGTCGGCGTCGACATCGGCCTCTACACCGGCGAGCTCGGAACCACCCCCACCCTATGTCCCCAAGACCATCGTGTGTGCTTGTTGCTTCGACGACGATCCTCTGCTCGAGACGACCCAATGCTCAAAGGGCTGCGTCTTTTGCCTCGACTGCGCTCGCAAGTACGCCGAAACGCGCATCGAAGAAAGTCAACACACCTTGCCGTGCATGTCGACCACCGCGTGCAAGGGGCTCTTCACCGACAAAGAAGCGATCCTGTTCCTCTCCCGAACGTCTTTCGCCCGACTTGAACAACTGCGACAGGATTATGAGATTGAGCAAGCGCAGATTCCTGGACTGGAGAAGTGTCCGTTCTGTCCTTATGCCGTCGTCTTGGATCCCCATCACGGACGAATTTTTCAGTGCTTGATGCCTGACTGCGCCATCAGCTCGTGCCGCCGGTGTATGAGGGTTCGTCCCCGAGCACTGTGAGCTTAATGAAGTGATAATATACTGAACGGCGTTTGCTTTGCTACGCAGGAGGATCATAGCCCGATGACGTGTAAAGAAGCAGCTGAGCACAAGCCTGCGCAAGCAATCCACAAAGTCGCAGGTCAGCACCGTTGATTCCTTTTTTCAGTTGAATTCCAGAGCCCACCGACGGACCTTTGCTTCACGTGACTGCCACAGAGGCCATGAGCGACGCCTTGATTCGTCGTTGCCCTAACCTCAAGTGCGGCAAGACCTTCATCAAGGAGCACGGTTGCAATGTAGGTGCCACAGTTGTTTGGTTTCGACGTTCCCTCGCTGATGATCCATCCGACGAAAGCACGTCGTTTGCACTGCGTGCCGAACCGAGTCATGCTTCGTCTGCGGCGTCCTTGTAGGTCTTTTTGCCTCGTTATGACCACTCGCTACGGGACGTCTGGCTGATTCGACACTTCATCGCATGCTCACCGCTTGCAGGTCAAGGTACGACCAATGTCCTGCTCTCCTGAACGTCATGCGCAACCGACTGAACTTTTGATCCTGACGGAACGTGCAGGGCTACGGCCACTGGCAACCTCCATCTGCTTCATGCCCGCTTTTCGACGACGGCGACATGGCAGATCGCGTCTCGGGCAACGTACCTTTTCCGAACCTCTCGAATCCACTGACAAAGTCCCCTGCTGACGTATTCGCCCACCCACAGATCGAATCGGCTTGGAGGTTCAGTACCTCGTTGGTCCTGCAAGAGAATCCCGAGATTGACGAACGCGATCTCGAGAGTTTGAGATTGGTCTCGAAATGGAACCCTTCGCGACGGCGCTGAGTCGTCTCGTGTCGATTCGTTGACTCTTTTCTCCTTCTCGCATTCGAAATGCCGTCAACCGAAAGAATCTGTACATCATGAGGTTCCGCTCAATGTACAATGCAATGTGAACCAAAACCCATCTCAATCTCCCTACGCTGCCGAGTCCTTCTCCCCGCAATTTTCTTCTCGCAGTCGTCTCTCAGAGCGTCCACTTGCACTCCCGTACAAGAACTAGAGGCCGTGGATACTATCACATTGCTCTTTGTGGTTCGTTCATGCTAAGTGGGAGCGTTGTTGTGGGAGGAGCGAAGATACGAAAGAAAGAAAAAGAGAAAAAAATAACATGAAGAAGATTCCAGAAAGAGAAGGGGGGGGGGGGGGGGGGGGAAACAGACAAAAAATGAGAAGAACAGGGAAAAGACAAGTTGCAGATATGCGACGTGGGTAGGGAAGAAAAGGAAGGGGTTCTATATGGTTGAATATGGGGGGGGGGGGGGGGAGAAAAGACAAAACAAAGAGACAGAACGCTCAACGCCGGCCAAAGTGCCAAATGTTTTTGCTCAACGCGCCGAGCAGACCCTTGGCCGTACCCGCGACCTCGAGCGTGCGCCCGAACAACCCCGACTCGTTCGACGTGTCGTCGTCGTAGTAGCCAAAGCCATAGTCGTCGTGCGTCGAATCGCGGCCGCTATCGAGCGAAGATCGATCGGTAGACTTGGCCGAGGACGACGAGGGACCGAGCCCGTCCTTGGTCCCGCTGGCGGAGGCGGAGGAACCTGCCGAGCCTGTCGATCGGTGCTGCGTCGTACTATAGGACGACGACGAGCCGGCTCCTCCTCCACCACTACCGCCGCCGGTGCTGCCGCGAGCGGCGCGCAACAAAGACCGCCGAGCAAAGGAAGGGACCTGTTCGTCGGACCACTGCGTCCCCGCGAGGTCGGTCGGATCGAGCGCCGGCGAGTTCGAAAGGCTCGGCATCAACGAGCTCCCGTCCTCGGAGGACGAGTGGCGCGTTGTATCTTCGACGGTCGCAGCCGTCGACGTCGATGTCGTCGCATAGGAGGGCGAAGGCTGACGGAACCGAGGCGCGCCCGCACCACTCGAGGCGACCGTCGTCCGCCCCCCTGCAACGGCTGGTGTTGTTGCCGGTGGTGGCACGAGCGGCGGCGAAACGGGACCAGGGGCCGGCTTGGCCGTGGTGACGACGGGGCTCGGTCGACCACGAGCCGCTGTTGGCGGCTGGGCCGATGCCGAGCTCGTGACGGGGGCAGCGGAAGTCGTCGAAGCCGCCTTGATGCCATCGAGGACGGGGTCGGGGTTGATCTGCCGACTGAGCGCCGACCGTTCAGGCGAGACCGTCTTTTTGATCGCCCCCGGTGCGGCCCCCGACGACGACGACAACGACGACGACGACGAATTGGACGACGAACTGACGCGACGCGCATCGCCGAACGCGACGTCCTCGACGATCTCGATCTCTCCCCCGCTCAGACTCCGCGACCGGACGACGCTCGAAGGTGAGGGCGAAGGCGAAACGGAAATGGCGGCGGCCGGCGAGGATCCAGGCTGGGGCGTCGACGCGGTGGACGAGTCCGCTCGACCGGGCGACGTCTTGCGGATCGTGATCGACGACGAGTTCTTGTCGCCGTCGATGATGGTTTCGGTCTCGCTTTCGCTCGATTGCTCCTCGGCGAGGTCGCTGAGCTGGCGCGAGACCCCGCTGGCGGCACCGGCAGCCGTCGACGGCGCTCCGAGGGTCGAGACCGCAGTCGAGCCCGAGCCGAGAGCGTTGAGTGACTCGTACGAGCCGACGCGCCGCGAAGAAACGATCGTCGTCGGTCGTGCCCCACTCGCGATCGATGGGCCGGGAGGCGAATATGACGACGGCGAGATGCTCGCCGAACTGCTGCGTCGGTCGGCCGAGGCGGCCCGCTCGAGCGACGAACTCGAACCCCGACTCGTGCTCCGCCCTCGTGTCTCGAACGTCCCCGAGTTGGCACCCCGCGGACTACTCCCGTTATTGTTGTCGTCGGAGCTGGAGCGACGGCCTGCGGGTCGGACGTGCTGCGGGATCGCCGTCGCCATGACCGTACCCAGCGAGTTGGACGAACCGACGGGACTTGTCGGTGTTGCGGATCCGGGTGGACTCTGCCCTGGTGGCGACGAGACGAGACGCGGCACATGCGGAACCCCTTCAGTGTTGGCGGCGGCCCCGGCCGAGTTTTTGAGAATGCTGCGCTTCGGCGTCGCCGAATCTTTCGACGACGCGGCCGGAGCGTGGGGGCCGCGGATGTGGTAGCCCGTCGACGACGGCGACGACGACGTCGAGCTCCTTCCCGTCCCGCTGCGATCCGAGTTGTTGCTCGACCGCCGCGAGTGGCTCGGCGACGAGTCGACCGACGAGCTCGTGCTCGAGCCACCGGCGCTGCCCGAGTTGTGGTACGGCGGGTAGTGGCCGTTGTTACCCGTGCCGTGGTGGAACGAGGGCGAACCGGCCTCGTAGTTGTTGTGGGTGCCGGCGATGAGGTGCGTCGAGCCATACTGCGCCATATCGTACTCGTCGGCGACGCCGACGTCGGGACCGCTAAAGTAGTCAAACGCCGCGAGGCCCATCCCCACGAGGTGCTCGTCTTCGTCATCGGGGTCCCACTCGCTTTGCTGTTGCTGCTGTTGCTGACGCGACACAGCGTTGGAGTAGTCGTACAATGGTCCCCCTCGCTTCGGGGAAGAGGAGGCGGCGGCGGCGGTCCGCGACTGCTGGGCCTGGTACGAGGCGGAAGCGACGGCGGCATCGTTCGTCGTCGTCTGGTAGCTGTAGACGTTGCTCGGGCCGCCGGTCGCGCTCGCGACGGCGGGATCGTGGGGGTACACGACGGCCGGGCTCGGTGCGGGCCACTGCTCGAGGCTCTTGAGCGTCGTCGGCCCTAACCGTGCGATCGTGTGGGGTTCCTGATCGAAATGCGACGACGAGGGCGACGGTGCCGTCAAGGCCGCGGGACCGAACGTTCCGACGCGGGGACTGGACCGGAACGTCAGAACGTCGTCCTCTTCGTCGTCTTCGTCTTCCTCGTCTTCTTCGTCGTAACCCATGCCGGTGTGGCGGCCACCCCCGCTGCGGGGCATCGAGTACCGTTTGGACTCTTCGGTCGAGTCGACGGCGATGCATTGCTCGACGCGGTGGTTGAACGAGATGTGACGGTGCTCGCTCTTGCGCGTTTTGTACGGAACCGCGGCCGAGCTCGTCGACGAATCCGACATGCCGCGTTCGGGCGAGGGACCGCGAGGGGAATGCACCGGCGACGACTTTTTGCGCCGGTTGAGACTGTTGAGCCGCACGAGGTGCGAGTCGGAACGCGCGTGGTGGATCGAGATCGTCGACTGGTCCGAAAAGTCCATCCCCAGGTCCTCGAGCGTCGGCGACGTCGCGTTCGCCGGCATGAGAATGTCCGACAGCGAGCGATGCTTGAGGATGGGTTTGGTCTTGATCTCCGGTCGCCGCCCCTTCTTCGGCACCGCTCCTCGCGCCTTGCCCGTTGCGGCGACCGTTGCGGCAGTCGAGTTGGCCCCGTTGACCCCTTTCGACGTCGTCGCGGCGTTGGCCTTGTCTTCAATCGTCTTTTCGTCCTTGAGTGAACGCAGCGGCTCGAGGCCTAGCCGTTCGTTCGCGGTCGCGACGCGGGGTGGGGGGACGGCGTCGACGGAGGTGTGCAGCGGGCCGTAGAGCCAGGTGACGTCCGAGTCTTTTAGCCTGGGCGAGGGAAAGTGAGAGTCATCGAAATCAGTTTGCTGCAATACCAAGTGGGGCATGAAAGCGGTGTCGGACTTTGCGAACGAACACTCGACCCTCCGCGAGCGGTGCGGGGGCGGCATCGCACCGACCGCGACCGCGAAGCAAGACTGGACTTACCAGTTGAGGGTCTCGGGGGATATCGTCTTTAGTTTTCCACGTTGCTTGGCCCAGGTGCGCCAACTTGCGTTCTCGAGGCGCACGCCGTTCGCGATCTCGGCCTTGTGCTTGGTCATGGCCTTCCAGCTCGCCCACACGTCGTCCTCGGCCCAATCGTGGGAGAGGTAGTCGACGCAGATCGAAGGCAGGCGGGTCGTGATGCCGCTGTCGTCAGGCATGGGCCCACCAGAGATGTTTTGCGGGACCATCGAGACGTTGTACGGGTACATGGGCACGACGGACGAATGGCCGTGGGCCCGATCGCCGCAGGCGCTGGCGCCTCCGTCCGACGAGAGCGAGGTCGGCTCGGAAGCGGATGCCGCTGACGAAGGCGACGTCGAGGGGGAGGCGGCGGGGGCTACGTTCTGGTCATCATCGGAGGTGGCCGTAGCTGAAGAAGCGGTGGAGGCGACGTGATTCTTGGTCGGGTTGCGCACCGCGGCGACGGCTTCGTACAGGTTGGTTGCGGCGGTCGGGTCGCTCACGCTCTTCCTCGGCAAGCTGATCGAAGTCGGGCTCGAAGGTTGGGGAGACGAGGTCGCCGAGGCGACTTGGACTTGGGATGACATACCGTCGCAAGTCGTCCTAGGCTGTAGGGGTGCGGAGGACCGTTGCCCGGCCAGGGAGGATCACCGGCGGATCCGGGTCCAGCACGGATCGAGGCAGGAAGCGGGAAGCAGCGGCGCGGCAGCGTTCGCGGAAGGTGGGCCGACGCAGCTGCACCGACTCCAGAGCGCAGATGCAAGGTAGAGGAATGGATCACTTGTGGTCGAGCTTGGGTTCGTAGTCAGGGTGACCAAGGTGAATGAAAACTGCAAGGTCATGATCGGTTTGGGGGGGTGGGTGGGTTGGTTCGGGTACGTCAGCTGATCGTTCGAGTCGCTCGTCAGCCGTGCAAGTCGCCAGGAGTGGCGCCTGGCCCTGGGCGTGGGCGATGGGCGTGGGCGTGGGCACCGCACCACCACCGCCGCCGCGATCCTGAGACGCCCGAACGAGCAATCGCACCCAGGCAAAAGCACTCACACAAAGTCACACGCAGAGAGGGACACACACACACGCACACGCACACACAGCGAAACAACTCCTCCGAGGTAGGGTGGATTTCCACGGGCACAACACAAGTCGATGAGCACAGGGGAGGGTAGCCGTTCAAGAGAGAGACGAGACAACCGACCCCCTTGCCATGACCTTAGTCACCGACGAGCCGGCGCGCGGACCTACGCGCACGGGGTCAATTTGCCATTCGCTTGGATTCCCCCGTCGTATCCAATCGATTACCACCCAAATACGCACTAGTCCCCCCTCTTTTCCTCCTTGGCCGGCGCACCGTAGGTAAATCGACCCAGTTTTACCTACAGACGAAAAATGTGCTGGCCCAGGAACTTTGTACCTATCCAGCTCGGATCATGTAAAAAATCCTCTGGACCAACTGTGCGCCCGAGGGAGCACGTAGACGCTCGACCCGGTACTTCCCGCGGGACCACGGAAAACTTCCGTCAGGGCTTTTCCACGATTTATCCGGGGTAATCGCACTGCGAGCGCCGAGCGGGCGAGCTCGCGAGAGCCTGAAAGGCGCGCGGCACCCTAACGCGTGATCCAAAAGTAAAGCAATTTGAATTGATGTAATTCAAATACCGGGTGCCACATTAGGTGCGTAAGGCACACGTGCCTTACAGAGCCTCGACCTCGGCCAGTTCATATGATCCGGTCCGAGACGCAGGATTCTCTACTTTGCGTCGTCTTTATCTCTTTGGATATGCGGACATAGATTCAAGAATTCTCCGTGCTACTTTGCTTGTGCAGGCCGGTTCAGCTAGTCCGTGCTCACGGGACAGAGCAAAGTCGTTTTCCTCTCGAACTTTGTGCGGAAAACAAAACGATCGAATACAGAGTTGCACACCACTGAACAGCACCTACCAAGCATCGACTGTCCTCGGGTCCAACCTCTCGGTCTCTTGTTCGTACTCGACTTCGACCCTCGGCCCCTTCTTGTTGTTTCCCCCCTTGCGAGGTTTCTTGACCGCTCGCTTCGGCGTCGGCGGTTCGGGCTTGGTTGCTTTCCTCTTCCCCTTGGAATCCTGAACCTCTTGATCCTCATCATCCTCATCATCCTCTTCCGAACCCTCCTCCTCAGTTCCACTCGGCCCGTCCTCGTCCGAATCTTCGGACCAAACCCCTTCTTCATCCCCACCCACGTCCTCCAAATCCTCCAAATCACTCTCATCGAAATCACTGACAAACTCAGCCTGTCCAGCCTCATAATCCTCCTCTTCGTCGTCCTCCTCAAATTCATCCGAATCGTAATCAGTCTCATCATCGGACTCCATCCCCAACCCTGCCAATTCCTTCTCCCTCTCCTTCTCCCCTTCGACCCCACCTTCCTTCTCCCTCTTCTCGCGGTTCAATACGGCTTGCCAAACTTGTTCATTGACGTTCAAGGGGGCGTCACCGTACGCTCGGGACTTCAACCGAGCGATCAACTCCTTTTCGAGTGACTTTTCGAGTCGCGCGGCGGTGAGCGCTTTCGCTTCACGAGCCGATTCACGTCGCTCCAATTTTTGCTTGATCGGTACGAGTTGAGGTCTGCGTGTAACCAAAGATAGAGGTGAGCATCTGGCGCCTGCTTGGTAGTTTTTTTTTTTTTGTTGATTTTGAGCTAGGAATGGAACTTACGCATCCTTGAGCTTGAGCTTCTGCATCTTGATGAGGTATTGGGTGATCTTGGTCATGCGTTGCTTGCACTTGTGAATGAGGTAATCAGGCCAGTAGATGAGGTGTTGATCGATCTGTTCGGAAAAATAAGTCAAAGTATCGCGTGCTGTCAGCTCGTATCCGTTCCGTTTAGCGAGAAGGGGACGAGGAGAGAAAGAACCGACCTGATCCAACGCCTTGGTGTAATTCGACGACAGCCTCACGCGCTCCCACATCTTGCTCGGCAGATGAGCCCTTTCGATCGTCTTCATGTACAGATACACCGTTCCTGTTGAGCCGACATAGAATGACCCAGCGTCTCAGTGGGATGGAACAAACTCTGAGAATGTCTTCGATTTGAGGTGGATGTGATGGACTGACCGGCATGCTCGCGAACGGTCGCATACCGACTGTTGGCCAACGGGCACGATTGACGCGAGCAGAGACCAGTTAGGTTGTATTCGTTGCGACAAAAGTTTTGGGTGATCGTCCTGGTGAAAGGAACGAATGGAAGGAGAAGGAGCGGAGACGAGGTGGCGAGTGAAAGGACGAGGAGAGTCAGCATACGGGGGCATGCGGTCATATCCGTATTTTGATAGAGCAGTACGCACTTGATCTTGTATGAGCAATGTTGGGTGTTGATGATACCCCTGTGAAAGTGCGAGTGGTCCAGCAGTCGAGAGCTGATCAGCCTTCCGAGCCTTCCGCCGTGCGAGACCCGTAACTGACCAGATCACGTCGTCGGACTGCATTTTCAGTCAAGGTGTCCGACGAGGGAGGAAGGTTGTGAAAGATCTGCCTTGCGCCGAGTCGATTCCGTGATGATCACGTCTAGAGACCCGTTGTCGTGTGGTGCGGTCGATGAGCTAGGGTAGCGAGCGCTTGGAGCAGTCGAGGTCGTCAATGTACGGGGCAAAGGATATCCCACTGCTGGTGGTGCGTCGCCAAATAGAATGTACTGCCTCGTGGAGGCGAGAAGGGTCGAGATGAATGCGAGAGAGCGAACCAGACGTGAGCAACAACCGACTGCGGTTGACCGGCGGCGAACCGAAATTTGGCCCGCGCCTCGTACTGGCTCGTTGCGCCTCGTTGGCTGCGAAGCACGGACGGTCGCGCTGGGCCGATCGACAGAAGGCTGCCGTGCCCATCATTTGAGCTGATCGAAGCTTAGCCTGCCCGGTACAGAAATCCGTCACACCCTCAACATTGAATTCCATCTAGCCAAACTCCTCCATTCTTATTTCGGTTCGCCCAAATCTAGGAGTCTCCACGTGCCGAGCTTCAAGTGAAGGTGCGCCGCGAGAATTGACACCACCCGGAATCTTCAATTGCTACGATTTGATCCCGTGTCAGCGGAAGCGGGTCTCTAAACCCGATCTCTCCTATCCGTTGCAGTGCTGGTCAATAGCCACGCGCGTACGGCGTACCTCTGCCATTTCGTCCAATGAACTTTCAGAATAGCTTTCCGAGGCGGGGACCCCCCCCCGAGTCCTCAAAATCAAACCTTCAGCGCTACAGAGCTACAGGAATCTCCTTGTATTCGAAAATTAAAAAAATAAAAAATAAAAGAGCCAAATCGGAAACGATCCAGAAAGCGCACCAAGAGAGCTTGTGCACAATCGCCAACAACGAAGAACGAACATTACACATCTTCCGAAACTACATCGCGCTCTTGCACGGATAAATCAAAAAGTGCTCGCTTCAGGAAGCCCCTACTCGAATCCACTCCTAGCATTCATACCTTTCCTACCCCTGTGCAGCACGACGATCCAAACCACCTTCTTCAACTCTCCGGCGACATATTGGACCCCGTCAGCGGTCCCTGCCCCGCCGCCCCTCCCGGCCCCGCACCCGTCCCTTGATGACCGGGTGTCGTATCCGCGCCAGCGCCCTCGGACAAGGGCGAGAAGAAATTATTCGGTAAATAGGCTGCCCAATTCTCCGACATGTGCACGCCCATCGGGAACCCTTGGAAAGTTCCTGCGTACGACGGATCGGTCGGTTCGAACATCCCTCGCGGGGTCGCGCCACTACCGGATTGACCTTGCAGAGGTTGGAGCGAGTTGGGGAGATGGCTCAATTCGTTCGGCGTTTCGGTCGGGGAGAGGAACGAGTTCAGTCTGTGAGGTTTTGGGTAGAGTTTTTATTTGAAATAGTGTTAGTGCTCTGTAGCGCTGGTGCAAGCGTTATGATGAAACACGTGCGCCGACTCACAAGTCTTGGAAATTCGCCGTCGAATTGGACCCCTCGGGCGAACGGAACTGCGACAGATCCAACATTTGCCCCGAAGGGGACATAATGTCGTACGTATGGCGATGTTGATGACCGGTATGCATCGTGGCATGTTGCTGAGGCGTCTGACCCGTCGTCACCTCAACAGGTAAGGTGGGGGGCGACGTCTGTGCCGTTGTCGAGGGTTGCGTCGATGCCGCCCCAGCGTGCAAGTCGTCGAACAAGCTGTGCATGTCCTGCGTCATCATCGCATCCGTCGTCGATGGACTCGCGTTCGTAGCACTCGGATGCGACACGTCGAACGCGATCGCTTGCGGCGTCGCCTCCGGAATCAAAGGTGAAGCAAGCGGAGCACCGGACGACGTCGTGCGAGATCCCCGACTCGCCGAACTACTCTTCCTCCCAACTTTCGGCACCGTAGCCGCGGCAACGCCTGGTGCCCTTCCCATCGGTCGACCAGTAAAGCGCGTCGGCGTCGCCGTCCCCGAATCAGGCTGCGCCGGTCGCTTGGTCCCCCTCAGCGCCGCCTCGGCCTCATCCTGCATCATCGACAACTCGGCGCTGATGTCGACCTCGCTCGTGTCGACGAGCCCATTCAACAACTCCCATTGGCGAATCGCGCTACCCCAGATCAACTCCATCTCCTTCAACGCGTCCATGCACTGCGCGAGGTACACCTTCGCCGGTCGCGCGAGCGCCTCGTCGAACGAAGCGTTATAGACAAAGATGATGGCCGCGCTGAACAGAGGGTACGTCAAGAATGGTGGGCATTGACGTAGGGTAAAGGTCTTGCGGAAGACTTGGATGATGTTGGCGATTGCGATCGCCGAAGTGGAGCAGATCGAATGCGATGGGAAGTTGCCGGGCGAGACCTCGCTGTTTTGCCCCGGGATGAAGGGTCGGTGGAGCAGGATCAAGGCCGAGTAGAACTGAAGGTGCAATGTTAGAACGTGCGGCGGCGGCACTCTCTTTGACGCGGGACTGTAGACGAGCTGCGGAGGGAGCGCCAGATACCAGCTCGCGAGTGACTGGTCGAGCAGACTGAGCAACGTCTCGGAACTTTGCCCGAGCACTCGGATGCGGATCGCATAGATGTTGGCGATGATCTGAGGCGAGATGTGCGTAACGGGTCAGTTTCGTGGGGTCATGAACCTACCTTTCACGAGAAATCAGACTTACCCGATTGATGACAACGGCCAACGCGCCGGCCGCACTGAAGCACGACATGGCATGGACCTTGGACTGCGGGTAAGCCTTTGTCGGCACCGCCTCGCTCGCCGACGACTTGGGCGGTGAAGTCCATTCCGTACCATCCGGCCGCAAGGGTATGAACTGCTCATGCTCGTCGGGTTCGTCCTCGCTAGGAAAGGAGGTGTCGTAGTCTCGTTCGTGAATCGTGCCTGGTCGACCGATGTACGAGGCCGTGTACCGATCGAGGATGATGCAACCCCACCAGACGCGCTTGCGGGTCTGCTTCTCTTCGTGCGAGAAGCGTTGGACGGGCAGGAACCATTTCTCGACGTCGCGGAAGAGACCCAGGTCTTGGGCCATGCGGATCGCTGAGAAAAACGCATAGCTGAATCAGTACTTGCCTCGCCAGAACGTTCGGTCGCGTCCAACCGCAAACTCACCCATGCCAGTAAACAACCAACTGGACGACATGGCCCCCGTTCCAATCTCGCGGTACGCCAACAACAACAATGACTGCACCGTCACCAATCTGCTCGAGCCGTAATCGTAATCGAGCAACTTCTTGGCCCTCTCCAGGTACACATCCCCGGCTGTCCAGTACATGCCCTCGGTTCGATCACCGTCCAGATCAGAGTATCGAGCGGCAAGAGCGAACATGGAGAGCAAGAGGACGAGAGGGATTTTGTTGATGCCGGTATTGTCGGGTCGAGTATCCGTTTCAGGATGGGACATGCGATGACGGTACCCTCGGAGGAAAGAGACTTTGTACACGATCGGGAAATGAGGGTGCACGTAGGTCCAGTACAAGTCGAGGAGGTGCTGTTGTGTAACCTTGTCCGGTAGGGCATCTTCCGCAATGTCGAGGCCGAGGATCTCGCGTTCGGTCTTGCGCACGCGGCCTTCGGCGGGAGGCCACACACCGGCCGAGGGGAAGGACCAGAAAAAGTCTGCACGGAGCACAAGAGGAACGATGATATGAGGATTCGTCTTCCCCAAGACCCAGCACCACTTCGTGCGACTCACCCTTGTACCTCGCGCTCTTGGAGATCAAATACAACCCACTCGACCTCCCATGATACCTCACCTCTGAATTCTCGTTCAAACTCAGTTGCCCGACGATATCGGCCAATTCCGACATGCTCGACATGGCCTCCGACTCGCCCGGATTGGCCCCTCCCAAAGGACTCAGCTCGGCATCCGCGCTCAAGCTGTACGATGCCGTGCCCGTGTGTCCGACTTGGCGCGTGTTGAGATGACGTTGGTTTTGCTGGCCGAAACCAAAGGCGAGACTTTTGAGCTCGTCGACATTGGCACCGACGAGGTTCGAGGTGCCGATCAGCGGGGATTGGTGGTTCAACCGACGACGTTGTCGAGGCGAAGAAGCGGCACCGGCGGCACCCGCTGCACCGGCGCTACCACCTTCGGCCAAGTGGGGCATGGGGATGGGAAGCGAACCAGCGCTTGTGGAGAGAACCGGGCGCGGGCCCATGTCAATGCCGGCACCGAACGGACCGGGCGAGGCACCGTGGATGGAGCCGCTCTCCTCCGATTCGGCCTTGCTGCTCACCCTCGGCCCACCGAAGCCGGAAGGATCGAATGCGAGCGACGTGCTGACTCCACCGCCCACGAGATCCGTCATGTTCGTCCCGAACGCGAGATCGTCGTTGTTGAACCACGAGGGGCGGTTGTTGAATTCGAGCCCAGGAGTAGGCGCGGCGGTGGCCGATGTCGACGCAGCTGGTGCGGCTTCCTCAGCTCTCTTCCATGATTTGCGCGGTTTCGCACCCGGTGGTGCGGTCGAAGCGGCTTTGAGGTCGTTCGTCAAGACGTCGCGGGCTTCCTCGTCGCCTGAGAGAGCACGTAAGGGTGCATTTCGTCAGCTCGCTCGTGGGGACACGTCGTCTCCTGACACCACGCGGGCTCCCCCACGCGCACCTATGAGTTCCCCCAACAACGTCTGTGCCCTCGGATCGTCATTCTGCAACAATCCACCCAGCAACGCCTCCATGCGATGCAGCCTCGACTCGATCGCCTCGATGTCTGTGTGTGTGTGTGTGTGTGTGCGCGCGCGCGTCAGCTCTCAAGGCGTCTCGGTACAAGCGCAGTATCTACATTGGGACCGATTGGACGCACATCCTTTTGGAGGACCCCTATCGGAATCAAACAAAACCCCTGATCAGCCTCGCATCCCGCAGTTGCGCATGCGCCAGCCGAGCCGCGGCTTGAGCCGTGGGAGCTGAGCCTTCGATCGCGGGCAGGGAGGGACTTACCGCTTGCGCGAGGCGCCGTTGTAGGTGCATTCGGTGCCGGCCTGGAGGCAGTTCTCGCACACGCCGACGGGGTGGCCGGTCTCGGGGTCGATCGGTCGGGCGCACTTGCATTTCGATTTGCGGCAGCTGTGTGGGGTTCGCCGGGGAACGGAGCAACGGCAGGGAATCCGGTCGGTCGGTCGGTCGGTCGGTCGGTCGGTCGGTCGGTTTTCGTGTGTGGGGTTGATCAGGCCGGGGTAAAAGCGTGGGCAAACGGGGCGCATGCACGGAGCCACAGTTTCGGTAGCACATGATAGAACGAGGGACCAGTCAGTAAGGTGTAAACCCATCCCAGATAGCCCACGCGGTCCTTTACTAACTTGTCACCTGTCGATGCAAGAGAGACGCCGAAGGGGTCAGCCAAGCGCAACGAGCGGTGAGCGGGCCACCACTTGGTCTCGCCCCGGACGTGGCGAGGTCAAGGCGAACGAACGCGAACGTACAGGCCTTACTGCTCCTCCGCTTGATGTCCTTTTCTTCCTCCGCAGCCAGAGCGAGCGCATCCTTTCTGCTCGTACTCGTGCCGCCGGTACTCTTGGTGTTGCTGCTCGCGGCGGCTTTGCCTTTGCCGTTGAGCGACGACGATTTGCTGAGCCCGTTCGCGCTCGTAGACGCACCACCCGCACCACCACTCGGGACGGACAGCGCGTCTTCTGCTGCTGCTCCTGTATCCGACATGTCGCTGTACGAATCACTCGCATCGTCTTGATCTGGATCTTGAAACGGCGACATGATTGCACACACACACACAGACACCGTGTGAAAGTCGGATGCGTGAGAAGAGCCTGTGGAGCGTTGGGAACGACGATGATCGGTGTGGGTGAATGAATGGAATTGGAAATCCGGCCCCGATCGTATGGGACTGATAACGACCGAGCCAGACGGCGATGGCCGACCCTACTTTCCGAATTGATGGGGGGCGGGCGCGGGCGCAAAGCAGCCAGGCAGCCGCGCACGCACGCTCACGCACGCACGTGAGATCGAGAACAAGTCAGGGCCGTTGCCCGAATCGTAACGGATCGAACGACTGCTTCTCTTACTCAGCATTCCATATGCTTCGCGCAGCACCGCCCACCCTTGCCCAACTAATCAACCGATCGCCTCAACGGCCCCATTAGAATAACAAGCTAGTGATAGGTGGGAAGGCGAAAATTAGGGGATAGGAGATCCCCATCTCAACGCCGTCGCCGGTGAGTTTGTACCGGTACGGTACTTGAATGCACCGAGGACATCGTACCCTAGGGCTGGCCTCCTGAATGGGCCAGATCGTCGACAAACCCCTCTCCTTCGACAGGGTTTGCCGCGACTATATGTAGCACGGACCTTCTCGAGAGTTCGGAACTTTCATCTCTTCGGCCACCTAAAGGGGAATTCCCCACTTGATTATCCTTCGCCTAGGGCCGCGCTTGTAAAGACTCCAAGGCCGACTGCAGCCCCTGGCGGGAACTCTCGTCGAGTGAGTTCGCCTCGCCCGGGCGACCCACTGGCAGTGCCAACTTGAAACTAACGGCTCATTCTTGAAACAGTCGGCGGTGTATAAGAACAGTACTCGGATACCCATCAAGCTTGGACCGACCAATCTAGATAGTGGGCTGCGGTCAATCATGCTCCGCGATTTCAATGGTGGCAAATCACCGCGGTCCGCGCCGGTGAGTGACGCTTTAATTTTGCCGCCTAACGGTCGTAGTTCCGGCACCTCCTGGGGCTCGTGCAATGGTTCTTGGGAGGTCGTGAGGGTCCACATTAGGGGGTGGGATTGACCTTAAATGAGGGTGTCACACACGCTTATGACTTGTGGTTGAAGTAGTGTCCCAAATCGCAAGGCTCCGAGTCGCGGTTGCCAAATCCGCGCCAAAAAAAAAAAAAAGAAAAAAAACTCTGAGGCTCGAAACGTGCCAGAAGGTGCCTAGATCATTTGCCTATCTCTTTGCCCAGACGTAAAAGTCATGTCGCTGGAAGGGTCTACTTCTCATTCAGAGATGAAGGACTTGACACCGAAAAGAAGCGGTCATTGTCCATCTAGTTTCGTCGCGGTAGGTAGGAAACACCTACTCGCAAAACCTACCCTTACAGAACCTCGAATTCGGATCTCTAATCCCCTCCTTTGTGACCCCGAACAAGCCCCCAATCGCACGGCCTCCCGCGCGTCCGCTTCGTGCCGCCCTTTCCCGCCCGCAAACACCCTAAACGTACCTCATCACTCCGCCCGAAACCCAACCGATCGAAATGGCCGTTCCCGTTATTCAAGGCATGCTCAAGAAGCACGTGAGTAATCTGACACTCTACTCGACGATCCGAACCCCAGCTCGACAAGGAACTGACCCACCCCGACCCTTTCCCCTCCCGCCGCCGCCGCGTGCCCACCCTATTCCATTCGTCCGCGAGCCTATCCCCTATAGGCGCTCACCCATCTTTCTATTGCGATTGCCGGTGGCGTCGTTACGGGTTACGCATGGTGGTCAGTCTCGTTTCGAAATCGCCTTCGGAGGAGGCTCGGAGGATGATCCCGCTAGGCCGAGCCTTGCCGCGATCACTTGTTGGGCGTACTCTGCCCCCGAGGCCCCGAGGCTCCGAGGAACTATTGACTGATTCTCTCGAACTTGATATCTGGTTTCAATGGTATTAGGTACACCTTTCATGTCCCCAAGGTCGCTCGTCGTGATGCATGGCAAGTACCTCCCACACACACACACACACACACACACACACACACACACACACCCCACTCCCCGCTTTGCAGCTGCGTCTTCAAAGTGTCCCCCCCTCCGGGTCCAGTAGGCGCGGAGGGGAGATGATCAACCCTTTTAGCGCGAGCAGCACTTTCACGATGAATCGGTACGGCGCAGCTAATTCGGTGTTGGGTTTTTTGCGCGGTCCTTTCAAAATTTAGGTACTTGGAGCAACAAAAGTTGAAGGAGGGATCCGCATAAATTGAAAGGGATGGGAGGAGGAAACGGCTCCGGTACGGAAAGCGCATTCGCTGATCAGGCCGTCGATGTTTAGGAGGACCAGGGCAGGGAGTGCGAGCAGATTTGAATTCGTTTGGATGATGGGGGTGCAAGGAATTCGTTTATTCAAAATATCTCATGAGGCTCGGTAAGGAGAGGCAGAGAGCCGAGACAGGACAGAACAGGTAGGGGGGACGGACTTGGAGCCCCACCGCGAGCAGCTACTTCTCACACAGAACGAAAATGGGGGTATGCATTCTAGCGGTCCGGATTACATCATCCCCCCCAGTCGACATTTCGGCATCCTAAAGGGCCCTACATCCCCCCAGTACTTCTTCCCCTCCCTCGTCGCTTCCCACACACCTTCCCCCATACCCACCTCCACTTCCTCCCACTGCGTATCCAACCCAATCTCCCGGAGATGGATCTCACTCACTTCGGTATAAACGTCGTAGAAAGATCGGGAGGTCGCACCTAGACCGTGGAAGAAGGAGAAACGAGAAGAGCTATCGCGCAACCAATCGGGCAGGACGTCGAAGAATTGGTGCAGGTCCGAGTAGTGTTCGGAATAGGTGTCAAAGTAGATCGCGTCAAAGGCGAGGTAAGGTTCGGTTCCGTCCGATAGGGCGAGTTGGTAGTCTTGCCAAGTGCCGTGGAAGAAGCGGACGTTGGGTTTGGTGAACCAGCCTTGGGAAGAGGCAAAGGCCAAGACGTCGGGGTGCGGTTCGATGATGAGGTGGGTGGTGGGGCGATAGGTTTGGAGGTAGGTGTCGATCTGGTGAAGGACATACTAAACCAGTTGATCCCGGTCCTTGCTGCGTCGTCTCCTACGATCACTTACAATCCCCAACCCGAACCCCACATTCAACACCACCAATTCGTCGTCCTCTTCCTCCTCTAGCGCCCTCTCCTTCCCCTTCCCGCCGGACCGCTGCCTGCGATGCTCAAACGGCTCACACAACCATTCGGCCGTCCTCTTCATGATGGGTTCCTCCCAGCCCATCATGACCCCATTCCCTTCCTCGTCCAACGCGACGGCTTGACCTTTAGAATCGTGGGTGAATTCGAGACGAGATGAGAGGAAAGTCGCGTTATCCGAGGCGGTGGATCTCTTAACGGGCTTCACAAAACGTGTTGAACCGTCTGTTGGGAGGAGAGTTTCGTCTTGATTTTCGTTGGGAGCGGTCTCGGTTGCGGGTGATTCGATATCGTTTGGCGTCATCAGCGATTTCAATAGTTCGGCTCGGACTCCTTCGGCGAGTAAGACTTGGTACGCTTCGGCGTTGTTCATCGAGTAGGCGATATCACCCGCGGTCTAAAGTGGAGTATAGGTAGGTGTCAAAGTTCGTGTGCGTTGAAAGTTCGTCTCCTGCGCGTCTGGAAGCAAGCGAGTCGACTCACGAAGCCGAGATGATCGACCATATTCCACACCGCGTTACTCTTCCTCAGCAAGAAAGTACACAACTCGGCCTGACCCGAAGCTAGTACACAAAGCGCAGGAGAAGGGGGGGGGGCCGATTTTTTTTTTTTTTTTTTTTTCAAAAGTCGCCGACTGTTGATGAGCGGCGACCGCACCACCAGTTTGGAAAAACGCGGGATTCGTAACTCACCCGCGGCGGCGTGTAAGGCGGTCCAGCCCTGTCGATCCTGTACCCAACTATGCACCTGACTTTGCTCGACCGAAAGTGTGATCCGGTGCAGATCGTCGGAGGAAACGAGGTCCAAGCAGGCGGTGATGAGCGCCTCGGCTTCGTGTTGGTCTTGAGGGGTGAAATCCATATCGATATCGGTCGAGGAGGAGAGCAGGGAGAACGATCCTGCGATCCGAGTTGAGCTTTCTGCACGGTCGTTTTGGAGCGGCATTCTTGGACCGGCGGATCAAGGGCGACGGCGTCGGGATGGGAGGAGAGAATCGAGGGATGTGGGACGCCAGGTAGAGCTGCAGCACGGCTGCGACGGGTCGTCGTCGATCGGTCGACATGCCTAATCGCTTGCTCGACAGTGAGTGCTTTGCGTTTTTCAGAGGAGGCCAACTTGACTTGCCCTGGGTTCTTCTATGGCTTTAAACTTTAAACTAGTAGGTCGACAGAAAAGCAGGTCCACACATCCTTGTCCTAAAATGCTGGGATGCCCACACGTTCCGACAAAATGAAACCCCCAGGAGGAGTAATTCCTAATCCCTCTCACAGCCTCTCACATTAATTGACCGCGCTGGCCTGCGTGAGCGCGCATCTGCAGTGGTGCGGGTCGTCTTTGCGCTCGTGACGACTTGTGGACCACCGAGCAGGGGCGATCACTCTGAACCGCAAGCACGAACGACGAGCACAACATCCATCTCGCCTCCACACGGGAGGAGCGTCCGCCCTACGCTACCCCCAGTTCCACACCCTCTCTTCGCTCGCGGTCTCCGGTGCACGATCATTCTCCTCGCTCGACCCCCGGCTCAATCGTCCACACCCCGGTCTGTCTGCTTCCGATACACCGCTTCCCCCAACTGGAGCAACATCCCTTGAACCGTGGCTCGTAGCTCATCCCGTCCCGCAACCACCCTTGACGCGGCGAACCTCCCACGACCCAACCCCAACCCAACCCAACCCATTCCCCTCTCTCTTTCCCCCCCCTTCTTCTCCCCCCCCTCACCATGTCCAACTCGACTCCGAACGAGCTCGATTTCGATACGCTCGAATCGACCCCCTTCACCCTCTCGGAAGTGAACGAGGACACCGATCCCGAAACGGCGCTCTTACTCGCCGAATTGGATCGAAAGAAATCGAATCGATCGCTTTACGTACCCACGAACGATGCAGAGGTGAGGAACAAGTTGAGAGCGCTGGGCGAACCTGTTAGTTTGTTCGGGGAGAGACCTGAGGATCGCAGGGATCGGTTGAGGGACGTTTTGGGAAGGCTGAGGGAGGAGGAGAAGAGGAGCAGGAGGGAGAGGAGGGGTAGTTTGGCCGGGAGTGGTAGTGAGAGCGACGAGGAGGACAGGGAGGGCAGTGGCGGCGGGGAGGAGCACGAGGAGGAGGAAGAGTTTTATACGGAGGGCTCGATCGAGTTGAAAGAGGCGAGGAGGAGGATCGCGCAATATTCGTTGCCGAGGTCCGTCCGGAGACTGAACGAGAACTCTTCGACACGGGGGCGGAACTGACTCTGGTCGTACGCTTTCCCCCAACCCAGAGCTCAATCGCGCATCCAAACCCAACGTCAGGAAGCGAACGTCAAATTAGGGAGACTGATGGACGTCCGACGCGCCGTCTTTGGTCGACTCAAACAATTCACCAACCTCGGTTCACAAATCGGCGATACCCGACCCTTGGGGCCGCTCAAGTTTTCGCCCGATGGCACGATCTTGTTGACGAGTAGTTGGACGGGAACAGCCAAGTTGTGGAGCGTTCCGAGTTGTAAAGAAGTCCGGACGTTGAAAGGTGCGTGCCGTTCGGACCGCAACCGACGAGGCAGATCTGGCTAGCGGCAAGCTTACGCTCCTTTCTTGGACTTGCGGCGAAATCTCACAGCCCACAAGGAACGGATAGGTGGCGTCGCTTGGCATCCGAGTGCGACGATTGGGCAATCGACCGCGAGTGTGAATTTCGCGACCAGTGGCGCGGACAAGGAGATCAAATTGTGGAATTTGGAAAAGTGAGCGCAGTGCTCTTCCCCGTTCTCTGCACTTTCTCTCGAAACCAATCCGCCCCCCCCCCCCCCCTCTCTGTCCACCTCCACAGCACCGAATCCCTCGCCACTCTAACTGGGCATTCCGCGCGCGTATCCCGCATCGCGTTTCACCCTTCAGGCGAATACCTCGGATCCGCCTCTTACGACGGTACCTTTCGCCTTTGGTCCGTCGAAACCTCGACCGAACTCTTACTCCAAGAAGGTCATTCCAAAGAAGTCTATTCGCTCGCTTTCCAACCCGACGGTTCTCTAGCTTGTACAGGTGGTCTAGACGCCATCGGTCGAGTATGGGATTTGCGTTCGGGAAGATCTGCGATGGTGTTGGATGGTCATGTCAAGGACGTGTTGAGTATGGACTTTGCTCCGAATGGTCATCAACTCGTGACTGGTTCGAATGATGATACGATCAGGGTATGGGATCTCAGGGCACTCAAGAGTGTGTATACGATCCCCGCGCATAAATCGGCCGTTGCCGAGGTCGCGTTCTTCAAAAGTGGTGCGAGTCAAGCGGGGGAAAGGAAGATCATTCCTAGGGGGTTCAGAACGTTGGGCGTGTTCGATTGGAACGAGGAGGCGAATAAGGACGTCAAGGGTCCGAATGAAGGCGAACAGGATATAGCGGACGTACCTTTGAATGGGTTGTACCTCGTTTCGGGAGGTTACGATGGCACGGTCAAGATTTGGAGCGCGGACGATTGGCAGTTGGTCAAAACTTTGACCGCCGATTCGGAGGGTAAAGTCATGGGCGTGGATGTTAGTCCCGATGCGAGGTTCATCGCTTCGAGTGAATACTCGAGGACGTTCAAACTTTGGTCAACGCCCGAGGTCGATTTGGCTTAGGGTCTGATGAAATGACAACAACAAAATGAAGCAGTGGGAACTTTTTGTGTATCATTCCTCAGCTCTAAGAGTCCGTATATCTTCGCCCTCAGACTTTACTGCGAATCCTTTCCCCCTTCCTCCTGCTCTTCCTCTAAGACCATGTCCGGGAACACTTCCTCAAAGGCCTGCCCTACGAAATTCAACATGTCACTGGTCTGCATCGCCCGCTTTTTCTTCTCGAACGTGAGACGGGAAGCCGTGCGAGTGATCGTCGATGCGGCGTAAGCGGCGAGCCTAGGGATTTCGGATTCGGTTATGGGATCACTGTGGACGTGAAGGAGAATCGTACGCATTCAGTCAATCTCCCTGACCAAACCTACTCGATTCGGAATCGTCCACTTCCTCACCTTTCTTCCCCTAAACCCTCGCCTTGTCGCCTCTGTAAATAACTCAAACCCCAAGCCAAGAAACAGCCCACCGCACCACTCATCACATCCCCTTGACCACCACACCTTCTCAAACTCCCCTTCGTCCGATTGATCCACGCTTCTTCTTCCTTGTCCGAATTCACAATTCGATCGACGGTACCTTTTTCAAGTACGGTCACACCTCCCAAAGCCTTGGCGAGTTTTCCGGCGAGTTTAGAAGGGTCCGAGGTGGAAGAATCGGTATCGAGGTTCTTGGGGACGGTGGGGGGGTCGCGTGTACGCAAATTTAGTTGAGGAGGGTCCGACTGGGCTACGCGAGGGAAGGAACGAACTCACGACGGCTTTGCACAACCTCTTGAATTCGACGACGTTAGGGGTCAATACGGCTTTGGGGTAGCCTTGGATCAGTTTGGGCTCCGATTGAACGAGCCAGAGTCCATCGGCGTCGATGATGATGAAGAGACCTTTTTGACGGGCGAGGGAGATCGCCGTTCGGGCGGCGAGTTGCATGTGGTTCGAGCGACCGAGTCTGGTGGAAAGAGTGCAGTGAAGGAGGGGGATTAAGTTTTGGGACGTGGCGTTTCTGAGGGAAGAGTTTGGTCTCACCCCGGTCCGATGACGAGTACGTGCAGTCGCGGTAAAAGGGATTCGAATAGTTTGATCAAGGTGGCTTCGGTCCTGTGACGTCCAGGATCAGAAAACCACTGAGATGAGCATGATGGATCTCGTCGACGGCGGTCACTTGATGGCTTGGGCACTCACGAGTCTTGGACGAGGTCGGTGTGCACGATCAGATCGGGGGAGTAGGTCTTGATGATGTCTGGGATATGAGGAGGATGAGATGAGGTGCACTCGTTTTTTCTTTTGAGGCGGATTGCATGTTTTTTGAAGGGACCTACTTCCGGCTGATGGTTCACAAATCACGTGGGCGAGATCGGCGCCCTGAACATCCAGTCCCGAGGGCGGAGAGTAGAGCCCCACAGTCAGTCTTGAGCTACCCTTGAGCTCAACAAGCTCCAATGACGAATACTCACCAACCTCAGCGTAGTCATGGAAGCGAAGAACGGTGCACCCGAATAACTAGACGTCGAATCAGAGATCGGTCACTCGAATCAGCTCGACGTGCCGCGCTTCCCATATCGGCACGGCACACCCCGGGGGTGGACGTACTCCTGTGAACCGCCCACGACGGCGATGCGACCTGCTTGTCCTTTGTGAAGCGTGGGGGAGAGAGGGGGGATGAGGCGTTGGCAGCGGGTGAGGATCTGGTGGGATGGGGAAGGGAAAATTCGAAGTCGAGGTGAGGGGTTAGGGGTTAGGGGTCAGTTCAGTGGGAGTGATGTCGATGACGTTGGTGGGGGAGACGGTGCCTCGGAGTGGGCTATGACTCGTGAGAAGCGGTAAGGTGTCTTACCTGTCGATGAGAGGACATGGTCAAGTATGTCAAGAGCTAGGGGGTGGTCAGAGAAGAAGCGGCTACGAGTCCGGGGCTACGACTGAGTCCGGGTGCGACCCCGCTTCGAGCGCTCGGTCTTGCCGACGGATGACAGCCTGCGCGCCTGCGGACGTGCGCACTGCCGCGCGATGCCGGCCTGCCGATAATAACTTGCAGCTAAGGAACCACGCAAGGAATTTCAGTGCTGACTACTTTTCCTCAACTACACGAGCAATAAAAACCCCCGTGCATGCTGTCCCTTCTCCCGACCAGTCCCGCATTACCTAAGTTTCGAGCAAAGTATAAAACCCGGCACAGCCGCTGCCGAATCGATTCCGGAACTTGGCACCGAGCGCCCTTCTCCTCACTCCTCGGTGCTCACTGGCCTCACTGCTCACTCCACCTCGCCAAACTCGACCATCTACCATGACGACGACGCGGGCCGTCCCACCGCCACCGCCACCGCTTCCACCGCGCGCTCGGACAGATTCCGAAGGTCTGACCGCTTCGGACGTGCCTGATGAACCGCCGGTGAGTCATATACATCCATCGCTCGGAGCACGGCCATTCACTTGAACGCTGACCTGGCCCTTCTGCCACACTTTTAGCCAGCCTACGAGGCCCAACCCAACCCAGCGACCCAAGAACAAACGCTGCAATACGGTCCCTCCCGACCCTTTCAACCCGCAGCTGCCGCACCTCATCAATTCTACCCTCAGCATCAGCAGCAACAGCAAAGCCAAGGACCGTATTCCCCTCCTCCTTCGTCCCTGCCGCCGCCCAACTTTCCCTTTTGGAATGGGCCTAACCTATCGCATCAACAGACGGGCTTCATGCCCGGACCTTTGAACCCACCACCACCGCAGCAAGTACAGCAGCAAGGAGGAGGAGGCAACGGTTGGGCTCCGCCGCCGCACCACCCCCACTCCTCCCCTCCTACCGCACCTACCTCCGCAGCCTACGCCCCACCCACTTCCCCACCCCCCAATTCCACAACGACCCCAACCCCTTCACCCCCCAAGAACTACGCGCCCACGACCGTCGCAACCGCCGGCCAACCGCTGCTCCGTAACAACCACATCCTCGTCTACCCCATCGGCAAAGACTCGTGTCCAAAATGTCACAACACGGGTTATAAACCTTTCGTAGGAAGAGGTGGTGACGATCCGAATCATCCGTGTCGCAAAGTGAGCAAAATCCTCCAAGGAGGAGTCGGGAGCAACGTTGTGGTTTGACTGACGTCCTGATTTGGATCCCTTGTTCACAGTGTTGGGAGAAATTCGGTCGACCGTTCACTGGAGCGATCCGTATCGCCGCCACATCAACGCCTACACCACCGAATTACCAAAGACCACTACGACCATCTTATAGGCCCCCTACGGGAATCCAATTCGGCGGCGGGGTTTATCCAGGTGCGGCGTATCGACAAGCTCAGAGGCCCGGGATGATGCAACAGCAGGCAACGGCGATGGGGAATACGTACGGTCAACCCAACGCGACGTTCAATCCGCCTTCGAGGATTCATGTCACTCATCAACCGCCGATAGGTGGTGGGGCAGTAGGTACGTTCGGTCAAATTCTCCTCTTAACTGCTCACTTTGCCGTTCTCGAACCCGAGCTGATCCGTTCGCACTACAATCCCCTCGCAGTCTTCCGACCAGGTGATCCACGATTAGGAGGTATGAGATGTTATCGTTGCGGTGGGGAAGGTACGACCTGGGGTATCTTTTTTCAGGAAGAGACGTGCGATTTATGTAGAGGCGTCGGGAGGTTGTATTGAGGGGGGGGGGGGGTGGGTTGGGCCTCGGTCGGGGGCAGGGTTGGGCGTATTGCTTGCGTTCGTTTATGACATCGCACATGACCCACTATGTTCAATATACGAGATGAAGATCACCGCACAAAGGGAGATGAGCGAAACTGGAAGACTTGAACACCTCCCATGATCAGAGGTCTATGAGATCGGGTTTTGCGAAGAAAGGCGCCTTTCCGAGAACAAAGCCACCCGCCTTTCATCTCACCCAGATCGAATCTCTTGATGACATATCCTTCAATTTCAACATGCCCCTCAAAAACCTCAAACCCAACTCCACCCCTTGATCACTCTCAACGACCCTCCACCTTCCCTTTGCTCTCCCTCATCAACCTCTTCTTATACAAACGTTCCTTCAACTCCGCCGCCCTCTTCTCCGACTTGTTGGCTTGCAACGTACGACGAAGAAGGGCTTCGGATGCGAGTGCGTCTTCCGTGAATGCGATGGTAGAGGATTCCAAGAGTGAAGATGAGGGTGAAACGGCTTGAGCAACAAGTCGTTTCTCCTGCTCCAATCGCTCAAGAACAAGTCGGCGCTTCGCTTCAGAGTAAATCATCTTCTTTGACGGGATCATTGGCTCGTCGTACGGGAGGTTCCGAGAAGGAGCTTCGTCGATCATTGGAGGTGAGTCTTTCGTTGAGGGTGAGATTTGAGACTTGGTGATCGATTCGGCTCGAAGACGACGATTCTTGAGTAGTTTTTGCTTCAGTTCTAGTGCACGAGCGGCGAGTTGTCCTCGTGCGGCCCAATTCGTCATCGTCTTGGGGAGGGGAGGCGAAGAAGGTGCTACGACCGGTGGTGGTAGTGGTGTTGGTGGTGGTGGTGAAGAGGGATAAACTTCTGCGACGACGGGTGGGGTGATCTTGTTGGAGAGAGCGGTACGGTATTCGGCCATGAGCCGCGATTGCAACTCTTCGCGAGAGATCGTACTTGACCTTCTTTTGGACTCGGCGGACCGTACTTCGTTCGTCAAAGAGGGTTCAGGGGAGTTATTCGAGACGAGCTCGACGGGGGAGACTTCATCGATAGTCGTCTTGGATTTCGTTCGTTCGACGGTATCCACGATAGGGGTTGCCGATTTCGCGATGCCAAAGATCGAAAGACTCACTTTGGCAGCACCGGCAGAAGCGTCGGGAGCGTCGTGCGTGGTTGAGGAAGTTACGCCGTTCGTTGGTGGCGGTGTAGACTCTCGGAGAGGCGTGCCAAAGAGTGAGAGGATGTCGGAGGATCCTTCGTCTACGCCAGGTTCGATCGTCGCAGTGGAACGAGTCGAGTCTAGGTCCGAGCGTCGTGAGGAAGGTCGAGAAGGAGGTCGATCCAGTGATTGGCGTGAAGGCGCTCGAGGCGGTGGTCGAGCAGCCAACACCGGCGAGCGAGGTGCAGAAGAAGGTGATCGTCGTCTTGCATCTCTGTGATCGTTTCCTCGGTCATAGCGATCCCTCGAACGATTTCGAGATCGCGAGCCTTCCTCGACTCGTCTATCGTAAGAGTCGCTCCTGGCCCATCTCGAATCGTGGTCACCTCGATCATATCGTCCGTTCGATGCCTCCCAACCCCTCCGGCCGTCGACCCCTTTACCAAACCTCGGCTCCCTCTCCCTCTCCCTCTCCCTGTCCCTCTCCTCCCCCCTCGGCACCTCCACCTTCTCCGGCCTTCCATACTGCACGAACCGATCATAATCCTCCAACTTGTCAAACGGGCTCCTCGCGAACGTCACAATCTCATGCGCCAAGTGTTCGGCTTGTGCTTGCGGTACAAAGTCGGCTAAAAGACGTATGGCCGCTGCGGAGCGAAGGTCGAGTTGCGAAGCGATGGAGAGTATGTAAGTCGTGAGGAAGGCGACGTCCACTGAGGAAAAGACTTGGAGCTGGGAGGTAGGGGGAAAAAAAAAAGGTCGAGCTCAGCCTTCTGCTGGATCTCACCGTCACTCAAGACCTAAACGTCTCTTACTCACCTCTCTCCGGACGAAGACGAGCACCTTGTTCTTGATCGCGTTGTTATTGAGCTTGTCCGGACCGAATGGTTTGAACCTCGTATACCGATTCGAAGCGACGTGTTTGGCGAATAGACCCTGACGATAGACGAACCGACGACGTTCCAACGCCCTTTCGTTGACTTGTTCGCGCCAGGTCGCCTCGTCCATCCCTGCAGCGGGGGAAGTGTCGGCTTCGCTTCGGCGTCCATAGAGGGCATAGCGCGGGAGGGAGGTGACGCTCGGTCGACGGTGCGAGGTCGATGAGGCGGGGCGAGACGAGCTGGTGGCTAGAAGACGGTGATCTTCGGCGGCGGTCGAGGTGGACGGCGATCGCAAGGGTACGAGGTGGTGGGTTTGGAAGTCCTTGTTGGATCGGATGTTGTAGATGAGCTCTTTGAAGGGGCCGAGGCAGAGTGGGCACTGTGGGGTAGGTGGGGCGACGTGGCAGGTGAGGTGAGGAGAAGCACGAGGTGAGAGTATGGAGAGTAGGGAGATCTTGGTCGAGGTGACTTGCCTTGCGTGATTGATCGGACCAAGCTCGGATGCATTCCCAGCAGAAAAGTGAATGAAGACATGGTGTGATGACGGTCTGTCGAGACCAGAGGCAGATACTCCATGGTTGGGCGCGCGCGAGGGAGTGTGGGCGATCAAAGTGGGGTGGAGGGGGGGAACAGGGGTCACCTCAGCTCGAGTCAGCCGATACGCTCCTAGTGCCGCGTTCATACCTTGTTATGAATCGGGGATAAGCAAATTGCACAGTGTTCCACCTCGTCGTCGTCGTCGGTCTTGTCATGATGCCCGCGATCGCCGACCTCGTCATCGCTGGCGCTGCTCCGAGTCGTGCGACGGAGCGCATCCCGATCCCGGTCGTGGTCCCGACTCGGGCGAGAGAAGGCTTTGAGCCCGGATGAGGCAATCGGATCTGTGCCTCCAATCCCGTACACGCATTAGAACAGGCTACTCTCGGACTGAACGTAGGTTGACCCGGGGTACGCACCGAACGAGAGCTGGCGCGATGAGGCCGTTTTCTGAACGAGTGCGACGCGATCCTCGTCATCGTCGTCGAGTGAGAGCCGTCTTCTCTTGGGGGAAGGCATGCTAGCTTGGCGGGGTGGGCATGAGGGGTGGTGCAGTGTGCGCAGTACTACGACGAGCCAGCGGAGTGCGTGAGAGGCTGTGAGAGCCAGCGCAGGCCAACGCGAGCGCGTCGCACAGCCAGATCGAGATCGGCGCCAAGCTCGAAACCCTCCGCTCTGTGCCACTCTCTGGGCTTAGTTGAGCTTAGATCGGCGGGTCCCACTAGGTCCCCGATGAAAACCCGTCTCGCGCTCTCTCCCCCCTCCCCTTCCCTCACATGCACTCACTCCCCACCTGGCCACACCCCGCAACGCACTACGCTCCTGCTCGGTACAACGACGATACAGCGTCTCCAGCTTGTCAACTTCCTCGACGGCTGTCTGCGGCTCACGTCCGGTGTCAATCCTCAGCCGATCCTAACCGTCCAAGTCGTTTTTGTGATTCGCCGTTTCGTCGCAACGAAAACGGCTCGCGTTGTCGCCTGTGCGGGTATTTAGCCGAGTGACCTCTGACGCGGTTGAACCATGCGGCTCTCTCGCACGGCCCACGCGGACCGAACTTGCAGCCAGCGTCACCTTTGCCGATCATTTCGGTAGTGAGCAGGCAAATGCATCAGTTGGGGAACTTTACACGAGCTATGTATCGAATTGGGCGACTTTGAACCATGGTAAATATTCTGTTGACAGCGACTCGCACTCTCTTCCGTCGTCGATCATGCTTATGATCGCCGTGTGAGAAGTTGGCGAACGGCGTCGTCCTCCACGCAGCAACTTGAAAGTTGACTGTGTAGACCCGCGCTCCAGTAGATCCTAACATTGCGGAGTGCACGAAATGACGTTGTGATAGCTTCAGGTTTGATTTGGACCTGACCTTTTCCCTCCGTCGACTCCTTTCCCGTCTCGATCCTTCGGCGCGAGCTTTCCCCCGACCTTGTGGGCATCGAGAACGGAGTCAGGTCCAAATCGAACCTCGAGTTATCACAACGTCATTTCGTGCAACCCACGATCTTAGGATCCACTGGAGCGCGGGTCTACACCCTCAACTTGCTCCGTCGACTCGCCGTTCGCCAACTTCTCACACGCCGATACGAAGCATAATCGATGATCGACGAAGAGAAGAGTGCGAGTCGCCTTCAACAGATTATTTACCATGGTCCCGTTGCTTGTCCCGTTGCTTTGTGTTGCCTACAACGTCATCGCATAGTCGATTCAAAATTGGCTTCAAAAACTTGTGCAATGAGATCCAGACGGTTGCATGAGTGCGCAGAGTGGGCGGGCGAAAGCCAGGCGCATGAAGGAGAGTCAAGTCTAGTGCTTAGCAGCTCACGAGGGTAACCAGCGCAGCCAATTCCCTGAACAGAGTGGAACAATGACAATGAAAAGGCGATATCTAAGCTACAAACAACAAGCTTTTCGTGCCTTACTGGGCTCTTCAGCGTTTGAAGCCGCACCTCAATCCTCCGAAGAATGGCCTCGTCTGAACTGTGTCAAGTCAGCAATCAGCTGGTCGTGTGAAAAATCGCCCCTTGCCCAGCAAGGACCGAGGACGGCGGCTTCGTCAACCCGCGCGGTCCACAAGCGGCATTGCATACCCAGCCCAGTGTATTTGGCAACGATGGCCACCAGCTCGGGCACGCCCTTCCAATGCTCCTCGTAGGGTTCGAAGAGTTCCCGGCGTCCCTGTGGCGTGGCGAGCCATAAAGTCTTGGAGAAAGCGCCGCTGGCCGAATTCCATCGCTCCCATATGCCTCTCGCTTCCTCATACATTCCCGTTGGGTCGTCAGCTCCTTTGGGCAGGATGAACATGACGAATACGGCGACGTATACGAGTGACTCCAAGTCATGCCAGGGCTGGTGGAAGAACGGAGCGTTCTCCGCGTCGTTGTCGAGCAGGTCTCGCGCGCGGAACGCGAGCGTCCCCTGCGGAAACAAGTAGGTGAAGGTTTCAGTCAGTGGAGGGTGCGCGCCAGCGAGGTGTGATAATTCGCACAGAAACAAGGAAACTCACCACGGGCTTCCTTCGTTCGGCGTCCCCCTCTGGCCCGTCCATGAACACCGCAGTGTCGTAGTCGATCAATACTCCCCTACCATCGGATGCGACCATGACGTTCGCTGCAGACACGTCGCGATGGAGGATGCGGAGGCGGTGAAGACTGCGCAAACCTGTAGTGGGTGGGTGCCAGCCTCATGATCAGCCAAACGGTGTAAAGACCCCTCCCTCTCCGCCGATGGACAAATGCGGTATCCATACCTTGAGCAGCACCCAGAATGACGGTTGCCAACGCTTCGGTCGAATCGGCGACGCAGATCGGCTCGAAGCAGTGCTCGTGAAACACGACTTCCATCGCTCGCGGCTTGAGACCCAACGCGCTGGCGTCGAGGGTGTCAGGGAGGAAACGGGGAACAACGACAAAGTCACTCTCGCGATACACGTCGACGATGTTGGTGAGCCCTTGCCGATCCTCGGGTGACGCGTTGGCGATGGCGAGACGGATGCGATCGTGTTCGTCGCAGCGAGCTTCTTCGACGAACGACACCGTCATCGCGTACTCGGTGTGGGCAGTCGTCCCTTCGCTCCTGGCGGAAACGCGGTAGGCCGAGCTGCGACGTCCAAACACGGAGTCGGACCAGTACAGCGGCTCAAGAATCTGGATGGCGTCGAGTCTAGGATCTCCCCTTCGGTGTTCGTTGAACGGCGCAGGTCGAGGGGGCAGGGCCGAGGAAGGGAAAGCGAAGGAGGTGGGAAAGGCGTCGTCACACAGAGACGCGATGACGCCGACGTCGCGATCGCTCAAGCTAAGCAATCTCGCCAGGAAAGTCGAAAGGTGCCCACTCGCTTCGGTACAGTAGATCACAGGGCTGCAAAAATGTCCACTCGGAGTACGAAGCATGATTTCGAGTTGTTGCCCGTGCAAGAGGAAACCAAACACGTGGGATCGCATCGAATGCGAGACGAGCATGCGAAGGGATCGTTCTAGCCGCACGTCGCCGTAGACAAGGTCGGAGTGAGGTGAAGCATCGATCGGGCGGGCGCCAATTTCGGCAACCGCAGCGAGCTGGGTTCCGCTACAAGGACCACCCCACTGGTCGTCATCGGCCGAAGTCCACGTAGCTCCGATGTTCTGGTTGGCCTTGACAGCCTCATGGGTGAAAACGAGGAGGTCAGGGAGGGCCTTTGGGCGGTAGAGGTTGTCCTTGTTCTCTGCTTGGAAGCTCAAGATGCGACCTCGACTCTTCTGTTCACTCGGTGGTCAAACTCAGCTCGGGCACGTTCACCAGACACCGATGTTCATCAAGTGCCCTGCACGCACTCACCAACGTCGGCTTTCCGTCTTCCCACACAATCTCTGGGACGACCGTCGTGTCAATGTCGTCGGTCAACGGCGCGAGGAAAAAGTCCTTCAATCCGGCCCATTCGATCTCGCGGTCTCCGTCGTGACTTTGGTCGGATGAGGAGCCCAGAGACCTGAGCCTAGTCATGCGACTGACACCCTGAAAGGGGGGTGGCTTGGTGTCGCTTTGAGCCGGGGACGACGTGGCCGACGCTGCTTTGGGCGCTGACGTTGCTTCTTGGTCGGACCCATGCGACTGAGACTTATCGTCCCATTGCGGTGGTTGCGGTGGGGGCGAGGACCAAGTGGCCGACCCGGCGGTGGATGCGCCGCGCGGGGGCGAGTCGAATTTGAACGATGGGCTTGTCGAAGGCGAGCTGTGGCTGTGTTGACTCGTACTGGGAGAGTCGGGGGGCGTTCGCCGTTCAGTGTAATGTTCAGCACTGCTGCGGCTCTCGCCGGGTTGAGCCTGGGACATTTTGAGTACGAGGGGAAGGCGAAGCGAGCTGTAGCTATTGAATGTTGAATGCTGTACACGACGCAACGAGCTCGTCAATGTTCGAGACCGAAGCGACGTAGTAGTGGGAGTCGGCCGTCGCAGCGGGTCGACTCGAGTCTCGACTCACGTGACGAGGGTACTACGACGCACACAAACCAGTGGATTGGCGTACGAGGTTAGAAAGACGATGATAACGGGTGTCAGTGGCGACGACGTAGTGGCGGCGACGAAGCGACGGTTCAGGCAAGAGGCCAAGCCGCGTCGAGGCGCGCCTGTCGAGCTCTGGTCAAGTTGTCAAGCTTGTCAAGCCCGAAAGCAGCCGAAAGCGGGCCCAAGCTGGCCGGTTGCCAAAGGCAACCACTGCAACGGGGGCGCCGAGCGAGTCGAGAGGCGAGTGCGGTGTGAACCACTCCCTCTTGCCAGAACTAACTACTTTCGCTCGCAACATCCCCTGTTGCTCGCTCGAAACTTCAGATTTTTTGGCTTTCCCGCCCGCTTCCCCGGTTTGCCTCCCCTTGCTTGCGCTGCCCCGCCGATTTCTTCGCGGGGCCGTGTCGTCGGGGAATTCGCCCCCAAGCCCAAACCAAAGCCATTTATTATATATTCACTATTCAGATTCATGCGAGATCAACCTCGTTCAGTCGGAGACTGCACGTCGTATTACTTGACCGACACGAGACGCTCGACGCGACGACGAGCGACAATAGCGCCCAGCCTATAGCGATGCCACTGGCTCATGCCAGCGATCCCATCTCCATCGGCGTGGCAGGGGTGACAGCTCCGTCAAGCGATCCGAAATGAGCATAGCATTGTGCTAGCACACCATACCGCTTGCTTCTTTCAGGGAGCTTTTTCTAAGATTGTCGGAATTAACGCACCGCGGCGCGGGGCGGCGACCAGTCCCTGAACCGCCCTCTGTAAAGTCACACTCACACAACTATGGCCCGAGGATAGGCAGTACCTCCTACTTAGCCGCAAGGGAAGAAACACCGCAAGACAAGGCTAGAAACTTTAACGGCAAATCCCCGTTTCATTCAAGAGCCAGCCGCGCGTCCCGAAGACACTTCAGGATCCTTGTCGGCGGCCTCTGCTCCGAAGTCATTGACGCCGTCGCCTGCGCGTGAGGCGGACTTCTTTGGCTGACGAGCCCCGCATCTACGAAGTCGAACCTCTACAGGAGTACGAACTAGTATCTCAACTGCGTGTTCCTGGCTGGGAGCAGATTCCAGCTTTATGGCCTGCTCCCATCCCTGAGGCGGGTCGGGCTTTACGGCCTGCTCTCACTCCCGAGCCTGGTGTGGCTTTACCGCCAGCGCTGCCTTCACTTCCTCGTTTTCAACGTGCGGACGATGGCGAGGTTGCTCCTATTCCTTTACGAGCTGTCGGCCCGTTGGCCGAAGGGGTTGAAGACGAAAGAGGACCTATCGATCATCGACACGAGGAGGCTGTTGAGGCTATCGACAGTTACAAAGACGACGACCCTGCGGAGCGTGATCCACCTCTACCTCCTGACGCTGGTCACGAGTACCGGCCTTATCGTGTCGGTCGCAATCCGGGTCTGCTCGAGAACATTAACGAGGGCAACATTCTACCGGTTCGCACGCGTACTCAGCGTCGCGTCGCCGCCCTCAGTATTGTGTCCACGCGCAAGGTCCTTCGTCGTGAACCAGAGCTCATCGCGTCGGTTTCCACTCGTCACCCACCGCTTCCCAAGACCTTCAGAGATGCGATGGCTTCGCCCGAGGCCGAGTCCTGGTGCGCTGCGTCGGTCAAGGAACTCAACTCCATGGGCTTGCACAAGGTCTTCAAGCTTTCGAGGCCACCTACCGGGGCTCGTGCCCAGGGCTATCGTTGGGTGTTTACTCGGAAGGAAGACGCCGAAGGCAACATCATCAGCTACAAGGCTCGGCTAGTCGTCCAAGGCTTTGCTCCACGACTGGGGCTCGACTACAACAAGACCTTTGCTCCTGTCTCGTCGATCACGACGATCTTTGTTCGTCGTCGGCCTTTCTGCCGCTCGTGGACTGATTCTCGAACAGTGGTCCTGACTTCTCGGCGTCGCTACCTCTCTCCTATCGGAAGTCTATCTTCCGCGCTCGCATGTTTTCTGCGATAGTTGTCAGTGACTGTAAAACGCCAAGAAACGAAACCCGGCAGTAGTGAGCCGGTATAAAAGCTGTCGTCGTGATTTGCGGGCTTGAACTCACCACCATGACCATCGGTGCTCGACAAGTCAATATTCAGCTCGGCGTTCATTGCGAGCGCTTGACAGGGGAGACGATGACCCGCTTGGACTGAGTTGGACGGTCGGCGGGGGCGTGGTCTGGCGTGTCATCTGCCGCACATCAGCAAAGGAAACTACATCAGGCACATGTGATATGCACAAAAGATACATTCAAGAAGTACTCACGTCGTTCTGGCCGTGCACGCGAATCCTGAGGGGCACGAATCCTGAGGGGCCCTGAGGTTAGACGCCCGTGCCATTTGCCGGAGGACCTGTCCCTCCAAGCGCGACCCTCGACGGTGCAGACAACCGCACACAGATCACCATCACGGAGGATGGTGTGTGCAAATCGCCCGGGGTGCCCATCGACAGTCACGGAGAGTGGTGTCGGATATCTTTCGGCGCACTTGCGACCCGTAAAAAGCCCCTCCCGGACATCCGCATAAAATCGACTGTAATCGGGCAGGTCAAGGATGTTCTCCCAAGCGGTTCGCCCCCCTGTGACATCTTCCCAATGACTGCACACACGCTTGTCAGCCCAATCATCAGACGCTGGAGCCTACAAAAGCAAACATGTAAATTACTACTTACACCCTGGGGGTGATTAACGGGTGGTGGATGAAGACCACCTGCGGCTTCGCCGCGGCGTTAGGTTTGGGCGTATTGAATGCGGATCGCTGGCGGATGAGGATGAGAAAGGGGAAGAAGTCAGGTTTCTGTCTGTGCAACGGATTCAAATACAAACAGATGGGAGGTACCACAGCTTACATTGACCGCTCCCCAAGTTCTACGCCGTTGCCGCATGTTCAGAAACAAGGATCGCTTGGACATGCCCTGACTCGGAGTCGCAAGCGCCTCGGACGTCACGAGCTCGAGGCCGATCTCGCGGATCAAATGCTCCGGCTGCTGCCTTTCCGGAGGCAAGTGCTCGCGACTGAACACACAAACGTGGATCAACCACTCCAACATTCGTTTCACCTCCCCTTGCCTCACAATCATCGGTCGACACTTGTCTAGTTCGGTCAAATCGGCTTTAACTTCGCCGGCGCCGCAAAACAATACGCACATGGCACTGTCGGCTAATTACTCGACTGACATCGGAAGAATGTCCGTGAACGCGGCAGTATTCTGAGTGAAAATTAAGGTATTTCCCCGAGTACACTTTTGCTGCGCCTTTGGGTCGCCGAACTTTGTAATCTTGTAGACGATTTTATAGGCGCGGGCCCGGGCAGTGACCAACAGTTCGAGCCTGCTGACTTGCACCTGAGAAACAACCCTTGACAGCTGGAGGCAGATGATCGATGGCCCGGTAAAGACGATTACTCAATGAACGAGCGGGCTTAGTAGGCGCAGCTTTACAGGTAAAGAGACTTTGATAACAGCCGAGGCAAAGCGAACACTGGACGACGGACTCGTCCGTGGCGAAGGAGATGGCTGGCTCTCTGGGTCGTTCCACCGATGTAGACCACGCGGATCAATGATTGCAGCACGCCATTCCTCGAAATCATACGTTGTAGGCCGCAAGTCAGAGCGCAAATGAACATCTGTGAGCACCTCCAGGATGCCGCGATCTCTGCACTTGAGATCGCTCCGATCCGCGACCCACTGCCAGTGCCTCGTGCCCGAAGACCCTCTCAGAGCAAACCAAGCAGCAGAAAACGAAAATTGGCATCTGTGAAACACTGATTCCATTCGGCACGGATCTCAGCTTGGAGCCGGGCGGACGCAGGAGTATAGGGCGAGGACCGCTCAGCCGGCGAAGCTGGCCCCGCGGTTCGGCGAAGCCGTGTCTAGCCGTGTGTCGTCGTCAGGGCGGCTGTCATTGTTGGTCGCCGCTCGTCGTCTGTTCTGAGTCGCATTCTCTGTCAATGACCTTTTCTCTCGTTCAAAAATCGTCTTGGTCAGTTCTGCTTGACACGACTCAAATGTTTTGTGCCGGTAGACCGTGTGGCGGGGTACGCAATGCCGTCGAGGGACCAGAACGTCATTGGCTGTGCTTCACTTGAAGATGTAGCCACTCTCACATGCTGGACAACTCTCAGTGCATGAAGACAATATAATACGCAAAAACAGTTCTCTAGCCCTTGATCGCCGAAGAGAGTAGCTTTGCAAGTTGTGAGTCTGACAAAGAATCTGCAGTTGTTCCAAACGAAGTTTGACGTTGGACAAGACGAGCTGTCGCAATGAGCACCTGATCACTAGATCGTCGTCAAGCGACTGTGAGGCCCCAAATCTGTTCGGTCCATAATAAGCGTACTGTACTCGTTCGCCATGTTGGCACGAGCAACTGCCTGTTGTCAAGCCAAGCTCCGAGATGCTGTCTAATGACTCGGCGTCGGGAGGCACGACTAAGACACGTGAACTGGGAGAGATCGACATCGCCGCAGGGTGGGTGGATACAAATGCCACTTGATACCACTGACTGGTGTGTCGGACCGACTGAGCACCGTTCGTGACTGATGAACTACTCCACGGTGCTCCGAGGAGGGCTGTACCATGAGCTACTGAGATGTTGATGTTCGCACACAGCTATCAGACGAGCCGAAGCGCACGCTTACAGGACTTTGCACTCCCGTGCCGTTCGCCGCCGTTCCGCGCCGGCTCGCGCCGGTCTCTGCAGCTCTGTGCCAGCTCGTGCCGGCTGACTGCCGGCTGCTGGCCTTGCGCGCGGGCCTGTGCCGTAGCCGCCCCCCGCCAACGAAGTAATGTTGAGATCGTCGTCAATTTCCCAAGCTCGCGCCCCCCAATTTTCCTTGCATAAACCTTCAGCTCTAAAGAAAAGAGCGTCAGGGATAATGAAGCATTAGATCCAGCCGCATTACTACCTTTACTGCCTCTTTATTCAACAGAAAGGTGAGTTAAATGTGCCTAAAATCGCTGTTTTTGACCTGTGGTGGATGTACCAGCATACTGTATTTTTCGCGCCGGTCGAACGAACCTACAGCGTTCCCAGTATTATCCTTCACTTTTCCGTTGACGTAAAACAGTGTTTACACCTATACTGTATTTAATGGATGTGAAGCGCGTGGCTTTACATGACATTGCTTCTACAGCAGAGCTCCGCCTGACGCGCGGGGTGAGGGCTGGCGTATGTCACGTGATGCGGCACGCCTGCGGTGTCAGTGTCATTCCGGCAGCCGACCAGCGGCATTAGGGGCTCAACAACAAATGACACCCCGTAAATAATCCCGCGCCACTTCCTCGAACCTTTTATTTTTCCCTCCCACTCTCATCAGCTTTTGATGACACTCATTCAAGGAGAAACCCTCGGCACTATGCCTCGGTCTCAAGGTCGCCTGAGGGAGGGCCATCCGGCAGCCTTGCTCCGCTGCTCGACCCTCCCCTTCGCCCCGCTCCGATCAGCAGAATCAGCCCTCCGCGCGTCATGACAACCCAACCGATCTTGGTATTGCGACACGTATACGAGCCTGCTGTGCAGCTGTGCAGAACGGACAGCGTGGTCAGCGCGATGGCCGACCCGACGCTGAACGCAACCCTCACGCCCTACCACCACGTGCACCTCTTTTAGCTGCGGGACAAGGCCAGCGGAGACCCCGCAGGGCTAGAATCGCGCTCAAACCACTCAAGCCCCACGTTTCGATCCGCGACTACCTCGGCCCCAGATGGCCGTGTGCACCCACTGCAAGGCTCGACACTGGAAGTGCGAAAGGACGAAGTCGACCGAACACTTTAGCACGTGCTGCTCGCAGGGCAAGGTGCAGCTGCCTCCCCTGCCCAGCCCAATGCCGAGTATCGACAGCAACTTGAAGGCTCGGATAGCGGTCAGCTGCTCCGTTCAACAACATTCGTCTGCAGAGACCCACATGCTGAACTGTGCGACCCACCTACACAGAAGCTGAAGCCTCCCGCGAGAACGCCCGGTCGTACAACAACGCGTTGTCGTTCACTTCGCTCGCTGCTCACTTCGACCAGACACGACTGTGCACTCTTGGCCCCCCCGTACTTCGCGTGTTTGGTCGCCTCTATCATCCACTCGGCGCCCTGATCCCTGTCGTAAATCAACGCCCAGCCTTTGCTCAGACATGGCTCATCGACCCGGCCGAGGCCACCGACACTCGACTTGGGACCCGGCGGGGCAGACAGTCGCATACAAAGATCTACTTTGACCAAGCTCGAGCCCATGTTGCGTGGCGGCAATCGCTTTGTGAGGGAGTTCGCATCGGCCAAAGCTCGCGCAGGTTGGGATACGGCCAAAGAGAGGGTCCTGCGCCTCTGCCTACCACGAGGCCGAGACCGACGCACCCACAACCTTCCTACGTCGAGCACGGAGATGGCAATGCATATCTGCGATTCCGACACCAACACGGGAGATCGTGGACCGCAAGACCTTATTCTTGAGGTGCACGATGTTCGATGTCCCGACAGTCGGCCCAAGTACCAAGTCGTTAGCTCGCTCTATCCGTCCGCGATGCCTCTCCGCTCGTTACCCACTACTATTCCCTGCGGGGGAAGATGGCTTCCACCCCAACTTTCCTCTTTGCGGGTTCCACCAAGCTGGGCCGCCGATCGCCAGCAACCGAGAGCAGATCGACAGTGGTGTTCAATTGCGCGAGCTACTTGCCGGTCTTGGTCCGGATGAAGAAGGCGAAGAGGAGGACGAAGACCACGACGATGAGGATGAAGACGGCGAGGAAGGGGACGAAGAGAATGGTGAAGGTGAAGGTAAGCGTCTTCGGCTCTTTACCATGTGTTCCATTCTGTTGAAACGCGAGCACAGACTGACGTAGAATGTTTGAACATCTAGCACGAAGGTCAAGGAAAAGGGGTCGAGGTGAATCAACCCGAGTCTCGCGTTCACAATTCTTTGCGTACTACTTGCACGAACGCGACGACTACTTTTCAATCCCGCATTGCACTCAAGCTCGTAATCGACGGATACTCCCAAGTCGAGATCGATCGACTCAACTATATCCGGTTTCATCAAGGATATCCTGCGCCTCACCACGGCCCAAGGCATCACCGACGCTGCCATTGCCACCGGCTTGACCCCGAATCAATTTGGACGTTCGGTGATTTTGGGCTCGACGTTCAAGAATAGCCCGCGGGAGATCACACAGCGTTACCTAGATGCGATGGCGTGCGTTGTCAAACATGGAAAGCTTCGCTGCTCATCACGGTGACGTGCAACCCCGAATGGCCGGAAATCAAGGCTGCACTGGGGCCGAACGACGAAGCATGCAACCGTCTGGATCTCCTTGCACGAGTGTTTGAAGCCAAGTTGAACCGACTCTGCGACGACGTTTTTGGCATCCAGCAACGTGCAGGCTGTTTCGGCGTCGTTCTGACGCATGCACACGTTATCGAGTATCAGAAGCGGGGCCTGCCGCATGCCCATATCCTTATCCTCATCACCCTCGCGCCGGACGAACATCCTTTGTCGAGGGAAGCGATCGACAAGATGATCTCGGCCGAGATACCCGATCCTTTGTGCTATCCTGAACTCCACGAGACTCGCAGTACGTTTGGTTCCCCTCTTTCAACCGACCAACCGATAATAAGACTACCTTCTATTCGTTTCGCAGCTGTCTGATTACCTGCTGTTCGCGGAAGGTCAAAGAACCGCCGAAGGTTTGATCAATTTTGTCTACCCCGGTCGAAGGACCGTGAAGAAGGAGTCCCTCGACGACCTGAATCAGCTGTACTCGCGTCCGGCGGATCCCTGTCGTTCTTCTTCGCAATCTCAGCCCAGGCGCAGGCCTCTGCAACGGTACTCGCCTTATCGTCTTCACGCAAGATCGCGAGTCATTCAAGCCGCCATCTTGACCGGAGATCGAACGGGCACCACGGCGGTCTTCATCCCTTCCGTGCGACTTGAGACCTAGCAGTCGCCAACTTGGTTGCACTATGCGCCGGCTCCAATTCCCGCTTCGAGTTGCCTTGGCCATGACGATCAATCAAGCTCAAGGTCAATCACTCGATCGCGTTGGCGTCGATCTCTCCCTGCATCTCGTCTTCACTCACGGGCAGCTGTATGTGGCAATGTCTCGAGTCATGAGTGTTGGCGACCCCGCCCATGATGACAACGACCTACAAGCCGTGACCCCAAACCCAGTATTCCGCTTTGTTCTGAGGGCGATGAGTTCGCATTGTGTGTTTCGCCTCCACTGATGTAAACCGTTCAGTTCTCCTGCTATTTGAATTTCAGCCTCCCGTTAATCTAACGGGTTCCCCTTTTTTTTTTTTTTTTGTTTTTTAATTATCTACATCTACATATATTTACATTATTTTTGTATTTTTATTTTTTATTTTATTTATAAATACCCCCTGCTGAAACCATGTATGTATTCTCCTGCTAGTTTGCTTTGAATATCCCCCTTCATTAAACGGGTTCCCACTGGGTTATTTGACCTCTGACATACCTGTGATATACTGTTCAATTCTACTGCTATGTATTTGAGTTCTGAGCTTGGGGGCGGCTTTCCCCACAACGCGGCTCCGCGAAGAAACCGGCGGGGCAGCGCAAGCAAGGGGCGAGGCAAAACCGGGAAGGCGGGCGGGAAAGCAAAAAGTTCGAAGTTCCGAGCGAGCAACAGGCTATGTTGCGAGCGAAAGTAGTTGGTTCTAGTAAGAGGGCGCACCCGGTGGTCGCCTTTGGCAACTGGCCGGGACAGGCTAGGACAGGCCAGGACGACTGGCATGGAGCCGCTAGGACTAGGAGCCGCTCAGAGCCGCTCTGAGCCTGAGCCGCTTGCAGTTGCGCCCCCACCCAGCTTTCGCGGCTCCGGCTCTCCTCAGCTCGCTCTTGATCGAGGTCACTGGAGGGCGGTTGCTCTCTCTCGCTTCGGCCAACCGGTCTCGAACGTCGATCCTACACCTCTGGTTCGATTCGATCAAACTCTTCTCTACTTTTCCCAACAATCCGGATGGCCCCTGGTGCGCCTGTCGAGGAGAAGAAGCCTGCGACCATGAGTTGGGATGCAGCAACGCTCGAGACGCAGAGTCGAATGTCGTCCGGAGGCAAGTCTTGCCTCATTGTCCTCCTTGGGAGAACGCGATGCTGACTCTGGTAGTGCTCGCACAGCACGATACCTTGCTCCAGAGTCTCCGCCGCGCCGGACACGCCGCTCACAAAACAGCTGGTTGAATGGAGTCGGTCGGCGGCGAAACAGGACGTGCGCAGGTGATGATCTCCATGCACGCAGTTGAGCGAGGAAGGAAGCTGTTCGTCGGAGGTGCTGCCTGTGGTGCAGCTTGCAGCGGCGAGCTCCTGGGTGTGAGTCGTCGAGCTTGGGAAAGTGCGCCCGTCTTGCCCTTCTTGCAGAGTCGTCGCCCACACCTGGCTGACACGCGCTTTGCCTTGTTGAGGCAGGCAGTGCCGTCCCCAGAAGTGGGATCGCGTCGGGTCGCTCGATCTCCAGGCCTCGCTTCATCCACTTCGTCATCGATCGCTTGGTCGCCTCTTTTGCCGCCTCGTTGGCGTGCTCTTTGCCTTCCATTGCGCCACGTTCTGTGGCTCATTCGGTGGAACTTGATCGAAGGCCCCGCGAGCTGAAATGCTCTTGCTCGTCGGCATCTTGAATCGACGACCGTGCAGAACGTTTCGCCGCAGGAGTCGCCGTCGGCAGGCGTCGCGGTGCCGACTCCGCCGCCGCTGCTGGAACGAGCGCCGTCGACAATGCTGGGCGAACACAGCGGTTCGGGGAGCAGCTTGCCAAGGTCGGGATCTAGCTCGAGGCATTCAAGACGGCAATACAGGCCGATTTTGGGCAGCTCAAAGACTGGAATCGACGAGGAAGCGAAGATCCGAGAGCAGCAGACCACAACGCGTCTTTCAGCCGAACGTGCGCAGGCTCAACCCGATGCGAAGCTGCCACTGAAGCCGCCACCGCCACTGTTGCCTCCACTGCTACCACTTCGTCGGCCCCTGCTTCCGCCGAAGGTCGATGTCGATGCGCTCTTTGCGGGCAAGCTCAAGGAGCTCGAAGCAGGTCCACTCGCTTCGCAACAACCAGCAACCCAAGCCGCGGTGACGGAGGCGCTTGCCGGACAGGCGACCGAAAATGAGGCACGCGTTGCGACACGGGTGCGGGAGACGCGCAACGACATGTCAGGGAGAGTGCATCAAAAAGGGTAGACTGATGACGGCGCTCAAGAAGACGGTCGAGACCAAGCTCAAAGCGTGCGATGTCAAGCTCAAGGGCCGCGCACGGACTTGTCCAGGCGGACGGGGACCCCTTTGCCTGATACGAACGCCAGTCTCGTTGCGGTTGATTCCGCCCCTTCATCGCCTGCACTTGCACCTGCACCAGCAGCCGCACCGGCGACACCTACACTCGCTCTCAAGGCGACCTCACCGGCGCGAGGTGGTGCTGCCGCGGGGCGCGGTGCAATCGGACGCCGAGGGAAAGGACGAGGCGCAGCCGCTGCGGGCGCATCGCCGAGTCGACCGGGAGCCGCCACTGCTTCGGAGATTCCTTCGAAGTTTTCGATTCGTGGCATCATGGGTACGGCTGCGGCGCCAGCGACACCACCGGCTTCGACACCAGGCGGTGTTTTGGGACGGTTGATGGGCGGCGCGCTCGGTGGGAAAACGAGGGAGGGACGATGGTGCTTCGGGCGGATGGGAAACGACAGAAGCAAGGCGAAGGAGAGGGAGGTGAGAGATGGAGGAAGGGGATGGGGGTGTGCTTTCGTACTGACCCGTGATCGACGTGCGGTTCGTTCGGATACACTGGTCATCATCCCGGACCATGAATGTTGGGCTTGCTTTTGACGAGATGTCAAGACGGGTTGGGCGGCGGAGGAAGGAGTGGAGGCATTGTTGGAGCTCGACGACGACGACGACGACGGGGAGGAAGTTGGGTTGGAAACGGCGTGACATCGTGTTTGCTCAGGTATGAAGTTTTAAGATGGTGAAATACCATGTTTTTTTAGTTTGGCTTTCGACCTCTCGATGTGTGCACGGCATGGGAGAATCGGTGTATCAGGTCCATCACCGTGTTCTCCTCGGTAGAGCTTCCGAAGTGGGCTTTCTTCCACAACAACTGTGATGGCGTCGATCGCGCTTCTGCAGTGCAAGACGAGCTTTCGGTTGGTCACGTGCCGTGTAACACCGAAATACTTTGTGGGGCACCACAGCATCCAGGAGATTTTCGCAAGGCCGACTCGGAGTCGTCGTTGTCGTCTAGTCGAGCGCAATCTTGGCACCAGATTATGGCTGGTGCGCGTTGTGTGTTGGGTCAACAGAACAGCATTGCATGTTAAATTAGAAGATCCGATTGTGTTTCCCCCGATCTGTCTGGTGACCGCGCATCGGCCTCACTCATACTAGGGCGTCGGTCCATGCATCCGCCGCCATGGCCGTGCTCGCTATTTTCAGGAAGAGACGTGTTCAACACCGTGCGAAGATTGCTAGTATAGCAAGCTTGAGCTGATGCTGCACAGAGCTGTCAGCTTGTGACGTGTGCACTGCAGTGCAGTCGAAAGTTGGACGTTTTCGCGTGCGCCGCCCGGATCGACGCTACTTCGGCGGAATGATCCGAGGTTGGTAGACCACTGCAGTCTGAAGTTCCGACGCATGCTCCATACGAGCATCGTCTTAGCTTTTTAGCATGGTCGGGCTCTTTTCTCAGTTCATGAATGTCAGGATGATACAGCCTTGCCGTGCTGGTGGATCGTCCAACTGTCCGAGCCGTCCCATCCGTCCTTCCCGGGCCAGCGATCGGGATCGCGCCGCTACGCGTCCCTGCCTCCCTGCCTGGGGCCGATCGAAACCCGTCTCTCGCTCGCTCGCTCCCCCCTTCACTTCCACTCACTCCACACCTGGCCACACCGCGCAACGCACTACGCTCCTGCTCGGTACAGCGACGATACAGCGTCTCCAGCTTGTCAAGTTCCTCGACGGCTGTCTGCGGCTCGCGTCCGGTGTCAATTATCAGCAGACTCTCACCGTCCAAGTCGTCCTTGTGAGTCGCCCGTTGTCGCCTGGGGAAATTTGCCGAGTGAGATCTGACGCGGTTGAATCATGCGGCTCTCTTGATACCACGCGATCGGACAGCTTCACCCTCCTCAGATACCTCCTTCAAGTTGGCAGCCTCATCAGTAAGTTGGGTATGCAATTTGTCGCCTCGACCCAGCTTCTGACCGCCTGAGGCTTCTGGCCAACCGCTGTCGGCAGTGGCGCCCGAAACAGACGACTCAGGGCTTGCTCTACCACGCAAGTATGCCCGAATGCGGGCAGCGAACACCACCACCAATAGAAAGAAGCCCACAACTGAACGGGTGCATGGGGAAACTGGTGGGACTAGAATGGTACGAGATTCCCCGGCGCTACAGAGATACCTGGAGGAGGCGGATCTGCAGCGCGATCGCCGGGTCGAGGCCATCGAGGTGCCGGACACGCACAAGTGGGGATCTGAGGCCGACATGGTGCCGCTTGTGAAAGCGATCATGGGCGTGGTGAGGCACATCCACGTCTTTCCACTATCTTCTTGTTCATGTCTTGAGCGGGTAAATGACCTCGCCATTCCGCACTGCAGGCCTCCGAGTCGACCGACCGAGCCTTTGTAGTCTGTGGACGCTCGAGCGACACGGTCCCGACCGCGCAAGGGCAGGTGCCCTCCGACGACCACTGCGCAGACATAGTCTGCCTTTACCCGCACGCTACGACTCCCGAAACGATTGAAGAATGGCTGCGAACCGACCTCGAGCGCCTGATAGGGGAAAAGCGTCGTCGATCTCGAGTCAGCAAGCCCGACGGCCGACGCCTAGACGACGTCGTCGTCGTTGGGGAGCTCAAGGAATCCGAGCGCCAGGCCAATAAGGCAGAGGTGCAACTGCTCCGGCGTTTCTATCGGATGACCTCCACCAATCCTATCCAAGAATGGACAATGGGGTTTACCATTTGTGGCATACATTTGCGGGTGTACGTACACATGGCCGCCGGGATCATTCGATCCGACCCAATCGATTGTTCCACGCCAGCCGGCTTCCGCTGCTTGAAGCGGTTCATGCTGCGCATCCTCGAAGACGACCTTCGATCGCTCGGCACCATCTCGCCGGCGTCGACTCTTCCCGTCTCGATCCTTCGGCGCGACCTTCCCCCGACCTCGCACTCTTCGAATTTGGGCATCGGGAACGTCAGGTTCAATTCAAACCTCAAGCTAGTACACCTCCATTTTGTGCACCCCGCAATGTTGGGATCGAGAGCGCGCGTCTACACAGCCAAGCTCCGAGGACGCCACTCGCCAACCTCCCACACGGCAATTATAAGCCTGATTGACGAAGTGGGTGCGAGCCGCTTTAAAAAAATATTTGCTATGGTCCAAGCCGCACGATTCGATAACTCGTATGAGCTTCCCCAACTGAAGCATTGGCTGCTCAACGCTGCCCACTTCCGGACCGCACCCCCCATGATCGGAAAAGGTGACGCGGGCTGCAACTTCGGTCCGCGTGCCGTGCAGTACGTAATATACGACAAGGTCTACTATTCGTTAGAAACAGTCACCTCAACGCTGGGAATCGTGAAGTTTCTCCGGGGTGCACTCGCAGGTGAGCAGGCATCTTGCACCCGAGCAAACTGGGCCTGCCGCAGAAGACGGATGGAACCTGACCGCTCACCGAGATACGACTTTACAGGAGCGAAGTGGTTGCTGGAACGGGGAATTTTGGTCCGAGATCTTTCGGAGGGTAGCGTGATGGTTGCAAGCAATGGCCAAGGGGTTGTGACACGATTTGATCATGCCGTGCTTCTGGACGACCCTTCGGCGGCGTCAGAACTCGAAGAATGCGCAGTACGTGCCCGCTCTTTGCCTCCGCCTCCATCTCAGTGGACCGACCCCGTCACCTCTGGCTACGCAGGGAATCCTGGCATTCGCAGCACTCGGGGGTTACCCGATGGGATCGACAAGAACCTCAATCGTGCCTCACGAGATCTGGCATCTTGTCGAGCAATTGGCGCACACTGCCCAGCTCATTGTTTGGACCCGCCCAGGAGGCGAACAACACGACCAACCGGGTCTGAGCGCGTCTGCCCAGGACTTGTTGACCCAGTGGAATTTGGAGAACTCTGTCGATGCGATTGCGTCCAAGATTGAGCACTACTCAAATCTAGGAGACCACTCAAATGTGCGGATTTATCCACCTGCTTGGCCCCAACTGCCGCAAGTTTTCGCCGTCCTCAGCCGCTATTGCGACTTGGGAGCGCTTTCTCAAAGCGCTGAGCCCCTGGAATGGCTGAACAGCCGCTACCTTCTCACAAAGAAGCGATGGGGGAAGAACGGTGATCTTTCACTTGAGAAAGCTTTGGGGGACCTGGCGGAGCTGCAAGCGAGAATCGAAGGCAACTTGGTGTTAAAGATGTAGATGGAGCGCAGTGGCAACTGTTCTAAAAGTGTCAAGTCGCTTGTAAGCCTGTTTGTCCAAGCTGCATTGTCCCGCGCCGCTATACACCACCACTTGCAAGAGTAGCCTGGAGGCGAGCAGCATCAGCGCTACTCTCAGCGCCGCCGAGTGCCAGTATGTCCAAGCCAAAGGTCGATGCATCAGCAACTTTGCCACTCGCGCTTAGTGCAATTTAGCGCACCGGAGATTATAGAAAACGAGCTAAATTTCACAAAAAGTGCGCTTTTGGCACTAAAGTGCGCTAAATTGCACTAAATTGCACTAAAGCGCGAGTGGCAAAGTTGCTGATGTGGCATGATCGGTGTCCTGTGCTCAGGGTCGCAGCGGAAATACTAGGGTCAAAACAAGGGGCTGGTTTCAAACGAATCGTCGCTATAGCTTCCGGAAGCTGTCGGTGATGCTATCGGTCACAGCAAACACACCCTTCGTTGGCGGACGGTCGCGCGAGAACGCTCAACACGGCCGATTTCGAACGGTCGAGAGTGAAGATGGGCGCGGTGTGCATTCTCACACCGTGCTCCCTCGAGACGACGATTTGATCCGCTGAATTATCTGTCAGACGAAAGTGAAACACGAGTAGGTAAGGTCGCTTATAACCGCTCCTGGGAGCTGCCGCACTGCTGTTTCCCCTTTGTCATAATGTCGGGGTTGGTTAACCGAACGAATGAAGATTCGCACGCGCTACGTTCGTTGATAGATGGCCTATGGTGAGATAGAGTATCACCAAGGTCAATCAACTAGCAGGGCGAATGGGCGAGACATATTTCGAGTGTGTGTCAAGTGCGTTACAACTACCTGAGGTGAAATAGACTCGTGGCAGGGCTAATGGGCGAGAAGGATATCGAGTGTGGGTTGAAGAAGGGAGAGAGAGAGAACGAGACCAAAGCCTTAGACAGTATCCGCTTGCAAGCCGTTTATCAGGCTGAGTCCGAATCCATAAATGTAAGGGTTTGCTCCCTCAAGGGTCGCGAGAGCTGCTGCGATTGACTGTTGACGTGGTTGGGTCGTTTCAGGATGGTCCAAGTCGTCCGAGTTGTCCAAAAGTCCAGAAAAGGAAAGAAAGGAAAGAGCGACTATCCAAAGGTATTGTGACAAATTTATTCAAATAAGAGAGGAGAGCTTGTCTCAGTTGTGGGCAAGGCCCGTGGGAGGGGCGCACCCCTCACAAGAAACCCCACCTCGCGCGAGCCATCTGGATGGAAGTCGACGATGATAACACAAACCGCCCGCCAAAGTGCGAGAAACGGGCCGGTGTCCACCAATCCAATAACGGGATTCAGGTGCCCCAGCCAAGCGGTTGCTTCCTCCCCCCCCCCAAGAGACTAAAGAGAGAGAGAAAAGAAAACAAGGTACTATGTAACGACAGGAGGCCCATCCCGCACCCACTTCGCGACTCGGTGCAATACTTTTTTGTTTGGTTTACCGGGGCTCATAAATTGCAACCTTACGGGTTGGCTGGGACCGCTACAAAAAGAGCGAAAAGAGGTTCTAAGCAATGACGACAACTTCAGATAGGTGAAATCAAACCCCTGCGGCGCAAAGAGCGCCGCGCAGATCAAAGCCCGCCGGGCACCTAGCTCGGATTCCACGGGCGGTGAGTCTGCTGCCGCTTCACGTCCCAGGATTGGGAGCGAAGATACGCGATAACCAGGGAGCAGCTAGAAAGAAAGGGGACGTATACAAAAAGCCACGACCAGAAACACGGAGAAGCAGGAAGACTAAGACAAAGGGGAGGGGGAGAACACACCCGACGGAGGGGTCGAAGCCAGAGAGAGAGGTCCCAGCCGAGCCCCAGCTACTCGTCACCCCGACAGCGACTGAAGTCCTCCGTTGGCTGAGTCTCAAGAGCTGTCTATTGAGCCGTCGGGCCGAGCGAACGATCCAAAAAAAACCCAAACAAGCCTCGCCATGTCGCGAGAAGCTTGACCAAAGCGAGCGATCCTTCTTGCCGATTCATCCAACGCGACCAGCTCGGGTCCGAAAGCAGGAAAAGGAAAAAGGGGGTGTGGCCCAAAATATTGTCAACATCTGAGCCACAACGCCAGAGAGGAAAAGAGAGAGGAAACGAGGGAAGGGGAGACTTAGCAGGGCATACCAACATTCTTAAGCGTCCACCCTGCTTGCCGTTCCATCGATTCGAATGTCGCCGATCGTAACCCGCTCACGAATGTAGAAGTGATGCACACTGTAGTGCCTCGTCCTACCTTGATGAGCCGGGTTACGCTAGTTTAATAGACAATGACCAGTGGGAACTCGTTAAATTAACGGGATGATGAAATTCAACTAGCTGGAGAATTCAGCAGAGCTAAAAAAAAACCAACACGAAGTACAGCATAGAAAGTGTTCTCCGTGTATCGCCGAAACAGCCTGCCCGTTGCTTTGTGTTGCCTACAACGTCATCGCATAGTCGATTCAAAATTGGCTTCAAACACTTGTGCAATGAGATCCAGACGGTTGCATGAGTGCGCAGAGTGGGCGGGCGAAAGCCAGGCGCATGAAGGAGAGAGTCAAGTCTAGTGTTTAGCAGCTCACGAGGGTAACCAGCGCAGCCAATTCCCTGAACAGAGTGGAACAATGACAATGAAAAGGCGATATCTAAGCTACAAACAACAAGCTTTTCGTGCCTTACTGGGCTCTTCAGCGTTTGAAGCCGCACCTCAATCCTCCGAAGAATGGCCTCGTCTGAACTGTGTCAAGTCAGCAATCAGCTGGTCGTGTGAAAAATCGCCCCTTGCCCAGCAAGGACCGAGGACGGCGGCTTCGTCAACCCGCGCGGTCCACAAGCGGCATTGCATACCCAGTCCACTGTATTTGGCAACGATGGCCACCAGCTCGGGCACGCCCTTCCAATGCTCCTCGTAGGGTTCGAAGAGTTCCCGGCGTCCCTGCGGCGTCGCCAGCCATAAAGTTTTATAGAAAGCGCCGCTGGCCGAATTCCATCGCTCCCATATGACTCTCGCTTTCTCATACATTCCCGCTGGGTCGTCAGCTCCTTTGGGCAGGATGAACATAACGAATACGGCAACGTATACGAGTGACTCCAAGTCATGCCAGGGCTGGTGGAAGAACGGAGCGTTCTCCGCGTCGTTCTTTAGCAGGTCTCGCGCGCGGAACGGGAACGTCCCCTGCGAAAACAAGTAGGTGAAGGTTTCAGTCAGTGGAGGGTGCGCGCCAGCGAGGTGTGATAATTCGCACAGAAACAAGGAAACTCACCACGGGCTTCCTTCGTTCGGCGTCCCCCTCTGGCCCGTCCATGAACACCGCAGTGTCGTAGTCGATCAATACTCCCCTACCATCGGATGCGACCATGACGTTCGCTGCAGACACGTCGCGATGGAGGATGCGGAGGCGGTGAAGACTGCGCAAACCTGTAGTGGGTGGGTGCCAGCCTCATGATCAGCCAAACGGTGTAAAGACCCCTCCCTCTCCGCCGATGGACAAATGCGGTATCCATACCTTGAGCAGCACCCAGAATGACGGTTGCCAGCGCTTCGGTCGAATCGGCGACGCAGATCGGCTCGAAGCAGTGCTCGTGAAACACGACTTCCATCGCTCGCGGCTTGAGACCCAACGCGCTGGCGTCGAGGGTGTCAGGGAGGAAACGGGGAACAACGACAAAGTCACTCTCGCGATACACGTCGACGATGTTGGTGAGCCCTTGCCGATCCTCGGGTGACGCGTTGGCGATGGCGAGACGGATGCGATCGTGTTCGTCGCAGCGAGCTTCTTCGACGAACGACACCGTCATCGCGTACTCGGTGTGGGCAGTCGTCCCTTCGCTCCTGGCGGAAACGCGGTAGGCCGAGCTGCGACGTCCAAACACGGAGTCGGACCAGTACAGCGGCTCAAGAATCTGGATGGCGTCGAGTCTAGGATCTCCCCTTCGGTGTTCGTTGAACGGCGCAGGTCGAGGGGGCAGGGCCGAGGAAGGGAAAGCGAAGGAGGTGGGAAAGGCGTCGTCACACAGAGACGCGATGACGCCGACGTCGCGATCGCTCAAGCTAAGCAATCTCGCCAGGAAAGTCGAAAGGTGCCCACTCGCTTCGGTACAGTAGATCACAGGGCTGCAAAAATGTCCACTCGGAGTACGAAGCATGATTTCGAGTTGTTGCCCGTGCAAGAGGAAACCAAACACGTGGGATCGCATCGAATGCGAGACGAGCATGCGAAGGGATCGTTCTAGCCGCACGTCGCCGTAGACAAGGTCGGAGTGAGGTGAAGCATCGATCGGGCGGGCGCCAATTTCGGCAACCGCAGCGAGCTGGGTTCCGCTACAAGGACCACCCCACTGGTCGTCATCGGCCGAAGTCCACGTAGCTCCGATGTTCTGGTTGGCCTTGACAGCCTCATGGGTGAAAACGAGGAGGTCAGGGAGGGCCTTTGGGCGGTAGAGGTTGTCCTTGTTCTCTGCTTGGAAGCTCAAGATGCGACCTCGACTCTTCTGTTCACTCGGTGGTCAAACTCAGCTCGGGCACGTTCACCAGACACCGATGTTCATCAAGTGCCCTGCACGCACTCACCAACGTCGGCTTTCCGTCTTCCCACACAATCTCTGGGACGACCGTCGTGTCAATGTCGTCGGTCAACGGCGCGAGGAAAAAGTCCTTCAATCCGGCCCATTCGATCTCGCGGTCTCCGTCGTGACTTTGGTCGGATGAGGAGCCCAGAGACCTGAGCCTAGTCATGCGACTGACACCCTGAAAGGGGGGTGGCTTGGTGTCGCTTTGAGCCGGGGACGACGTGGCCGACGCTGCTTTGGGCGCTGACGTTGCTTCTTGGTCGGACCCATGCGACTGAGACTTATCGTCCCATTGCGGTGGTTGCGGTGGGGGCGAGGACCAAGTGGCCGACCCGGCGGTGGATGCGCCGCGCGGGGGCGAGTCGAATTTGAACGATGGGCTTGTCGAAGGCGAGCTGTGGCTGTGTTGACTCGTACTGGGAGAGTCGGGGGGCGTTCGCCGTTCAGTGTAATGTTCAGCACTGCTGCGGCTCTCGCCGGGTTGAGCCTGGGACATTTTGAGTACGAGGGGAAGGCGAAGCGAGCTGTAGCTATTGAATGTTGAATGCTGTACACGACGCAACGAGCTCGTCAATGTTCGAGACCGAAGCGACGTAGTAGTGGGAGTCGGCCGTCGCAGCGGGTCGACTCGAGTCTCGACTCACGTGACGAGGGTACTACGACGCACACAAACCAGTGGATTGGCGTACGAGGTTAGAAAGACGATGATAACGGGTGTCAGTGGCGACGACGTAGTGGCGGCGACGAAGCGACGGTTCAGGCAAGAGGCCAAGCCGCGTCGAGGCGCGCCTGTCGAGCTCTGGTCAAGTTGTCAAGCTTGTCAAGCCCGAAAGCAGCCGAAAGCGGGCCCAAGCTGGCCGGTTGCCAAAGGCAACCACTGCAACGGGGGCGCCGAGCGAGTCGAGAGGCGACTCCGAATTGGTCCCTCTTCTGGTTCATCTTGCTACTTTTGCAATTTCAGAACAAAAACGATCATAGACCCAGTCCCAATGCGAACTCAGCGCCGATCCCCGCGTCTTGCTTTTTTTTTGACTTGCATCATAGCAAAGGGACACCGGCACCTGATGTTTCCGAGAGGTCTGTCCGACGACGCTTCGAGCTCGCGTTGGCGGTGGAGGAGGGCTTGGTTTACGTTTCGGGCGGCGCCTGGTCGGGCTGCAGTTGATACCGGCGGCGTAGCCGAAGGACCTTATAAACTGCTCGCTATTTGGGGACAAAACGGCGGGCTCCTCCTTTCGAACTCGTACAGCCCATGACCTCCTCTTTTTCTTTTCTTCTTCTTCGCTTTCGCCTCCTCTGAGTCCGTTGCCGTGGTGGCCCCGTTCTCGATCGAATCCTCGGTGGTCACGGTGGTAGTAGCCGCCTTCTTCTTCAAGTTCCTCCGTCTCGTCAGGAACTTTTTGCGCTTGGTCTTGGTCTGTTTGTCCTTCTCTTTCCCTTCTAGAGACGCTAGATTTTTGATTGTGGTAGTGGCGGTGTGTGACGCAGGAAGTCCATGCTTGAAGCGATGTCAATGCAGTGGGTACAAGGCGGTGGGGGCCGGGGAGGGTTGAAGCTTGAAGGTGGGGGTGCCGGCAGTGTGCTGAGGCAAAGCGCCGATTAGCGTAGGCAAGTAGTAAATGCACTACTTAGCCGCTATTTTTTTGCCTTCGGGCGCGGGCGGTGGGGGAGGGATGGTATACCATGCCTGTACCAACGTTTTCCTGGGCCAAATTTCAAAAAAGCTGCCTTAACGCGTCACGCGCGACCTAGTATTAATTAGCCTTAATGGACCCGCATATGACCTGCATAGATGACGCATAGCAGCGCACAGCGTCGCGCCGAGTAGAGGTTCAGCTCTCCTCGAGCGTCTCTGTCTCCCTCTGTTCATCCTCCTCGAATTGATCGTTCGATAGGCTCTCTCCCACTCTCGAACCGCGAGAACGCCAACTCGCAAACGTCGGAATGGATTCCTCCGACTTGGACGCCATTCGGGCTGTGAGTGAACGTACAGCCATCAAATCTCTACGTGTAGGCATTGGATTTTGAATGCCTCGATTTCCCTCCACCTAGAAACGTATGGCCGAACTACAAGCTCAATCTGGAGCAGGATCAGGAGGGACGTCAGCGGGTGGACCAGCTGGTGCAGGTGGAGCGGGCGAAGGTGCGCAAGATCAAGCGGCTCAGTTCGCGCAGGAAGAGGAGAAGAGGAGGGGTATTATGAGTCAGATCCTAAGTCCTGAAGCGAGGGAACGATGTGAGTACTCGAGACAGTGCGGAGGTGGAGATAAAAGTGCTAGAGGAGCCGTCGCCGGGGAGGAATGGGAGGCGGATTCGAGTGAGCTTTGCAGAGAATCGATTGCTGATTCAGACACTTCTCTTTCACACCGCACCACAGTATCGAGAATAGCCCTCGTCCGACCCGAAAGGGCCCGAGCAATCGAAGCCCTCCTTCTGCGCATGGCCCAGTCAGGCCAACTCCGCGGTCGCGTCAGTGAGGACCAACTTATCGGCGTGTTGGATCAGGTCGAGGCGAATGAGAGGAGGGCCCAGGGTGGGAATACGGACGGGAATAGTGGAGGCAATTCGGGGGGTAAGATTATTGTAAGTTTTGTCAAAGTGCTGAGCCGCAGCGCTCGGAAAGATGGCGGACGGGCAACTAATCCGAGGTCTTTTTTTGGGGGCGTTTGCCCATAGTTCAATAGGAGGAAAGGAGGTTTTGACAGTGATGAGGACTTTTAAGCCGAACGTCGAATAAATTGATGTAATGCACCGAGATCGACTGGCAACACGCATGTGGGGCGCTTGAATCTTGCCGATCACGTGACTTTGTGCGATCTGGCCAGCTGGCGATGAAAGCCCAGTCATGTTCGCGGACCGAAGCCTGGTCCCCTCAGTCCCTCCAGGGAGTCTCGGGTTCGCCTTCTCAAAGTGGTGAATCTTCGGACTTTAATCCAGAGCCGCTCACCGAAGAATGCAATGCCGCGCACTCACTCGTCCAAAATTGGAAACCCGCTCCCTCCAAAGCTCCGGCGGCCGTTCCAAAATTCGCTCGTCCTCTCACGAATCACCGGGTGTTTTGCCCGGCAAGAGAGCAGACAAATACCCAGTCATTATTGGTCACGCGGTACTAGAACGATTTCTCTTCCCTCGAAATACTTTGAGCGACTTGTGCCGCGTCTCGCCTGCCGATTGGGCGGCCGGCGTGGCTTTGCTTAGCGCGCTGCGGCCTTTTAATTAGTTACGTCGTATCAGATTGCGCCAAACGGGTCTCACACTTGCGATCAGCAAATCGACGACGCTCGGATTTTAAGTTGGACTTCTTGCTCCGTCCATCCACTACATCCACACCGCGTCAGAACACGATGTTTGTGAAGAGCAAAGAGGATGTCGCACGGGACCGAGACTCGGCGAGTACCGGCTCCTCTTCTTCCGCGCCTGCCACGACACCAACCACTCGGACCACGCACCACGGCGTTCACACTGGCCATGACGTAACTTCGCACGACGCTCACAAAGGCCGTGTCATCGTACCTCGCAAGTCCCGAGGAGTCGTCACGATGGAACATTTGGCGAGGAGAATCAACGCAAAGTATCTAGTGTTCCTCTATGGGGGTTTCGCGTTGTTGGCTTATGTGATGAGTTTGGGTGAGTCGGCCCGCCCAGGCCACCGCCCTGCCTTTAGGGGCGTTTTGAGGCTTATTCGCGAAGAGGAAGAGTGGAAATGAGGTCGCTCGGTCGTGTGGTAGCTGTGGTGCAAAAGATGGCAAGTGTCACTAACCTGTTGAGTTTCATTGACAATTGTGATTGGACAGACCAATAGTGAGTGTGGAGCATCGCTTGATTACCGAACAACGCAATTTTCGCACTCGAAGGCTGACCTTTCACCTCCTATCTTGCCGACTTCTCCCCCATCTCGCAGCACCAACGGAGCCTACCTTACGCAAGCTACTTCAACCTCTTTCGACGCCCACTCGACCTTGGCGACCATCTCGGCCATTCAAGCCGTCTTCCAAGCCGTGTCGCAGCCGCCGATCGCCAAGATTGCCGATGTCGCGGGTCGGGTTGAGGCATATGTGCGTTGTAGCGAATATCGAGCATCATATACCCCGAATTTGAATCACTGATTGTCCTTCTTCAACCGTTTCAGCTCTTGTGTGTGCTCTTATATGCTGTCGGTCAGTCGTTTCCGACCTCTTCGAAGCATGAAGGAATATTCTGACACTTTGCGCATTTCGTCCGAGCAGGGTATGCCATTGTCGCAGCGGCCCCGTCAGTCTATGTCTACGCCGTGGGAAACTCGATCCACATTCTCGGAATCACCGGTAAGTCGAACGCATCAGAGTTGAACGGACTCAACGCTGATCGAAGCCCATGTTGGGCTCTTCGTGCGACCCGGCAGGCCTATTCCTCTTGCAAGCCATCATCATCGCCGACATCTCTTCAACTCGCAATCGCGTCTTTTGGTCCATCTTTCCTTCCTTACCCGGAGTCATCAACGTCTGGGTCTCGGGTGATATCTCCGGATCGGTGCTCTCCCACACCTCGTGGAGATGGGGCATTGGGATGTTCTGCATTTTGATCCCCGTCATGGCCTTGCCGATCATCTTGACCCTCGGGATCGGGATGAGGAAGCATCGCCAATCTTCGATCGACGAGAGTGAAGTCGCTAGGGAGGAGAGTGAGGAGAGGGAACGACGCGGTCTGGCGGAGAATAGGGGTTGGTGGAACAAAACCGTTGGGGTGTTTTGGAGCTTGGACTTGATTGGGTTGTTGTTGCTCGTCGCTGGAGCGGGAATGGTCTTGGTGACGGTTACGATTGCGAACGGGTTGGGCTCCAACTGGAGTGATGGTGAGTGAATTGGCTCAGATGTACAGGTTCACAGCGTGATTGAGCTGATCCGTACCTTTGGCGCTAAACTCTCCACAGCTCACTGCATCGCGCTTTTGGTCGTCGGCGGTCTTTGCTGCATTGCCTTTGTCCTTTACGAGCGCTACTTTGCTCGACACCCCGTGATCCCCTTTTCTCTTCTTTCGAACCGAACCGTCATCGCTGCTCTCGTCATCGCCCTCTTCCATCCCATGGCTTCGGGAGCGGTCCAGTCATATTTCTACACCTTCCTCTACGTCGCCGCCAATCAATCCATCCAATCCGCGACGCGCATCTCCTCCATTTCGTCCTTTTCCGGAACGCTCTGCGCCGTCGTCGTCGGTGTGTTAGTGCGCTATACCCGTCACCTCAAGTACTTTGTCGTCTTTGGTGCGGCCGTCGATGTGCTTTCGTACGGTCTCATGGTCCGCTTGCGTCAATCGACGAATTCTCAAGCCGAATTGGCGATCGTACAAGTCATTCGTGGGTTCGGGGAAGGATGCATTGGGTTCCCTGTTCAGGCGGCGATTCAAATGACGGCGAAGCATGAACATGTTGCGGCGATCACGGCGGGCTATTTGACCATTTACTATCTCTCGGGTGGTGTGGGCGCAGCGATTGGTGGAGGTCAGTTTTTCGTCTAGGGCCTCTGGGAGAATCTTTGTTCCTTTGCTCCTCCGTTCTGACTTTTTTTTTTGCCCAACATACCACTAAAAGGGATTTGGACCAATCTCCTGCCCGCTAAACTCCAAGCCTCACTTCCGGCCGACCTCGCTGCCGAAGCGTACGAAGATCCGATCAGTTTCATCGGCACCTACCCCGTCGGTACACCTCAACGTACGGCGCTCGCCAGAGGTCAGGACGAAACGCAACGGATCATCGTCATCGTAGGGTGTTGTTTGGCTGCTGTTGGGTTGGTCGCGTCGTGGTTCTTGGAGAATAAGAGGTTGGGGGATGAGAGGGATTTGGTGGAGGAAGATCAGAGGGAGGGGGAGGGGAGGCTTGAAGAGATTTTGAAGAAGGATGAAAAGGTTGAGAGGAGTGATTGAAGGGTTCGGGCGTGGGCTGATGCTTCAGTTTATAGTGGTGGTATAGCGTTCTGATTGCTGCAAGATCACTCTGCGAGAATGCGCATCTGTTTGAGAGCGAGCCTCTCGCTGCCGGGGATCGGGATGCGCAGCCGCCGCAATCCGAGTTGAATTCTGAGAAAAGGTCCGTGCGCACGCCACCGGGCGCGATCAACGAGAATCGCCACCGATTTCGCAGCTCTTTTCGCTTCCTTACAACATCGTCTTCGAACAGCACCTTCAGCATTCATCTAACTGAACCGACAGTTTTCACAAGTAGGATCACCTACTTGAACATTGCACCGCCACTCTCGCTCTGTAGGCCTCACTGAGCCCGTTCCGGTCAGCTGAGTCAGCATACATCCAGCTCGAAGCGGGCGCTCGTCCGACGTCGTACACGCCACAAAGGGATCCAAAGAGTGAGTCCAGGTAATAAGGCACTCGGTAGTATGTGCAGATGCTGATTTACCGAGCTCTACGTTGTCTGCGACAGTGGCTGAAGTGGTGATGAGGCCACCTGCACCCCCACTGCCGCCTGTCGCGAGCTTGCTCCCCTCCAACATCCCAGAGTGAGTCCTGCACAGATTGGAACTCCTGTTGCAAGGTCATCAGACTGACCAGTGCCTTTTTGTACTTTGCTCATAGAGATGCGCCGGAGCACTGTCCCGTGAGCCCACACCCGCTCGCGAAACGAACCCGTCGCTGCCTTTGCGAACCTTGTACTGAACTCAGCCCCTGCTTTCTCCTTCTCCTTTTCATCAAACAGGGAACCGAATCCGAACTAGCAGGTAAAGCCTCCGCCTGCGACGGATGTGCGAACCAAGAACTGTGCGCGACCGCACCGAAAGGACCGGATCCGGACATCGCGGCGGTGAGGGCACGGATGGCGCAGGTGAAGCACAAGATCTTGGTCCTTTCGGGCAAAGGTGGGGTCGGGAAGAGTACGGTGTCGGGTATGTTGGGGTGGGCTCTTTCGAGGGATGAAGAGACACAGGTCAGTTGCGGTGGTCGGGATCGGCCGAGAAGGGACGGTTCAGTCAGGTTGCTGACTTTGTTGCACATCTTGGTACACGTTTCAGACGGGTCTGATGGACATCGACATTTGTGGACCGTCCTTGCCGTTGATGTTTGGTCTCTCTGGACAAAAGCTACATTCGACCTCGTCCGGGATTCTCCCCCTCCCCGTCTCGGAGAACCTCTCCGTCATCTCGATAGGATTCCTCCTCCCCTCCTCTTCCAGCGCCGTCATCTGGCGAGGTCCCAAAAAGAACGGCATCATCAAGCAATTCCTCAAGGACGTCGACTGGGGGGAGCTCGACTACCTCGTCGTCGACACACCGCCAGGAACTTCGGACGAACACCTTTCGCTCGTTGGGTACCTCTCGGAGTCAGGCATCGACGGCGCCGTCGTCGTCACCACACCTCAGGAAGTCGCTCTCCAAGACGTGCGCAAGGAACTGGACTTTTGTCGCAAACTCAACGTTCCCGTCCTCGGCGTCATCGAAAACATGTCCGGATTCGTATGTCCCGCATGTGGAGGCGAATCGGACATCTTCATTCCCTCGACCGGAGGAGCCGACGCGTTGGCCAAGGAATGGGGGATCGAGTTGTTGGGCAAGATCCCGCTCGATCCGAGGATTGGCAAGAGTTGTGATTTCGGGGTGTCGTTCTTGGACGAGTATCCCGAGAGTCCGGCGAGTGTCGCTTATGGGAGTGTTGTGGATCGAATCAAGGAGAAGTTGAAGGAGAGAAAGCAGGTGACAGCGGTGTGAGGAGCGTACTGGTTTGACGAGCTGTAGAAGGATCGCATTTGCATTGCAGGACCATTTCGCACCATCCTGGTAGTCCATCGCCTAAACAAGATCCTGCCAATCGTTTTCTTCTCTTCCGGTCAGCCCGTCAGTCATCCTCAGTAGGGGTACGTCTGGGAGACTCGAATAACCGCGCCGACAATGCCGCCATCACATCCATCGCTTCGAGCGCACCAATCTCCAAGCAATCCCCTTGAGCGATGAACCCTTTGACCTCTTCAAGCATCGGCGAACACCAATTCTTCACACAGTACCCAACGCAGAGCTGACGAATCGCGGCGAAATCGCGGGAAAGGATCGAGAACAGCGCAGTAACAGCGTTCGTCGGGGTGAGAGAAGCGTGCAAGGCGTCCAAAGCGAGTGCACTCAGGTCGTCCAAGCAGAGTTGATCGGCGAGGCGATAGATCGCTTCGGCGGTGGAGAGCGTCCTGAAGGGATCTTCGACGCTGAAATTGATGAGGTCGGTCGAGAGCCAGGTTAGAGCGGTCGCGTAGGTCTCGAAGGTGTCGGGATCGTCCTCGTCGATGTGTAGGGTGTGCCATTCCTCTTTACATGGCGTCGAGTTTGTGTGTTCGTGATCGTGTTCGTTGCATTCGGAGCTGATTATCTTTTGCGACTCGCTGAAGCCAGAGGTGAGCACGTCTTGGTAGTATGACGAGCGCGAACACAGAGTCTTTGAGTTGGCGAAGAGCGTCCGACCGGAGGGACTGAACACGAAGCGCACGTCGTGTGCGTACTGACGAAGCCGGGTTTCTGCTTGAAGAACGATCATCAGCATGGGGCATCACTATCACCATTGATGGTGAATTACCTCTGTATTGCTTTTGGAGACTGTCGATCTTATCGGACATCACCCGATGCTCCTCCATGCACCGATCAGTGGCGTGGTGACTGGCCCTTTCGTCCTCTCCGATCTGAACAGTCACACTCAACTCGAGCCTGGACGTTTCGGATTTCTGAAAGTTGTCGAACATCTCTTTACAATTTACTTTGCAGCGCTCGATACCCCAATCACCACTGATATTTGGCTTCTCGCGGACCCACGAGCCATAGCCGCGAGCGATCGGTCTCGAATGTTCGAACTTGTGCTGCGGCGCTTGGGCTGGCGCCGTTTGCTCGATCGAGATCGTCGCGTACACCTTGCCTGAGTCGGGTAGAGCGGAGCAACATGAGGGAATTGATTCAATGTTTTTATGGAGGCTTCCTTCTTCGAAGAGGATGGATCTGGGTGGAGTAGGGTTCCATTCGAGCCGCCATTGCATGAGGCGTTGGGCATGGCCCGGACCTTGAGCGAGCTCGAAGCGCGTCGTGATAGGGGTCGAGGTGTTGGATTTGTCCAAGGTGAGAGTGAAGGTGTAGCTGACACTCGTGTGTAGCATTACGATAGAGTGCTTTGGGGATGATGGGAGAAGGTGAGAGAAACCTGAGAACGATGATGCTGAGATGACTAGTTTCGTCACATTCGAAAAGCGGAAAAGCGGCCAGCCCTTTCTCCCCTTCTGGAACCTCGGCCGAGCACACCTCTGGGAGGTGTGATGGCGCGCGCTTTGGTGAACTAGATGAGCACCACCAGTTGGGTGGGTGACTAAACGTGCAGATTAGCTGAATTTCGAAAGAAAAAGTATTCTCAACGCATTCAAATCAAAAAAGGGGTTCAGCTGTTTCCGGCATAGCGAATTGGAGCTGGCAGTGGTCCGAGGAGGCGAAACGTATCGAGGGGCTGCCACCGCCACTGCGCCACTGTGACGGTGGCTGGAGGCGCGCCGCGACGCGCGTGACGATGGCTCCGGGCCTCGGCGCACCCCAACCCCGGCCGGCAGTGCTCTTACTAGTCGCGTATGCGTGATGCTCAAATCAAGTCACAGGGGATCAAGCCATTTTTTGACCTCCCTACGTTGATCCTTGATGTATTTCATCTACATGGATCCAACCTCTTCTACGCATGCTGCTCAATCTCGGTTGCGAAACTGGAAAATCAGAGTGACCCCTCAGCTCAGACTGCCTCATCCTGAATTTTTGCTCATCACTCGAACGAAGAGCCGAGACAACAACCGGGCTCCTTCGGCCGCCCCAATCGCCAACTGATCTTGTTCGATCAAAGAGCGTATGTGTTCCATCTCGGGCGCTTGGTCCACCTCGGACCAATGCGTAGCGCAATACTCGATGCAAAACTCGGCAACCTCCTTAAAGTCGCACGAGAAAGTTGAAAACAAGAGGTAGGGCGCTTGGGACGACGTCATGTCTGACTTGAAAGCGCCAAAAGCAAAGTTCCGGAGCTCAGAGAGACCTAGACGATCACAGAGCCTATAGACGCCTTCGGCCGAAGGAACCGTTGGCGTCGTAGGAGGAAGAGACGAGCCGCGTTCTGAAGTTTTGTCGAGCGAGTCGTCGACCAGGCTGTTCTGCAAAGGTGCTTCGAGGGGGTGGGCTTGGACCTCCGCGCGGGAGATTTCGACTGATCCAAAAGTGGCTTGTTGGCAATGTACCCAGTCAAGCACGGTATTGTACGAGGCGTAGGTATCGCTGCGCTCCTCGTCGATCACGATCGTGTGGATGGGGACATGGCACGTGATGGAGGAAGGTTCCGAGGCGAGCGGCATCGTTGAATCGGACCACGTCTCCTCGTCGCCGACAACTCGTTTCTGCGCCTCATTGAAGGTGGAGCTCAGAAGATCGTCGAAGTAGGAGCATTTCGAGCGAAGATATTGCGCGTTCTCGTAAAGAATCCGATTCGAAGGGCGAAAGATGAAGCGAAGATCGTGGAGGTGTCGCTTGAGCCGAGCATCTGCAATGTGTGAGTGAGCACAGGTCGACAATATCAACGTGATGAGAGTTTTGGTGCATGCTTCACGCGATTCTTGTAACTTACCCGCAAGCTCAGCTTTGGTCTGCTCGGACGCAATGAGACACCGTTCGTAGTCTTGCAGTCGCTTGCCAATACAGGCCGGGGAGTACTTCGAATCTCTATGGTAGATACTGATCGTCAGGAGGAGGTTGAGAGTCTGTCCTGGGGTGTCTTCCAAGATTTGGATCAGGTGGGAAGCTTCCACGGTCCATTTGTATCGGGATATTGCCTCATAATTGAGACTGCCCTCCCATGAGATGTGTGGTGGCCCGTATGGACCGTGCTCGCCGGCGCGGGTCAAGGATGTGACTTCGAAACCGAGTGTCGCATCCGGCCCCGGCAACAGAGAGCGAAGTATTGAAGAAGAGTGCCCCGTGTTAGATGGTTCATCGATGATTGAGAACTGCCCGTAACCTGGAACCCAACTAATGGTGATGGTTGAGGTGTACTCGTAGCTACCGTAGACACGGTTGACGAGCCGGAATGGCGGGTAAGAGTGGCTCTGCGCAATGTTGGTCTTGTTCAAGGTCAACTCAACGCTGTGAGTACCCATCGGCTGATCGAACAGGATGTCGGGGCTCAAACGCCGATTAGTGATGAGTCTGATGGATGAAGAAGAAATGTGAAGTAGGCGCAGTGGTATTGAGGCAGCAAAGTGTGCGGCAATGCGAAGTACCGCGAGGTGCGACGCGCTGAGAGGAGCCAAAAAACAGTAGCCGGTTTCGATTTGACATCCACCTGGCTCCTGTTCTTTTCTTCGCCGGTATTTTCCCAACTGGATGCACGGTATCGCGGAATAGGAGATTGGAAGCGGACAATTGACGGTCCGATTGGGTATTTCCTTCCCGGCTTATTCCACGCGCGCTTCTTAGGGAGTCCACAGATCGCGACGATCCAACTACCGAAACTTGACCCCGATTTCAATATTCCACTAGTCCAGGATCAAAATGTACGCTCCCCACGTCTGGTGGTGATTTTCGTTGATCGTGCTACTGACGGTGGGCAGCAGCGATGTCCTGCCGCAGGCGCACCTGCCGGTCGACGACCGTGACAGGCCCGCGTCCGAATCCTAAGTCGGCTCCCACTGGGAGTGGGCAGAGACGAGTGAACTCAAGCTGAGCTCGGCGTCAGAGCCACGGCCTTTCCTTCGAGGTTTGCACGTTTCTTAGGATTTTCGTCACCATTCATGGTCAGAAAGGAGCACTCGATGCCCGGTTTCCGCTGGATTACACTTCGAATTGCTGTGTTGCTTGATTGAGGGCGGAGCTCTAACAGCGTGAAATTGATACTTATTCGTGTTCGCATACCAGGTTGCTGCAGCTGGGTGTGAGGTGAGAATTGCACGTGGTAGGGCCCTGTGCGAACATTGCAAGGTCGAACGACGCATCGAACGACCCCGCCATGACATTCGAGAATGTCCACCCTTGAATACGATGGACGAGAAGCGAGAGAGAGAGAGGGGGTCGTACGCGAGGACCGAGCTCCGATCGATGTCGCGGCAGCCTCTGTAGACATCATGCTCGAATAGGCCCCTTGATAATCACCACCCTTTTACTCAATTACAACCTCCCAACACGATCTTTGTCCAACCCCTATCATCCCTCCAAAACCCCTTTCCCATACCCACTGGTCCAAAACTTCTCCTTGATCAAATCCTCATGCACCAATTTGAGGACTCGTTTCGATTTCGAAGGTTTCGTTCTTCGTTTCCGTTCTTCCAAAGTCTCCCGTGATTGATCTTCACTGGGGATGGGATTCGACGAATTGGGGAGTGCGATTCGATCAACACCTTCCTTTTCCTCCTCCTCCTCCTCCTCTTCTATCCTCCTCTTCCCATCATCGACTTTCGCATCCTGGACCTCGTTCCCTACCATCATTCCCTCTTCTATCCAGATCCATATCGAACCTTTTTTGAACATCTCTTCCTCGTGATTATAATTCATCCCGAATCGACTGAACAACATCTCTTGTTTCTCACTCGAAAGCGTACCCTGCTCCCCACAAAAAAAGTAAAATAAATGGCGACCACATAGAGTTGAGTCGAAGAACTGTTGAGCAAAGTTCGATTCGAGAGGGGAATTAGGATGATGACTTACGCTAAGTTCTGAATTCGCTTCTTGGGTCGTTAAACTGCCTTTTTGGACTAGGGTCCAAAAGCACGTGTTGTAGAGGTTGTTGATGTGCGCTAGAGCGGCAAAGGGGCGTGGCCGAGCGAGGTGGTGGTGGTTGGGGGGGGGAGGGTCTGAAGTCAGACTAAACATCCCTTTCACTAGCACGAGTTGGTAAGAGGGACACTTACCGTCGACTTGTCGCCACCTAAAGTAATCCTTGACTTCGGTCTCGGTACAGTATTGTACGATCCTGTTAAAATGAAGGTAGCTCTCGCACGGATTCAGTTCGAGTTCAGGTCAAGCGAATTCGCTTCGTCCGTTCGCGCAAAAGGTAACCAACTCACCGGCCATCAAAGATTGGTAATTGGTCCAATTCGAGCGGAGAGTCGGGGAAGTATTGCGGCCAGAGGAAGGTGTAGGCTGAGGTGAAGAGGGAGGAGACGAGGCTTACGAGTTTGCTGTTGTGGTGAGATCGCACTGATTTAGTGGGAGTGAGCCAGCGCTCTGGTGAAGGTGGGGGGAGGCAAGGTACGGACCTATTCCGCCTAGCGTGGAGTTTGGTCGAACGTTTGAAGAGGAAACTGCGAATCATAAGCGAAGGGAGAGGAGAGGCGGAGGAAGCCATCAGCTCGGTTCTGGTTCTGGTTCACTTTGGACTAGGTCACGTGCTCGTCTCCATCATGGGGGTCATACCCCTCCATCCCCTCCATCTCGTAGACGGACCTATATTCATCACTCTCCCCGAAACCCATCACCAAATCCCCCATGAGCTCCCTGCCCGCCATGAGCCTCCTCGCAGCGGCGTTCATCAAGTCCAACGCTCGACGGTCGTTGGGTTTGGTAAAGTTGTGCGCGGAGGAGAACTTGTGGAAAGCTTTGCCGTCGAGGCGCAGGATGAGAAAGGTCGAGGGCAGGAGGGGGTCGGGTAGTTCGTGCAGGCGGACGTAGGAATAGCGGGAATTGGCCATGCCGAGCGGAGGGAGGGAGGGAGGGGGGAGGTGGGGCAGCGCAGAGGGATGGCTGCTGTGAGAGAGAAGAGGTGGTGTAGCCCAGTGAGGGTCGTTTGAGGGGATGTCGACTGGCGGTACAGTTCGGCGTTCTAGGATCGATGAGGAGGTGGAACAGAGTCAAGCCGCGGCGGGCCTTGCGGAGCTCGTCGCCGCCGCTCGATTTGAACGTAAAAAGTCGGGGAGAATTATTGCGACATGGGGTGCAACGCCGTATCAAACACGGAATACAACATCTCGTCGTCTTTACAGATCCAACAACAACCCACTGAGCACCTTCTCCAGATGGCTGACCTGTGTGTACACCGCATGCAGCTCAGCCTCATCGTCAGCTCGGATCAGGACGACGAGGCCGTGGTGATGACCTCACCTCGAGTAAAGCGGGGCCTCTTCTTTCCTCGGGAGAGAGTAGAGCCCGTTCTTTTTCGGCGACTTCGGCGGCTCGGTGGATCGCTTCGGTCGTTAGGAGGCGCAGGTATTGAGACGAGAGGCAGATGGACGCGTCGTTGACTGGCCGAGCACGATGCTGGGTTAGTAGTGAGAGTGGGATCGGTTGGATGAGAATATGATTCACCTTTGGTCTTGTTGGACAGTTGAAGGAGAAAGATCTCCCGGATCAGAGCCTGCGTGTGCGAACGAGTCGTGACCGAGTCGAGTGAGAGAACGCGACGCGACGCGACAAGCGCAAGATGTCAGCGAGCGATCACGTTTGCCCGGACGAACAGCATCGTCGAGTGAGGGTACGCACCTCTTTGAATTGGGGAGAGTGCTCACTGTCGCTCGCCATCTTGGGATACGACGGTGGTGGTGGTCGTGGTGGTCGTGGTGGTCGTGGTGCGAGGAGCAGCTGAGGCCGAGTGCCGAGACGCCGACTTCCGACGACGAGGTGGCCATCCAGGCGCCGAGCGAGAGGTCCGAGCGGCGCACACCCACTTCAGCCTCAGTACTCGCTCAGTCTCCCTCAGTCACCGCCCCGCGCCAAGACCCAACGCCAAGTGACCCGGCCCCAATCTCAATTTTCACCCTCCTTCCCTCCCTCCACCTCGACCCTCGACCCACCCCACCACCACCACCGATGCTCATACCGCCACCCATCCCATCCTCCCTCTCCCTCCCTTCTACAGTGCAAGACATCAGAGGCCATGCGACCCAATTGTCGGATGCGAATTCGCTTCGAGCGACGATGAGGAGTCAGCTCAAAGTCGCCCACAAGCTCGGCGTGCACCACGCCGATTGGAGTGCTTGTGTCAAGGTGCGTGGATCGGCAAGTGGCTTACGGGTCGCTTGGTCGAGCGAGCGAGCGCGGAGAAGCACACGAGCGCATGTGGGGCAGCCGCACAGGCAGCAGACTCCGAGTCGACTGCTGATCTGATCCTGTACCATCTCCGCTCTCGGCTCCCCAGGCGACGACCGACTACCTGCCCTACCTCTACGCGATCCTAGGCTGCATCGAAGCCGACGACCTCCTCCTCAAAGCCGATCCAGGTGCGTACAACCCACTCCCCCCCGACTAGCGCTCTCAGTTCGACTCGCTCACCCCCCCCCCCCCCCGCCCGTGCGCTCACAGTCTTTACTTGGCGAATGACCTTGTCCACTCAGGCGCTCAAAAAGCCCCATCACAAGGTCGCTCTTCCTTCCTAGTACGTTATCGGCTCCAGTCCTGCACACTAGAGCGGCACTGACGCCGTTCCCCCAAAACAAAAAAACAGCCACTACGAGCTCGCTTCTACGCTCCTCTGCCACGCCCTCTGCCTCTCCAACAACTCGGCCTCCCTCGTCGCCTCCTTGGGATCCTACGAATTCTCCAACACGCTTTCCACGACCGACTTGAGAAGGCATGATCAAGTCGTACAAAAAGCGGCGGAGATGCTTTGTCGCGCAGCCGGACTGTTGGCGCATTTATCAGAGGTCGTCATTCCGAGATGGGAGACCGCCGTCGGATTGGACAGTTTGGCCAAGTCGAGACCGTTCGAATTGACGAGGGAGGTGACGATGGGTTTGGCAAAGTAGGCTCAACGAATAAAAAGTCTGAGCGAGCGTTTTGGGTTAGCGTACAGTACACTGATTCGAGGTCGAGATTTTTTTTTCTTCTTTTTTTCGACCCAGATTATGCGAAGCAGACGCCAACCTCCTCGCTATACGACGATTGCTTTCCCGATCCCTTTCAGTAGCTCATTCAACCACCACACCCGGACCACCGCTCTCCTCAACGCACCCCTCCCCCTCCCTCTTAGCGAAACTACATCTCCACGTTCACCAACTCTACGACGCCGCACGATCGCTCATCAAAGCTCCCAACCACTCCGGCGGCGGCGGTGAAATTTCACAAGCTTTGAGAACGTACCTCTCCCAGGGTAGAGCTTTGGCTTTGGCTTTGAGTTGGAAATGGTTGGGAGTCGATTGTGGAGAATCGGGAGGGAGGGAGAGGTGCGGTGATGCTGTCGGTTGGTTGGGGATGAGTAGGAAGGAATTGGACGAGATTCAGAATGCGAATAAGGGCTTGATCGGCGTGATCAAGAGAGGCAAGGAAGGGGCTAAAGTTAGAAAAGGTAAAGTTGGGGAAGAGGTGGAGAGTGTGGCGAGGTTCTTGAACGCTTATAAGAAGGTCAACGATTCGGTCAGTTCCAGTTCAGGAATCGGACGGGCGATCTCTTTCGTTGGACCAGTATGCGGGGAGAAGCTGACCCCCCCCCCCCTCCCCTTACGATCGTCGAAATAGGTTCATTTCATGCCCGTCCCTTCTCCCTCCACACTTCAACTACGCGTACCAGCCGGACGAGCCGCCCTTTCAGCCAAAGTTTTCACCCCTCCATCACCGGCGTTCAAATCGAGATCGGCGTACAATGGACCGATGGACGTCCCTCCTCCCCCGAGGGCACTGGAGACGGAGTTTGGGAAGTTAGGGATTGGGACGACGGGAGGCGGTGCGGATAGTTCTGATGAGGATGGGGACGGAGAAGGTACGGAGGGGGATTACTTTGGAGCGGGGCAGTACTTTTAGGTGTCGATCAAGTGTTGAGATTTTGAAAGTGTTTTGCTCAAGCAGGTTGAAACATGAGTTCTTAATTTTTCCCCCTATCGGGTGGACTACTGAGCTAAAAGACGTCCTAGTTCTTCCCCCAGTTCAGACAACTCCTTCTCGAGATTTATTTCCCAAATCCACTTCATACGTTCGGAAAGATTCGCCTCGATTTTGGCGATATCGTCCCCCGCGACCGGGTCGAGGAAATCGTACAAAAGCCCCGCTTCATACGAGGTTGATTGTACGCGACGACCTCGGGGATGGCGCGCGGCTTCGTAGAGACTTAGAGCGGTGCGGAGCGAGGTCGAGCGCGTAGATGAGGTGGAGGATTTGGATAAGAGGGGATGGGTGAGCACGTGGGCGACGAAAAGACCGTCTTCGATCGCTTGGCCAGCGCCGGAACCTTGGTGAGGGGTAGTGGCGTGCGCCTATGGGATAAGAAGGGTCGGATCAGCCGGGGTTGAGAGGCAGTCGGGTCGAAGCTGGTACTCACCGCGTCTCCTACCAAGACGATACGCTCGTCGACGGCGTGGGGAATCAAAGGCAGTTCAAAGATGCCCCAGATCGAAGGATCTTTGATCGCCTGCATTCACAATGCGAATCAGCAAGTCAGTACTCGTTCATCAGTGCAGAGAGTTCCGAAGTTGCGTGCAGAGCGAGGAGACGCACTTTGAGCAACTCCAAGCTCGACTCGTTGAACGAAGCAAAATCTTCGAGCATCTCGGCCTTGGGTCGAGCTTCCCACCATGGCCCAGTGTGACCTCCGAGTTTGGCATGCGCCGGGTCTTTGACGAATGCGACGATGTTGATCAAGGCACCACCACGGACGGGGAAGTGCTAAAGAGGGTAAAGATCGAGAGCAATCAGAAAAGTCACTCTTCTTTCGCGGAGGGGTTCGAACGGACCAAGATGTGTCTCCCCTGTCCCAACAACATCCTCTTGTCACTCGCTCCTTTCCCAAAGATTCGTTCGAATTCGGCCCTCTCCACCATTCCCCGCCAAGCAATCCACTCGCTGTACCTTGCTCGTTGGATCTCCAACGCCTCGTCCTTGAACCCTTTCCGGACGTACATCGCCTCGCGCAAAACGGACTTGATCCCGTCAGAAGCGACGAGGACATCCGCTTCGGCCGTCGTCGAGTCGGCAAAGTGGAGGGTCACTCCTGAGGAATGCGGAGTATAGTTGATGCAGCGCTTCTTGAAATGGGCTTGATCGGTAGGGAGCATTTGGATGAGTCCATCGAGAAAGTCGGCTCTGAAGACGTCCTTAGCGTCAGTAGGAAGAATCTTCGCACGGTACGAGCTCGAGAAAGCGACTGAGGTTGTCGTCGACGTACCGATGCACATTCCCTCTTCCGGCCATCTTTCCCCGAAGAGAATGGATGTCCTTTCCGGATTGAGGATGATCTTTCGCCCCGACGAGAAAGTCGAACCAAAGATCGTCGTCGCTTTGACCTTGCTTACCCGCAATGCGCTCCAGCGCTTCCCCACATCCGATCAGGCGCAACGAGGTCTGCGCGTTCGGGCCTAGAGCGACGCCGGCGCCGATCTCGGCGACTTTGTAAGGGTGGGAAACAAGAAGGGAAAGTCAGTGCTGCGACTTTGAAGCGTGGGTTCAGAAGGTGCAGAATGTCAAGACAGGCAGTGTGTCTGCAAGATCGCTGCCCCGATCCTGCCATCGGAAGCTCGGACGGTCCCCCAGACTGGTTCGGCCTTCATCTATCCGGGCCGAGTCGATGAACTCACACGCCGCTGCACTCTCGTACACATCCAATCGCACGTTACTCTCCGGGTTCTGCTTCGAATAGTGAAGAACTGCGATCGCTGCTGTGAGTCCCGCAATGCCTGTGCGTTTAGAAGGTGCTTTGTCAGTATCGAAACACATTGGAGCTTGGGGCTCGAGCTCGCCAGCGGCGTTCGTGCCACGACGATGTGGGGCGATCGGTCGACCCGCCAGCATTCACACTCACCTCCGCCAACGATGGCGATCCTCAGTGGGGCCGACTCAGTCGAAGTAGTTTTTGAAGGCTCTGCCATGGGGTGGAGGACTGTGTACAAAAGAGAAGGGAAAACAATCGGAGGGGAGGAAAGGAAGAGGTCGAAAATGGGTGGGGCACTGTTCCCATCTGGCTCGACCCTCTGGTCACTGCCTGTCACTGCGTTCGCCTAGCGGCGGCGGCCTTCGCGGAGACCCCGCTCCGGGAACTAGTTTCCGGCTTCCGGCCCCCCAGCCCCACTCGCCCACTCGATCCTTCCTGCTCTTTCTTTTTTCCGGACCGAATCAGTTTGATCGAAAGCGGTGTTGAGTCTCACTTGAGGCGGTAGGCAATTTCAGCCGATCATGCAACTACCAGGCTTACTAACTTAAGTCACCCCCCAATGCGCCATCGTAAAAATCGCCGCTTGAACTTTCGCCCTGCTCGGTCCCCGCGGACCTGGCGATCACCGACATCGTCATCATCGGATCGAAGCACTTGCCAATACCGGGTCCAAAGGAAAATCGCCCAAGTTAAAGCTTGGTAATACCTCGATGAACTTTGTCCAATTCGGCTGTCTCGCGGTAATTAATCACTTGGTAATCACTAAAGCCCATACCGAAGGACATTGTTGTCGCTGAGCGCGCCTCCGGGCCATTGATAGCGGGGAGCGGGGACACACCTCGGGCAGACAAAAGAAGGGACGATCTTAATCGCGCCGCGCAGCGGCGAAAAAAGCCGATCGGATCGGCATCCTGGGCCGGGAGCAAGTTCGGCGCGGCAGAAGCCGACACGTCCTGTTCAAGTCCGTTTCGACTACAACAGTTGACCCGCCTGCTGTAGAAGGCTGTATGCAATTTCTGACGGGAGAATTTGATTATATCTTGACATTGTAATCTCAACAGAAACGAAAGATCTACTTTCAGTGTTGTCCATTTTTGGGCGAGTCGCTGTACGATCAGGCTCGCTCGAGCTCAAGCTCCAGCTGGAGGTCGAGCACGTGATCCGTCGCTGATAGCGCGTCGCTGTCGTCGCCTCTGCAGCTCTTCGCTCCTCTGCTGCTGCTCGCATCGCACGCACGCATCGACCTCGACAAATCGTTCTGCGCGGCACACTCTCTACGAAAAGGTCCAGCCTTCTTGAAATGGACTACCTCGCGTCTACGCGAAGGCTCTGAAACAGAACGTTGGCCACTCGGCTCCATAAGTTCGTGCCGCCGGACGAACTCCGACGCGTCTCAAGCCTGCATCAGGCTCATCAACGCGGGCATGAAGTCAGTCACGTCGTCCGCCAGGTCACAGACTGGGATTGGAGTTACAGCCCCTCAACTCCGTCGTGTCACGTCTTGTTCTTCAGCAGATATGCTCTCTAGCGATGCCCATCGCGACGCCAGCTGTCACTCGCTGACGTACTCTAGGCTTTCCCTTATTAGCCTGTTGAACGGGAGGCACTGCGATGCCCTACAATTCAACGGCGTAGATGGAGCGGACTTGAAGAGGTCTGACATCAATGTTGTGTAGGTGTAGTGATGACGTGACGTCAGTCTTCCCCATTCGTCGTCGTACACTCGTCCCAGACTTCGAGATCAGGCATTCATAATCTCCAACGCTCCTCACGGTCCTTAGCTCAGGTCTCATCTGATTGGGGTACCACTGTGAACACTGAGCATGCCTGTATGAAAAGTTATCATGGGTTACGTCTTTTTATCTCACTTCGACCTCGCTTCTCCAACCAAAACTTGCGGAACATTCTTTACCAACTGCGAAATCGAGCTCGGCGGCAAGGTCCGATATCCGACAAGCTAGTGCTGAGACTACTCCCATCGACTCGGCCTTCTTGACTTACGTAGTACATTGCTTGCTTCCTTAGATCTACCGACCACCTGCGGTTCCCCCAATAAGTGATATGGTGATGGCGTAAGCAGTAGTCTGTAATAGTACAGTCACCAGTGCAGCCAAATTTGGCGAACAGGAGTAAATCGTCCTCACGTGACCCAGGCGAGATTGCCGTCGGCGTCTGCCGATGTGAGCACACAAGCAGAGGTGCTTCATCCTCGAAGGTCGTGGAAGTGCTTCATCCTCGGAGCTTGTGGAACTACTAATAAGACAGTTCCGTTGCTCGCTCCCCATGACTGCACATCGGCCCGTTCGTGCGAGATGCGAAATGATTCTACATGAAAGACTTGACCAACAAGTACTAGTGCTGACCAGTAATGCGCGCCGCCGAATCGGTCCGGCATTCAATGCTTTGACTTGCATCTGAAAGGTCCGTTTTTGGACTGAGGGTAGGAGATACTTGAAATACTTTTCAATAAGCGAATGGCAAATTTTGAACATAGCGCAGGCTTCGTAGCATGGGGGACGTTTTGAGCAGGAAAAGTCTCAGTCGGAGAACAGCCAACGTGCATGATCGCTTTCCGAATGCATCGCTCGGCACCTCGGATGTACACGTCAAACTTGCCGATCGAACAGACATCGATGTAGGGTGGATAATCGTGGAATGGGTGACATTGAGGAGAGGAAGGTAATCTGACACGGACAGGAACAGCGGTTTGGGGTGCAAAAGTCACTCGACGCTCGGCGTCTGCAAGCTGAGGCCCCGAGTGGGACATAGTCTTCCAGGGTGGCCCTCGCACATGCATCTGGAGTCGCGAATCAACCTTGGCTCACGACATGGAATGTATTGTTCCTATCGACCAGACTTACTCACCGATTTTGACGAGGTGCAAGCTTCTGATACTTGAGCAGGTGCCTGCGCTTTGGATGAAAAGTCACTCGGCACCAGTAAAGGGAACCTCCAAGCCATGTTGGTCGGAAAAGGCGCTTGCACATACATCCGAAGTTTGCGGTTCGACCCTGTCCGATGGCAAGAGATGTATTGATTATGTTAACCGAATTCACTCACCGATTTTGACGAGATTTCTGTATCGGACATTCGAGCAGTTACGTGCGCTTTGAATGCAAAAGCCACTCGGCGCCAGCTAGGGGAACCGCCGAGCTTTCTGATTTGGGCAAGACGCTCAATCATGCATCCGAACTTTGCAATTGGACCCTATCCGATGGCAAGAGATGAAAACTAAATGTTGAACTAGTCCACTCACGAGTTTTGACCAGGGTTCCGTGTGATGTACAAGGGCAGGATTAAGGCCTTTGAGTCCAAAGGTCACTCGGCGCCAGTAGGGAGAGGCCTCGACCGACCTTTCTTCTTAAGTATCTGGCATATATCTCTGACATTTGAGGATGGACCGGCCTAACGGCCGGAGAAGTACATTCGATAGTTGACGGCCATCTTCATCAGTTTCAAAGATGGTGAAGTTGCAAATGCTCTGACTTTTGGCGGCGGTTTGGTGGAGTAGGTGCTCGGCTTCACTGAGGAAGGTGGCTACTTGTGAAGGGGGCAATTCGAAAACCTTCATGAAAGGCTTGTCAGGCGGCGGCAATGGGACTCAGAGCATACGCAAACTAACTTTTTGCATTTTGCGAACTCTCACGAGAGTCGACATCATGTTGTATGAGCGGTAGACGAGGAATCGAGTCAACAGCCAAGACGAGAAGAAGCCGGCCAAAACGAGAAGAATGCGCCTCGAAAGTGGAGAAACGCAGTCAACGAGACTCTCGGATTCTACGGTTTGCTTTTTACGTTTTCAAAAGCTCTGCCGGGATTGAAATGACGCGCGGCGGCATTATGTGCTCCTAATCACAGGGGCTATACTCATGCGCGGCGATCGAGGTTCAATTGTCGGGGCTCAGGATTAGTCTGTCACTACAAAGATCTGTTCGGCGCCTATCTCAACACTGTTCAAGACAGCATCACTATACTTGAAGCTTAGACCGAGTTCCGTCAAATGGAGAAATTATATATCCGCTGATGTCAGCATGTCATCATTGGGCTGTTTGTTGTCGGAGGCAGGCTGGGCTTTATTCATCGCGCACTTGGCAGAGCATGTCAAGGGAACTCGATGCAGGCACGTGATGACTCGAATTTGACTGTTACAACTGCGGCCGCAAGGAGCAAAGCACATCCCCTGTCTTTCAACTACCGCCAGGGCATAGCCCAAGAGACCCCGAGCACGATCGGGCTGGCCAGTGGCCTGATTGAGATGTGGGGCCGGCTGGCCCTGGCCGCACGGCAGCGAAATGTCCCATACTTGGCGAGTAATCAAATCGAGGCAGTATGTACGGTCTATGATCGTATCAAAACGAGTGATCATCTCACTCCTCACCCTGCAGCTTGAGCCTCACTCGGTCAGTGGGTGCTGTGACCGTCACGGTTGCGGCGAAGGCTGCGGCGCGAGGAGGGCGAGCTTCACCGGATCGACTTGGAGTCCCTTCCTTCCTGCGCGCGAGGATCATAGCATCCACATGATGTTTCTATTCTTCTCCAAAATATTTCGGAGGTTGAGAACGTCGGTTCTGTTTAAAGTCGATGCGCCAAGGACCAAGCATGCTTGAGTCGTTGCCGCGAAGTTGGGTGTGTCGCGAGTGACAGTGAGCTCGCCCCGTTTAGATCGAATCGCTCTCCTTCTCTTGGGCCGAGATTTGTACATTCACCACCGAATTGCACATATGCTCCAAATTCACATCATCGTAGGCGAGGTGAGTCTCTCGGCGCGATTCGGGCAAGGTGGAGTTGAGCAGGGCCGAGTCTACAGACGACCCCAGTGACCAGTCCTTCGGGTAACGAGGCGACTGCAAGTGTGAGCTGTGGCGCAACTCAGGACAAGCGGAGACGAGCGAGGACACGTTGAGATGCACGATGGGTGGACAGGTTTTGGCAAGTTGTATTACGACGCAGTATAGGCACCGGGCAGACGTGCAGAGCTGGCGGTCTTCGAAGTTCGGGGTCGCGTGTGTCCATCGCAAGTCACGTGCTTCGGATTCACAGGCTCATGATCAGCGCGTCAGTGTGCCAAGCTTGTGCCGTAGGCTAGCCAATGAAAGAACATGAACATTTTCGTTGCTTAGTGTCGTAAATTGGAGAATTGACAGTGTCATCCAGACTGCCGAAGCTGATGTCACTACCACACTCGGGTCAGTGTAGTTGATCTGACGGACTTGGAGAGACTTGAGTCCATGGAGTGGGCCAAACTTGCTCCCGGCCCAGGATGCCGATCCGATCGGCTTTTTTCGCCGCTGCGCGGCGCGATTAAGATCGTCCCTTCTTTTGTCTGCCCGAGGTGGGACAGGCAAGGTTTGGATTCTGGAACGCTGTGAAGGACGAGCAGTAACTACAAGTTGAGAACGAAAAATACCGAACAAAGAAGGGGCTTCTTCGGGCGTTCGGGCACGGATATTCGCATTATTCAAGAGACGACGCCGATTTGGTTGTTCCGAGAGCAAGGGGGATTTCATTTCCAGGTGGGGGTGACGATCATGGCACATAAGCCTATCAAGTGGTTCGGAGGTGCAGGATCCCGGCCCGCCTGGACGAAGTCGAGGCCGTCGAGAACTACGATGCGAAAGGAGTTGTGTTAGAGTCGGTAGATGAACCCTCCGTCTCCCGACCGTCGTCTCCAACTCCCAGGCGGAATGCTCAACTTTGTAGATGTACCGTCATCTGTGCATGGTGGGGTCTGCTACGTCCGAGCCTTCTTTATTCGCGCGCGCGAGAATTGCCTCATGAAAGGTGGGGGACAGTCCGCAAGGTCCGCTTCGGTCTGTCGGATCGGCCAATTCTGCTACATATTGCTGCAGCTTACGTAATATAAGAGGGGCCTTTGGCTACTTCCGCAACGCGGCTTACATAACTACCACTACCCTACCTAGGCATAGCGTAGAGTCACGCGTGTGACGCGAAGCTGTGGAAGTGGGTCGGCTTGCCGAGGCGCGGATCCGCGCGAAGGTCAGGGGGTCTGCTGACTTGTGTGCGAGGACAAGACCGATCCTGCAGCTGCACCAGCTCGGTGATCTGGTCTGAGATTGATCATTCTACCTCGACATTTGGACATCCGATGGCCCCTGTGCGTTTTTTCGGTGGTTTGGCCTTGGGCGAAAGTTCACTGTGGTGTGGCCCCGGAAAATGTAAGGTCATTGTTGTCCCCACCAAGTCGAGTCTTGTTACGGTAGTGGTTCATCATCGCTTGTCGCCCTTCGGCCTGGTAAAGATGTGTACACTCTCAGATGTCTGCTGGGCCAGCAAGAGGGGTTTCAGCTCTTGCCACTTTCTGCTCTGCCTCTGCTGAGGCAGCGTTTTGGCAGCTTTGGCGCTCGCTCTGCAATTGTGCGGCTTGGCAGGCTATGACGCCCATGACCTGGACTGCGGATGGATGGGATCTAAAGGCCCTGAATCCTTGTCGTCTGAACTAGCGCATCGCATCATGCGCATGCTTGGTGCACCTAAGCAGTTGCGTGTCAAGTCCCGAGGCGGACGGCTTTTTGAAAGATTTGTCAATATATTGCTGTTTCATCCCACTGGTATTCCCGATTATGATTAGTTACTAGTTGTTGATATTAGACGCCTCGCGCGTCTCGAGCCAGCCTCGCGCGCGCTCCCTTAGCGCTTATCTTCTTTCTCCAACTATCTTTACTATCATCATCGGCTCTCGTACTTACGTACTTCGTTCCTCGGCTTCAGCTCGTGAAAGGTTATGAGCCCACCTAGCCTATCAGCGGCGGGCGACCTCGACATCCACGGTGACATGGCACCAACGCCTCCACCACCGTCATCAACGTCGTACCATACCAACGACGTCGCCTCCGTTACCTCCGTCACGCTCACTAAAGAGCAATTCGACGAGCTGATCAGGAACCAGCGCCCCGCACGGGACGACGACGCATTCTCCATGCGTCAGCTCCTACCCCCGGCCAACCCTCCGGTCTTCCCCGACGACTCGAAACTCACGGAGGACAACTACGTTGACTGGGACCTGACCATGTCGGTCACCTTCGCCCGCGAAGTCTGCGCATACCTGCGCAAGGGCACGCACGACCCCTCGTGGCCTCTCGCCTTACGCTCGCGCTGGGAGGATTACGCGGCCCGCGCGCTAGCGGGATCGCTCACCGTCACCACGAAGGCCACCATCGGCCCAATCGTTCAGACGGGCGGCTCGGCGCACGAATGCTGGCTCGCCCTCGCCGCACGCTATGCTCCCAGCGATGCCCAAGCGTACTCGGCGCTGATCAAGGACTATTTTAGCATGCCACCATGCCCGCCCACTTGGGCTGGTTTCAACGCATGGACGAATCGAGCCATGGTTCTCGTCAACCACCTTCGAATGGCCCAGCTAGACCTTGAACAGGCCATCGCGGCCCGGGCCCTTGACGACTTGCCGCACGTCTTCGATGGCTGGCACACGACGTTCTACGCGATGAACGTTCACGACAACAAGCTGCCGCGCGTCGAACAAATCTTCGCGTCGATGGAGACTGTCGCTCGGACGTTGCGCAACGAGTCGAACCCGGCCCTCGTAGCGAAAGCTGTCGCGCCGACCACAAGCGCTGCTCCCGGCAAAAAGGGGAAATGGGATCGGTCTGGTCCTGCCCCGAGCAACTGCCCGGCTTGCGGTCAAGGCAAACACTGGCTCGACAAGTGTCCGGACTCGCGCAAGCGGGCCAAATACATCGAGCTCAGGAACGCCATGAAGGCACTCAAAGGCGCATCACCATCGACTACGACCACGTTAGTGGCCGCCGCGGAAGCGTCCAAGGATCAAGACTTGTCTTACTTTTCTTCTGCCACGTTCGTCAACATGGGACAACCTGACGTCCTTCTGCTGGACTCGGCGTCGGCGTGCCATGTCGTCAACAACGCGTCTTTCTTTGACGGTCCCCTTTCACCTACCCAGCAAGTCCTGCAAGGTCTAGGGGGAACGGTGAGGGCTTCGGGAATCGGCTCGGTCAAGCTCGTCTCCGATACTGGTACTGAGTTCACCCTCAACGACGGGATCTACGCTCCCGAGAGCCCTGCCAACCTCATCTCGGTCCGGGCCTTCGATA